AATATATGTGAAAAGATGATCAAAATTTTTGGCTTGTCAATTAATTTTAATATTATGATAAATTATAGAATAGTATATTTGCATGTGATTCTTATATATAGTCGAGCGAAGTAAATATCAGAAAGATGTATAAATTTGAAAGTAGATTAATGTATCTTTTGGCTTCGTAAAATTTTTTTTAAGAGTTAATGCATGTTTTTGCAAATATGAAGGGTAAAGTTTGACCTTTTGTATAATAATTTGATGTGTAATTTTGTTATATTTTTTGTTTATGTAAACAGTATCCACATGAACTATATATTATATTAGAAATCTATTGTCTAAATTTGGATATCTTATGTTATAATGCTATTTCTTTAATGAACACGATGAGTATATTTTTATGCTTTAAAAACTTTTTGCATAAGTTTTCTTTTCGGTTGATGCTTTTAAAAAGAAAAACTCAATCCTTACTCTATTTTTGTTTCATATTGTATCTTACGATTTTGTTTTTAATTTTCATATAGTATGCATTTCTCTACTTATCAATTTTTTAAGATTCAATGTGTACATAGATGTTTTATAATTAGTTCATATATTCAACGAATAAAACAAATGGCAATTAATAATAAACTTTTTTATTATATGAGTTCTTTATTAATTGATATAATATTTGTTTGATTGTTTAGCTAGCTCAATCATTTGCCAATATTGATGAAGAATGTAGAATTTATCGTTATATGTTATTTGAAAAAAAAATCTTTTCAGTTTTATGTTTCATGAAATTTTTCAAATGAAAATTAAGAAACGGTGAGTAGCTGTCTTTAATCACCGGTTCTTTAGTTAGGTTTTTACTTCAGTTATTCCACAATATTGAATTACAACGAACAATATAGAACTCTATATCAGCTTTAGAAACTTGAAATCTGTTATAAGTCAAAAAGTTACAATTGCATAAATTATTTTTTTTTAAAAGAAAGAAAACCGAGTCGCTCCTTAAGTTTTACTTTTGGCGAGAAAGACGTTCTCCAGTTCCAACAATACTATGATTGAGACTCATTCTACTCGATTCACGTTATAAATATAAATGCAAAACAATTGTGATATTGTATCTTTATGTTGCTTACAACAATCTCAAGCATGAGATACATTAGACTTCATTTGTGATAGTTGTGTATTATTTATACCATATATGGCTCATCGCTATGTTTTGACATCCTCATTGCTATGTCTTTTGGATTTCTAAATGTTTATGCACCACTTATTTAAGTTTTATTGTTTATTACCAGTTTGATTGTCAATAATTAAAAAGTAAAATTTGTGTTTAGTGACGGCTGATTCCGTCTCTCATGAGTCAGAGGCGAGATGATTGCAAACCGAGAAGACGATAACTCCATAAAATGAGCTTTTGTTTAATCTTTATAATTGAGTTTTAGTGTAATTCGTTTTCAGTTTTTTTAGCTTTATTTTTTATTTTATTTTATTGATAATTTAAGAATTATAAATTTTTTGTACGTAAAATTTGAAGAAATTTTGATAATATTTAATAAAATGACTTTAAATTATTGGTTGAAGAAGATGACATAGCAGTTTTGGAATCTATCATTGGTTAATTATTTTTGCTGATGTGACAGCCCTTAGAATCCTAGAAATCTATCTCTTTTATACAAAGGAGATGGTTGTATTTTTTTCATCACAAATATTATTTCATATTTGTGTTTTTTCAAAACTATTTATATTGCTCAAAACCACAAAAAAAAAAAATCATTTGGATCTAACTTTTACTTTTTTACTATAGTGGCGATTTTTGTTTTTTTATCATAAACTTATTTATATATCATATATATTATCAAGATACAAAGTGTTTAAAAGTCTTTGAAGATCGAATATTGAATTTGAATAAAATATTCCATTTTGGGATTCAATTTTGGCTAAAATATGATCAGTTTCATTACAAAAATACATGCATTACATCAGAAAAATAAAATTTATTCAACCAAAATCTAATGATATTTTATTATAAATAAATTATATGTGTTTTATTACTAATATATATAATGATATTTAATTTTTTGTTAACAATCTGAATAAATGCCATTTGCACTTTAATGAGTTGTGTCGTTTCAAAATTTGTGGTTGCGTCTTTTCATTATAAATTGTTACATTTTTTCATTATAAATGATTACATTTTTTCATCACAATTGTTATTTTTTTCTGTCTTTTTTAAACTATTTATATTGCTTAAAACGAAAGAAAAATTATTGGGTCTAACGTTTACTTTCTTATTATGGTGGGTTCGTTATTGTCATAAATATATTTATTTATCATAACTTGTTATCAAGATACAAAGTGTTTAAAAGTCATTGAGGTTCAGATATTGAATTTGAGTAAAAAATATCTATTTGAAGGTCCAGTTTTAGCTAAAATATGAGCAGTTTCATCACAAGATTATTTTATATATATTACATTGGAAAAATAAAATTTATTTAACCAAAATCTAATTTTATTTTTATTATAAATAAATTATATGTATTTTGTTTACTTATATATATTATGTTAATTTTTTTATTTTATGAAAAAACATCTATATATTTTTATAGTTAATTGTGTTATTTTCAAATTTTAATATTTTTTGTTAGTTATTTATAAATTAAAGGAACCTAATATTTGAATTCTTTTTCTAATTTCAGAGAAATATACTTATATAATGTAATAAATTCACATATATTTTATATATTTTTAAGGTATCAAAGATTTTTTTATATTTTAACTAATATATTTGTAATGTATTTTTTAATAATGTGAATCCATTTTAGAAACTATAGTAGTCTTAGAAAATGCATTATAAAATCTTGTTACATCATTTTTATTATATATATTTTCTGTAGTATTTTTATAAAATATCAAATTTCTATCATAATTCTTTATTTCTAACTTTTCAATAGTAAATGTTTAGTTATATAAACCTTTTTAAAAAATATTGATTCTATATTTATTTTTAACTTTATACATTTCCGTGAATACAATTTTTTGATAATTATACATATAGAAGATGGGAAATTGCTCATTTAATTTATGAAGTATTTGCAATTGGCAAATTTATTTCCCAACTATCATGTGTGCAGATTAAATTTTCAGTTTAGATTTGATTTCGCAAATTTAGGAATGAGAAAAGTCAACATTAATGAAGATAACGGAAACATTAGCATTGATTTCTCTTAGTCTAATTTTGCAAGGTCAACATAAACTGGAGAAATTAATTTGCCAAATTAAAAGTTGGGAAATTAATCTGTACAATTATGAAAACTTAGAGAACTATATGATCATTTTTACTTATAAAATTATGATTATTTTCATAAATCATAATTATTTGTAGAAAACCATCAAATACTTTTAAATTTTTTTACTATATTATGTTTTCTAATAATCATAAATCATAATTATTTGTAGAATATCATCAAATACTTTTTTTTTAAAAAAATTGTTTTTATTATATTATGTTTTTGTCTAAAATTTCATTGATATTTAATAAAAATGACAAAATCAGTATACATAACTTTCGAAAAACAAATAATTTAAGCAGATATATATGTCTTTAAAAATTTTAGGATTCGGGATGGAAATTGGAAATATGAGAATTCGATAAAAACAAAACGGATTTGGGAAATTCTCTTACCCAAAATCTCCTCTCAAACTCCCACTAATTTGGGTAAAGATCAACTTCAAGACATATATTTTGGATGATTTCAGGGAAATTCAAAAAAAATTGGGAAAATTAATAAATAAATATATATATATATATATATATATATATATATATTGAACAGGTAGTTAAGATATATGATCTTATACCATTTCTCTTTCTGTACCTGTTTGAATAAAACAAATAGTCCTGATTGATAGGAGAATAATCATCGGTTGCTAACCAAATACTACCAAATACTGAGAAAAATAGATAAAAATAAGTGAATTTGATGAAATTGTTTTTTCTAATAGAGTAACCATACCAATGACCGTATGATAGGAGAATAATCATGGGTTGATAACAAAAAAATTAGCCAGTAACAGAAAAAAATCACCAGAATTAAATACACGCAAATTTATTCATAACAATATAAAACATAATATAATAAAAACAATATTTCTTAAAAAATATTTAATGGTATTCTACAAATAATCATAATTTCCTAATATAAAAAATGATCATTTAATTCCTCAAGTTTTTGTCATTGTGCATATCAATTCCCCAACTTTCAAATTGGCAAATTAACTCCTTGAGTTTATGTTGACTTTGCAAAACTGGACTGAGATATAAAGTCAATGGTAACATTTCTGTTTTCTTCTTTAACGTTGACTTTTCTCATGTCTAAATTTACGAAGTCAACGCTAAATTGAGGACTTAATCTGCACACATGATAATTAAGAAATAAATTTGCCAATTACAAATAATTCAGGAATTAAATGAGCAATTTCCCTATAGAAAATTGCATATTTATATTATATATATATATTGTATATTTTCTTATATAACGTTTTTTAACTCTTTTTAAAAGTTGTGTACCTTATTACTTTTTATTTTTTCTAACAATAATTAGTAATAACAATCCTAAAAAAATTATAAAAATTTACATATTTTTATTATAATTAGTTTGTGTATTACCATTTAGAATTTATTGTTAAAAATTCAAAAAAGAATGAAATATACTTTTTTCTTTTAATAGTTATAAGTTGTTTTGGATGTTTCCACTTTTTATTATTACTTATATTTTATATATTTTTACTTATAATTATTATTTCAATTAATTTCCTGTTTAGTTTTTAATAGACCGCAGATTAAGTCCTAGTAAGTATAACAATTTTTTTTTATACCCTTTTACCATTTCCTTCTAATTTTAAATAATTTGTCAATACCTCAAACATTGCCGTCCACCTTTTTATCCCTAAAATAAACCCATTAATTTGTAGACGTCTTCGCTCTGTTAGGGTTTCGTAACTCGCTGATGCAATTTTGAAGCCGAATATCTAGCTATAGGCGGATTCGTGTGTTACGTTGTATTTGAAATTGCGACTGCGTTTGGAACATTGGGATCTTTAGCATATTGCTATCTCTGTTCACGAGAATGGAACAAAAGTGGTACGCTTCTTTATTTCGTTTATGTTTTGCTCCGAATCCCTTTCTTTGGAACCCTAAAATTCTTTATGTTTTTGTTAATACTCGACAGCAAAATCGGTGGTGAAAATTTGAGAAATTGAAATGTTGTAAACAAGGACAGAATCAGCGAATTGCCTGAAGCTTTGCTCGTGCAGATACTATCTTCACTTCCAACGAAAATTGTCGTATCAACAAGTGTTCTGTCTAACCGCTGGAGATCTCTTTGGAAGATGGTGCCAAAACTCAAGTTTGTTTCTGCAGAGAATGTCATCAAGTCTCTTCTTTTAAATAAAGCTCCTGTTCTAGAGAGTTTTCATTTAAAAACTAATTTTGGAGATGCTCGAGATCGTATTGAGACATGGCTTGCAATTGCATTTGCGCGCAAGTTGCGCGAATTGCTACTTGAAGTTGACTCAGAGCACGACGACTTGGTGACACTTTCAAGTGTTTTATTTAGCTATAACGATACTCTCGAGATCTTGGTACTCCGTTCTTGTTACATTCATTTAGAGTTTCCTACTCGGGTTCGTATGCTTTGTCTTCGGAAGCTGCACCTCTACGGCGTGCTTCTCAACGACGAAGCATCTGTGTGCAACCTTTTCGGTGGCTGCCCTGTTCTTGAAGATTTGGTCGTGCATCAAATCAAGAATATCAATGTGGGGACTTTCACTATCGAGGTGCCATCGTTACAGAGGCTAACCATATATCAAAGGAAGTCATCATCACTAGAAGGGAAAGAGAAAGGAGGTTATGTGATAAATGCACCTTCTTTGAGATACTTGAGCATTGAAGGGTCAGGGTTCGATGGTCTTGAGTTTTGTCTGATTGAGAATGCGCCAGAGTTGGTCGAGGCAAGAATCAAGGACGTTTCTGATATAACCAACGAGAACATTCTCGAGTCTCTAACTTCAGCCAAACATCTTTCCTTACACTTGTCACCATTAGAGGTAATTTTAATATTTTCTGTCGGTTTTTTTTTCTCTGTAGTTGGGCTTTAACAGTGTTTTGTGTACAGATTAAGTATCCTAGTGGGAAAATCTTCTACCAGCTTCTATCTTTGGAACTGAGTACAAATGAAAAAGAATGGTGGAATCTACTTTCGCTCATGCTCGATGCTTCTCCAATATTACAAATCCTCAAGCTCAGCGACGTAAGCCATTTCATTTTTTTTAATACAATGCTCTCTGCTTTCAGGTATTCTGATGATCTGAAAATTTACATTGATTTCAGACATCGTGTAGTGAGAAAGATTGTACGGTGAACCGGAAAAAATGGAACCAACCGAATGGTGCACCGGAATGTTTGTTGTATCATCTAGAGACCTTAGTGTGGACAAGATACGAATGGCAACGAGAAGATGAGAAAGAAGTGGCTACGTACATCCTTGAGAACGCAAGAAGGCTGAAGAAAGCAACTTTCGCCGCAAAACCCATCGAATCTAAAGAGTTTGAGAAGGCGGAGAAGAGACGTGAGATGCTCAACGAGTTGGCTAGTGTGGTCAAGGCTTTAAATTCATGTCACCTCGTGTTAGAATAGGGTTTCTGCCTTTTTCAACTAGGGTTTTCTTGGCTCAGAGCTCATCCACCAATCAGGTAGTAAATCTACTCCATGTCTCTTCTGACTTATCATAGTACTGTAGGTGAATCAACCAAAGTCCAAACTTTGATATCATGGTCATTGCCGCAAATCATGGAATCGTCTTGTATGATTATATCATTGTTTCGGTTTCAAGTCAAAGCTTTCGTTTCTCTATGGCTAAACTTGTAAAAGAAGCATGGTAGCATGGAGCTCTGACTTGTGCTTTTAAGGAATCCTGTTTTGACTTTAAGAACTTGCTTCCAGTCTTCGTTTTTTAATAAATTGTAGACTTATTTGGTTTAGACCGGTTAGATTTCGGTTATGTATCTCTAGACTTAATTTGTTTTGGTTTTGACTTACCCGTGTACGTTTGATGGATATTTGTTATCTAACCTCTTCGAGGCAATTTCTAGCACTTAAGCTCTTTCCCGATGCCTTGTACTAGCCGGTTGACCCGGTAAACCTGTAACCTCGCCACTCAATCTAGTCCAAGTCTAATGCTAAAATCCACTTTTAACCGGCGACATGGTTGAACCGGCCAGGTGACATTCAACAAATCCAGAAAATTTGATTTTAACCAATGTTTTCAAACCCGGGAGTGGCCGGTTGAACCAGTAAAGCGGCGATCCGTATCAAAATTTCTAATAATGCCTAATGGGTTTATGAGTAGAAGATAGATCATGAACTACTTCTTTTTGGTTAACATCGGTTATTTCTTCTTCACGGCATAGTTCAGCAGCTTAAAGCAAATGTTATGGATGTAGATTACCGTATTAGTGTAATACTAATTAATGGGGCCTTTAGTGCTGTTGAGCCTAAAGCAAAAATGATATTTGGGCCCAATTATAGACAACTGTCAAAATACATTACAAAAAATTCACAAATGGAATATCACTAGAATATCACAAGCTAAATTCGACAAACACATTTTTGAAAATGAAGTAGTTGTTACTTTGATAAATTTTTGAAAATGAGTTAGCCCAGGATTGTTCTTGGCACTGCTTCCATATTTGGAGATGTTAATTATTACTATAAGTTTAGCAATTCAGGAAAGAGACATATGAGGATGTAATGGTCACGTTAAGACTTATCTGTCCACCAATCTGTCACTCTCTAAAATATTTTATTATATAAAATATATTATTATGAGTTAATATTATTCTAACACCCTTTTTATAAATAATTCAATTCACTCTCTTCTCTCTCGCTTTCTCTCTCTCTCTCTCTGGTCTCTCTGTCTCTTTCTCTCTCACACACACACGATCCAATGACGACGAGCAACAACGTGAACGGATGTTTTGGAGACACAAAGCTGACCAAAGTGTTCGTAGGAGGATTGGCTTGGGACACTCACAAAGAAGCAATGTATGATCATTTCATCAAGTACGGTGACATTTTGGAGGCCGTCATCATCTCCGACAAACTCACTCGCCGTTCCAAAGGCTACGGCTTTGTATGCTCCTCTTCTCTCTTATTTCTTCCATCTCTTCGTTATCTCACTTTTTCTTTGTTTTTCGATTTTTTTAATTTTTAATTTTTGTTCTTCTGTGTGTAGGTGACTTTCAAAGATGCGGAAGCCGCAAAGAGGGCTTGCGAAGAGTCGACTCCGATCATCAATGGCCGTCGTGCCAACTGCAATCTCGCCTCTCTCGGTGGCCGCCTTCGTAAATCCCCCACCATTGCCTCTCCTCAACAAGGTTCATCTAAAGCTTTTTTTTCCAAAGTATATAATTTTCTTTTGTTTTAATTAATTATAACCTAAAGATCACGGGACCTAATGGGAGAGTCGAGTACTTTTGCCATTTTAGGCATCTAAATGATCGAAATCGTAGTGAAAACGTATAACTTATATTCACGTAAAACACCTTTAACAACAAGGAAAAAGTTATATACACATAAATGCATTGGTTATAACGTCAGAAAGGAATTTTTCTATTCGGGGAATGTTAAGAGAACCGCTATATATGTGCATTTGTATATGATATAATGCTAAGATTGTCATTTGCAGTTTGAAAACAAGAAAATAATTCTTTTCAACTAGTTTAGAATATACCACAATGTCAACAAAATAAAGAGACGTTCCAAGGGTTGGATCTTGATATGAATGGAATAGAAACACCATTGTGCCATTTGAAATTTTTAGAAACTAAACCATCTATTTTTTTTTCAAATTTAATCTAAATTAACGTTATAGTCAACATATGATGTTTTGAGATGTGAAGGATCAAAGAATGTGAGTAGGGCCACGTCGGTACATGTAGGGAATAATCAAGCTCAATGGTACTACCCTGCGGGATTCACACACCAGCAACATCAACTTCAACAACAACACCATCATCAAGCCGTTCCTTTCTATGGGTAAACTTTTTTCTACCATCTTCAAAATGTACTTATTTTAGTAAGAGTGTTTTGATCATGCTCGATTTTAATACTACATTAAAGGTATCCTTCCTCCTACGTCGCCCCGAACATGACCTTCAATCAAGTAAGTCGTCTTGTTGCTTCAAGTATGACTTTCTTCCACACTTGCGAAATGAATTTGTTTGTAATGATATGTAATGAACAGAAGGTTGGATACGTCGGAGGAACGTATATGAACGGATACTACGCTCAACCGCAGCCGCAACCGCAACCGCAACCACAATATTACCAACATCACATGTATGGTGGAGGACGAGTAATGGTTGGGGCAAGTCCGATGATGCCTCTCTACACTGTCTATCCTTATCATCAATCTCAGGCCATCGGTTTTCCTCAACCTTCTTTTTCGAAACCCCTTTCCTTTTCCACTCCCATATCAGGTATTTTATTTTTTGTACTCAAAACGATATCCAAAAATGAAATAAAAAACTTAACATGTCATGTGTTTCGTATATGTATAGTGTTTTGTTTTAAGTCTTATCCATCTACCTTTCTTACTATACATGCACAAAATGAATCTGATGAGACATACACACACATGCATACACAAGTTGGTCACGTTATTTGATATGTCAGTCATTGGCCTCATGTGCCCATGATGTGGTATCACATGGATCCACCATCCTCAGCTAGCTAGGCTCTGCTTTGGCACGTGATGCCTCGTTGTAGCACGTGTCTCTGTAATTGTTTAGCTGGATGAATTCATAAATAACAAAAGGCCACCTTACATGCAAGATCTTCGTGTGTCGGAGAAATATATATTAAACGTTTCTTTTGACTGTTGAATAGGTACAGTTGGAGGAGGAGAGAGCATAATGACGAAGGCCATAAGTTGATAGGGTTACAAGCTGTTTATCAAACGACTCAGCCCCAAATCATTCATTTTCTCCATCTCACCCTGTTTTTTTTTAATAGAGACATAAATCAATTTTTAAAAAAAATTAATTCCTTTACATTTAATAATTTATTCACTGAAGCTAAGCTAGCGAACTGTTTGAGTAATTAAGATCATTTTATGAGGTGTTTCTACTTATCTTTTGAGTAAACGGCCTAGCCACCCATCAGTATCTACTAATTTGAATGTAGATAACATTTAGCAAAGTACTGAGAAAAAATAGAAAAATCTAATGAGGTGATCGGGTTTTATCAACTGAGGATCTTTAGTCTCAAACCTTCTATAGCAATAGCATAGTGGTTTAATATTATTGCCGTGTCACCATATTTAAATTTCGGTGAAGTATATATTGTATTTATATGTTGTAAAACAAAAAAAAAAACTCAAAATCCTATAACAAAAATAAAACGATTAAAACAATGTTCGGATATATCTTTTAACCATGTCGCTTTTACTCTTGTGTAATTTTCCTTTTGCGTTCTTCACACTAACATTTAGAAATGACAAATTTGATCACGTGGATAAATCAATCCGGCCCACCCCGGCCAATTGTCAAAATAGTTTGGATATTTTTCCATGAATATAGTAGTTGACTTTGGTTTTACTGTGTTAATAAGTTACATAGGTTGAAACCGTTGAATCATAATGAGTTATTATTATTGTTAACAATTATATCCAAGTTTCCACATAATAAATCTCTTAATATTTTTTATACGTTTTTTTGTGCATATATTTTTTATATATATTAAAATCAAGATATTAAGTCAAAGTTCAGTCACAAATTTACATTAGAATATGGAAACCATGTTTTTTTCTTTGGAAACAATGATGCTGTCGAATATACAGAATTTTGGTGTCAGAATTTTGTTACTTTCTTATATCAAATTATTCCGACGGATGATTTTCGAACAAACCAACTCAAGAACATTTGAAACTACATTTTCAAGTAGACGTAAAATGAAAGGAGAAATAACACATGTCGCTTCCCACAATCGTACATTCCTAAAGTTCTGCAAAACGGGACATTGTTCTTGACCCATAGAACCAATGTCAGCTCATTCACTTTTTTTTTTTTTTTTTTTTGAAGGTCAGCTCCTTCACTGTCATAGAATTTGATAAGTTCACGAGTGCATTGTGCATACCCACAGTTCAAAAATGAGGTTTGTATAGCTTTTCATCGCATAATCTCTCTGCCACCACTTGTAATTGTAGTAACTTTAGTTTTTTTTTTTTCATTTTTTTTGATGAATTCTTAAGAACACATTGCAGAGTCCACTATTTCATTTTTAGGATCAAGAACACAAAACTAAATCTCTTAGAATTGCCACCGGTAGACTTTGACTCTGAAGTTAATCGTGAAGTAACATCTTATATTTTAATATACTAGGTATTTACCCGCGCTATATTGCGGAATATTTTTTTAGATTTCTATATATTTTTAATATAATAAAATTATTTATATATTTTAAATGAGTATTATATTTATTTTTTATTAGTTTAAGTTATGTATTTATATATTTTTAATCTGAATAAACATTATATATCATTAATTTTTATTTTTTAAATTATAATCTACAATCAAATTTGTTTAGCTAACTATCTATAAATGTATATGTAAGAATAAAACAATACATTTTTAAGTACCTTCAAGCTAATGGTAGATGTAATTTATTTTCTCTACTAAATTGCTACTTGATCCTCCTTTGAAATTATATAAAGCAAATTGCCATTAAAAAAAAAAATTAATTAATATAATTATTTTAAATTATAAAATTTATTTATTTATCAAATATTTATTATAGACAAATGTTTCTAAAAATACCAAACTATAATCAATAACATTCATATCAAAATCATTACTATTACTTTAGAACTAAATATAAAGTTCTATTTGAATTGAAATATCAATTTAGTTTAAGTTAAATAATTCAATTTTGGTTACTATAAACATATTATAACTTGAAAATTTAGCACCGAAATTTTTTATCTTTTTACAAAAACAGAGAAATTGTATTTTCCGCCAAAACCAAAAAAATTTATTTTCTCCTCAAACCTGAAATTTTATTTTCCTATCAAAACGAAGAAATTGCATTTTCCCTCAAAAACCAAAAAATCACACTTTCCCGCGAGAACCTGTGTTTTTCCGTCAAAACAGAGAAATCAAGTTTTTTCACCAAAACCAAAAAATTTCATCTTCCTGCAAAAACAAAAAATAGTTATTTTTCCGTCAAAACCAAAAATTATTTTCCCGCAAAAATCGAGAAATCGTCTATTCCCACCAAAACAAGAAAAAATTATTTTTCTCGTCAAATCAAGAATCACGCCTTCTTACCAAAACTGAAAAACTACAATTTTTCGCAAAAACCAAAAATTGCATCATCTCCTGAAAAATTGCGTTTCCCACGAAAATTAAGAAATCATATTTTCCCTCGAAAACCAAAAATAAAATTATATGTCAAAAACTGAAAATTTGCAGTTCCCATCAAAACCAAGAAATTGTTTATTCCCGCCAAAATCGAGAAATTTTGCTTTTTTATCAACCCGAGAAATTGCATTTTTTGCCAAAATTGTCAAATTATAATTTTCCGCAAAAATCAAGAAATTACATTATCCATCAAAAGCAAAAAAATTGCATTTTCTATCAAAACTGAGAAATTATATTTTCGTCAAAATTGAAAAGTTGCATTTCCCTCGCATTTTTTCGTCAAAATCAAATTTTTTATTTCTCACTAAAACCAAAAATTCACATTTTGCCGCCAAACCCGAGAATTTGCTTTTTTCCGCCATAACTGAGAAACTATGTTCCTACCAAAACTGAAAATCATATTTTTCTACCAAAACCAAGAAATTCTATATATCCGCCAAACTCAAGAAAATTTGTTCTCCGTAACCAGTGGATTTGCGAATCTCCAAGCTGTGGTGGTCTGAGTTTCTCCTCATTTGCTTTCGCCTTTCATTTTTTTTTGTAAACTTTGGACTTTTTAATGGGTCAGCAAAATAGTAAATTGATTTTATTAGTGTGTTAATAATATGTATTATTGTTAGGTTTTTAATGGTTCAAATTTTTGCTGATGTGTGAGCTTCTCATAACATAACGCTTTTTGCATTGTTGTTATGGAAGCATAACTGATGATAAGTCTACACTTTCTTCAGTCATATATGTTTCTATCAAGCAAACACATAGTTATAAATTTTAATTTTTTTTGCTGTTATTTATTATTTGAGTTTCGGTTTGGCAAAAATATAAAACAAAGATTTAATTTTATTATTTGTTGTTATTTATTATTTGGGTTTGTTAAAAAAATAAAATATTTTTTTTATTTGCTGTTATTTATTATTTGGGCTTGTGCTTGACCAAAAAATAAAACTAAAATTAACAATAAAAAATATTTGAGTTTTTAATAGGTTTAAATTTAAAAGTTAAAATAAATTGATGACTTGTATTAATGAAATATTTTTATTGGTGTTTTTTTGCTGAAGTGTCATCTCCTAAAATGTTGAAAATACTGATGTGTCAAGCCATGGAGAGACTTATGGGTTATTGTTGTGTTGATTTTACAATATAGAGTTTTGAGAAATTCTCTTTTTTTTTCCTAGTAAACATTTTTGTTGCGTTATCTTTTTGTTTAGATTTTAATAGTGTTTAAAAAAAAATTATTGATATAATATAGTTTTCATGATTTGTAACTGAACAATAAAATCAGTATACTTTTATGGTTAAAATTTAATTGTATAATTTCATAAACTAAAATTTTATTTATTAATATATTTTAATGAATTTTATCACTAAAATTAATATTATGTATCATGATATATATAAAATAAGATCACAATTTTAACCTTTATTAAAGATATTTAATTTAAAAAATAAATATAATAATTTAAAGTGCACAAATAGGGGCTGTTTTAGTAACTTTAAGAAGTTTGATCTTAGAAGTGAAAACAAATAGGCTTAAAAATAAATTGGAGAAATATTCAAGGTTTTATCTCGAAACAAAAAAAAAATATGCAACGCTGATGGATCAGACATAGATCTCTCTCTCTCTCTGAACATCGACTTTCCTTCAACACTCGTCTCTGTAACTGAGACCTAAAGCCCTCACTTTCTTTCTTTTCTCCAGCTTTGGCAAGACCTAAAGAGGTAATTCTCCGTCGATTTCAGCTTTCCCATTGTTAATTTCACTTGTTTTTGTGAAATCTAGAGCTTTCCTCGATTACTATTCCAAGTTTCGGCTTTGTTTATACAAAGATCTGAGTGATTGAGCTGCAATCAGATAATTTCATGGAGGAACAGAGAGATGAAAATGATTTTGTTGGTGATTGCAGAGAGCCCATGGAGGAAACTGGTAAGGGTCTAGGTTTATCTTCTAAAACCGAAACCCTAGATGGCGAAGCTGGTGTCCCGCAGAAAGAGTCCTGTATTGATGAAGCCGACACTGTAGTGGTTTCAGATTCAGGTGTTTTTGATGTTAGTGAGAGTGATGAGAATGAGAAACAAGCGAGAGTTGATGTTGGTTCTGTTACTAAGGATAGCGTTGAGAAGACAGTTAGCTCTGATGATGTTGAAAAGACTGATGCTGTCACAGAGCCTGAGACTGATGGGAATCAAATGGAGTGTGAAGGAGATGCTGGAGCTGTTGAGGTGAAGCCCGTTAATGGCGAAAGTCATGAGAGTGCAGGAAAAGAGGAGACTGTGATCTCTGGTGGGAATGAGGTGACCGATGAGAAGGGAAACTGTGAAGTTGAAGAAGCTAATGAAGAGAATGGTGAGATGCTTTCTGCTGCAGAGGATGAAGCGGATCAAGAGGAGGAAACAAGAAGAGAAAGTGAGGAGGATGAGAAGGAAATGGATGTTGATAGCAAGCATGCGAATGAAGAGAATGATTCCGATGTAGCAAAGGAAATGGAAGTTGATGAACGGAATAAAAATGCTGATTTGGCAACTGATCTTACCGGAGCAGTTGAACCTGCTGATTCGGAAAACCGAAACAGTCCCTCTGAAGATGCTGCTACAGGTGAAGTTGAACCGGTGGATCATCATGCGCTTTTTGATCCAAGTTCTGATATTACCAACTTTATTGATTTCAGTGGTGTATCATCTTGGTCAGGAAATATACAAGACCTTAAAACTGAAACCGCGAATGTATCTTTGAAAGAGGATAAGAAAGCTACAGAGTGTCCAACAGAGGCTTCTGATGCAGTTATGGAATCTGACGAAAACCAAGAAGAGAAGGGTCATGAATGCTTAGATGAGAAAGCAGTAGATCAACAAGATACGCTGAGTAAGGAAGATGATACAGTTCATGAAGCTCCAAGTATCGATCCAAATCACAAGGAAGATACAGAAATGGAAGAAAATCCAAACAATTTTGAATTCGCTGACGATGGAACCGATTCTGACATGAAAAGCAATGGTGTGAAACGAAAGGCTGATGCCCTGAGTGAGGATTCACCAGGAGAAGGTAGGAAGACTGTTTCGTTTGCGAAGGTGTCTTTTGCCCAAAGGCCGTCCTTTAAGATCGGTGCATGCATAGCCAGAGCTGCTAGTCAGATGGCAGGATCTCCTTCAGTTTTGAAGGGTAGTAACTTCGGTGATGAAACTCTTTCTGTGGAGAGTTTTGTATCCCAGCTTCACTGTGTAGCAACAGACCCTGTCAAAGAGAACGTTGTATCTGAGATTGCTGCTGGCTTTTTCTTAGATTTCCGAAACTCATTGGCTTCGCAGCAAGCTACCCCAGAGAAGGTGAGCAATAAAAGAGGTAGACCATCCAATTCTAGTGCAGGAGGAACCGAAGCATTTGAGTTTGAGGAAATGGGCGACACGTACTGGACTGACAGGGTGATCCATAATGGTGGTGAAGAGCAAACACCAACCACTGATAAAGAAAACTATCAAGTTGTGCCCGTTGAGTTGAAACCTGCTCAGATTAAAAGGACTCGTCGACCATACAGAAGACGACAGTCTCTGATCAGTACTCCTCCTCCTTCAGCTACAGACAAACCGGCAAACTTTGATGAGAATGCACCAGCTGAGCTTATAATGAACTTTTCTGAAACGGATACAATACCTCCTGAGAAGAGCCTGCGTAAAATGTTCAGGCATTTTGGACCAATAAGGGAGTCGCAGACTGAAGTTGACAAGGAGAATAACCGGGCTAGAGTAGTCTATAGGAAGAGTACTGATGCCGAGGTTGCTTACAACAGCGTAGGAAGATTCAGTATCTTTGGAACGAAGACTGTGAATTACGAGCTAAGGTATACAATTACTGAAGCATTCAAAGTTGAGCCTTATGTTGTGTCTTTAGGCGATGTTAGTGGAACTGATCAAAACCCAGATGATGGAGGTCCAGCTACTGGTAATGGAGGCTTAAAAGCTGGAGATGACAATCCGGGTAATTCGGTTTCTGATGTGAAACATGTGAAAGCTGATGTTGCGAGTCTTGAAGATTTGGTTGCGATTAAGGATAACGTTGAGGAGACAGTTAGCTCTGGCGATGTTGAAAGGACTGATGCTATCACAGAGCCTGAAACTGAGAAAAATCAAATGGAGTGTGAAGGAGATGCTGGAGTTGTTGAGGTGGAGCCGGTAAATGGTGAAAGTCACGAAAATGCAGGAGTGGAGGAGACTGTAGTCTCTGGTGGGAATGAGGTGACTGGTGAGAAGGAAAAATGTGAAGTTGAAGAAAAAAGTGGCGCTCATGATGCCGAACAAAATGTTCAGACTGAGTCACAGCAAATTTCAGTCGATCGTGAGATGCTTTCTGTTGCAGAAGAGAAAGCGGACCAAGAGGAGGAGACAGCAAGGAAAAGTGAGGAGGACGATAACAAAATGGATGTTGATAGCAAGCAGGCGAATGAAGAGAATGTTGGTCTCCATGATCCGGGATCTGAGACCAAAGAGGCTAATGATTCAGAATCTGCACAAGTTCCAGAGGAGCCTACCCAATTAAGCAAAGAGGACTCGAAAGAAGAAAACCCAGGAAATCTTTCGGAAGTTAGCTCTGCTGCTGAAATGTGTCGTGAAGAAGAAATAACCAATGTTAACCATAAAGAAGAAAACAGAGAAGCCATGGAAATCGATAATGCTACGGAGGAGGCGGTGGAAAATAATGTTACAGCAGGTGGTGTTTTGGACGAGGCTGGCAATGAATCTGCAGGTGCAAGTATTTTACAAACCCAAGATGTTCCAATAGCTGAAGCTAACAGGAATGATTCGAATGTAGTAAAGGAAATGGAAATGGAAATTGGTGAACGGAAAGATGATGCTGATATGGCAACTGATCTTACCGGAACACTTGAATCTGCTGATTTAGCAAATCCAAACAGTCCCACTGAAGATGCTGCTTCAGGTGAAGTTGAACCTTTGGATTATAATACTCTTTTTGATCCAAGTTTTGATATTACCAACTTTATTGAATTCAATAGTGTATTATCTTGGTCAGGAAATATACAAGACCTTGAAGCTGAAACCGGGAATGAAACTTTGAAAGAGGATAAGAAAGCTACTGATATGGCAGAGGGAGTCGCCACTGTCGAGACCCTTAAATCTGTTGACGCTAAAGTGAATGCTGAATCCCGTGATGAAGTAAGGTTAAGTGCCGAAGGTGTTGAAAATGAATCGAACGAAGCCCCTGTTGCCACGGATTGTCAAAAAGAGGATTCTGATGCAATTTTGGGATCTGAAGAAAACAAAGAAGATAATCATGAATACGTAGATCAACAAGATTCAATGAGAGAGGAAGGTTACTGATAGAAGCAGTGGTTTCAAAGGTTTAAACGGTTAGTGACTATTTACTAAATGTTGCAAAGTAATCAGAGTTTATTGTACTTATTCTCAAAAGTAACTTTAGCTTGATTAGGCCATCTCTTAGTCTTTATCTATATAGTATCTTTGAGGATGTTGATAGAGGGTTTTTATCGAGTTTATGAGTTAATTAGGGTGAGTGGGAGGAGCTCGATTATCAAAATTCTCTGGTTCCTATATATAATCCCAACATTATGTTTTATAAATCAGTATTTATATATCTACATGTATCAATGACACTACTCTCGAAGCTTCGACCGATCCAAATCAAAAGGAAAGTTGCATATGTTGTTAATAGCTAAGTTGTATACAATTTTTCACATGTGTAGAGTGTAGACTGAGAAGAGTTGGATATAAGCATAGTAGCCTGGTAGATTCACTCTAGGGAGTTTAAGACCCATTAATACACATGAAGTGATGAGACCATGTCTTTGCCTATTGTGCTTGTCTTAAAAGGGCTTATATAAGTGTCTTCTTAGGGATTGTAAATTGATTTTGTGTGTTCAGGTGAAAACAACTGGCAGGGATCAAGAGAAGTAAACGATGAAGTGGCTCAATGGAATTTGGAGGCCCTTGCTTGAAGTTATGTTAACTTTTAGGTAGAGAGTTAGGCTGTGTAATAATAATAGTTCGAGAGAACATATATGTTTATGTCATGTGTAATTGTCGAGTCTAGAGAGAGGCAATCTTCTTTGTTTTAGTGATAAAAACATTTGTATTTGCTGTTGTTATTAAACAAAGGGATATTAGGAGAGAGTGTTGTTGAAGAGATTTGGAGCACTAAACTTGGAGAGCCTTAGGTTAGATGAGATGATTCGATTCGACCAAGTTTGGCTACTACTCAAATTTATGCAATATTTGTTTTGGTTTTTAATTTTTACGCAGGGTTGTTTTAGTAACTTTCAAAAGGTTGATCTGAAAATGTTAAAACGATTAGGGTTTTAAAAGAAATTCGAGAAAAGGTCAAGGTTTATCTCAAACAAAATAAATATTCAGAGCGGAAGGATACATAGGTCTCTCTCTCTCCCCGGACATCGACGCTTCTTCTTCTTCTTCTTCTCCACGCTCGGCTCTGTAACTGAAACCTAAAGCTCTCACCTTGTTTCTTTTCTCCAATTCTGGCAAGATCTAAAGAGGTAATTTTCCGTCGATTTCAGCTTTCCCATTGTTAATTTCACTTCCGGTGTTAGTGCAATCTAGAACTTGCCCTGATTCCCGTTCCAAGTCTGGGCTCTCGCTATATAAAGATTTATCGATATATTCGAGTGATTGAGCTGCAACCAGATAATTCCATGGAGGAACAGAGAGAGGAAAGTGAGTTTGTTTGCGATTACGGAGAGCCCATGGAGGAAATTGGTAAGGGACTAGGTTTAGCGTCTAATTCTAAAACCCTAGATGGTGAATTTGATATCGAAGATGCCAACACTGTAGTGGTTTCGGATTCAGATGTTTGTGATGTTAGTGATTTTGATGAAAACCCAAATCATGGAGGTTCGGCTACTGAAGATGGCAATGCGGATAACTCGGTTTCTGATGAGAAACTAGCGAGACTTGATGTAAGAAGCGTTGAGGATAGCGTTGAGAAGACAATTAGCTATGATGATGTCGAAACGACTGATGCTATCACAGAGCCTGAAACTTATAGGAATCAAATCGAGCGTGACGGAGATTCTGGAACTGTTGAGGTGAGGTCGGTTCATGGTGAAAGTCATGAAAGTGCAGGAGAAGAGGAGACTGTGATCTCTGATGGGAATGAGGTGACTGATGAAAAGGAAAACTGTGAAGTTGAAGAAAACGGTGGTGCTTATGATTCCGAAGAGAATGTTCAAACTGAAGTGTCCCAGCAAAGTTCAGTCGATGATGAGACGCTCTCTGTTGCAGAAGATGAATCGGACCAAGAGGAGGAATCAGCAAGGGAAAGTGAGGAGGATAATAAGGAAATGGATGTTGATGGCAAACACTCGATTGAAGAGAATGATGCTCTGCATGATCCAGGATCTGAGACCAAAGATGCTAAGCATTCAGAATCTGCAAAAGTTCCAGTGGAGCCTAACCAACGAAGCAAAGGAGAAGCGAACGAAGAAAACCCAGGAACTGTTTTGGAAGTTAGCTCTGCTGGTGTAATATGTCGTGAAGAAGAAATAACCAGTGTTAACCAAATAGAAGAAAACGGAGAAGCCATGGAAATCGATTATGCGACAGAGGAGCTGGTGGTAAAGAATGTTACGCTAGGTGGTGTTTTGGATAATGCTGGTATACAAACCCAAGTTGGTCGGATAGCTGAAGCTGGCGGGAATGATTCCAATGTAGTGAACGAAATGGAAATTGATGTTGATATGTCGACTGATCTTACTGGATCAATTGAATCTGCTGATTCAGAAAACCAAAACAATGCATCTGAAGATTCTGCTACAGGTGGCGTTGAGCCGTTGGATCATAATGCTTTTTTTGATCCAAGTTCTGATATTACCAACTTTATTGATTTCAGTGGTGTATCAACTTGGTCAGGAATTATACAAGACCTTAAAACCGAAACGAATGTATCTTTGGTAGAGGATAAGAAAGCTGCTGTCATGGGAGAGGAAGTTGCCACGGTCGAGACCCTTAAATCTGTTGACGCAACAGTAAATGCTGAATCCCATGATAATCTAAGCATAAGTGCAGAAGGTATTCAAAATGGATCCACTGAAGCCTGTATTGCTTTTGGAGCAGAATATTCAGATTCTGCTACAGAGTTTCCAAGAGAGGCTTCTGATGCAATTATGGGATCTGACGAAAACCAAGAAGAGAAGGGTCATGGATGCTTAGATCAGAAATTAGTAGATCAACAAGATGCAATGGGAGAGGAAGATGAGAGTACTCATGAAGCTCCAAGTATTGAACCAACCCAAAAGGAAGATACAGAAACGGAAGAAAATCCAAACAATTTTGATTATGCTGTTGATGGAAGCGATTCTGATATTAAAACCAAAGGCGTGAAACGAAAGGCTGATGTCCTGAGTGAGGATTCACTAGGAAAAGGTAGGAAGACTATTTCATTGGCGAAGGTGTCTTTTTCCCAAAACCCGTCCTTTAAGATCGGTGCATGCATAACCAGAGCTGCTAGTCAGATGGCAGGATCTCCTTCAGTTTTGAACGGTAGTAGCTTTGGTGATGAAACTCTTTCTGTTGAGAGCTTTGTATCCCAGCTTCACGGTGCAGCTGTTGACCCTGACAAAGAAAACGTCGTATCTGAGATTGCTGCTGGATTTTTCTTAGATTTCCGAAACTCGTCAGCTTCACAGCAAGTTACCCCAAAAAAAGTTGGCAATAAAAGAGGTAGACCATCCAATTCTAACGAAGGAGGAACCGAAACATTTGAGTTTGAGGAAATGGGCGACGCATACTGGACTGACAGGGTGATCCATAATGGCGGTGAAGAGCAAACTCCAATGACTGAGAAAGGAAACTATGAAATTGTACCGGTTGATTTGAAACCTGCTCAGGTTAAAAAGACTCGTCGACCATACAGAAGACGACAGTCTCAGATCAGTACTCCTCCTCCTTCAGCATCAGACAAACCGGCGAACTATGATGCGAACGCACCGGCTGAGCTAATCATGAAATTTTCTGAAACGGATGTAATACCTCCTGAGAAGAGCCTGAGTAAAATGTTCAGGCATTTTGGACCAATAAGGGAGTTGCAGACTGAAGTTGACAAGGAGAATAACCGGGCTAGAGTAGTCTATAGAAAGAGCACTGATGCCGAGGTTGCTTACAACAGTGCAGGAAGGTTCAGTATCTTTGGGACGAAAACTGTGTATTACGAGCTCAGCTATACAATAACTGAAGCATTCAAAGTTGAGCCTTATGTTGTGTCTTTAGGCGAGGAGAATGCAGCACTATGTTTTTCATCCTAGATGTAGTATTGCTGCAGGCATGGCTCAGGTAAATCTGATTTTTCTGTTCTGCTTCTCATGTTTTCGTTCATGCTTCTAATGCTTAAACTATAAAATCTACTGGTTTGAAAAGCTGATGTACTTTCTTTCTCTGAATACATAGTTTCGTTTATGTTTGTGGTTATGGTAGTAATAACAAAGGCGTGGAGTCTGTAGATTTCTTACTATAAGTAGAGTGAGAAGAGATGTATGCATGGTAACCTGGTAGATTCAAGCTAGGAAGTTCAGACTCAATAACACATACATGACGATTAAGTGATGAGGAGGCCATGTCTTTACTTGTTGTGTTCTTCATAAATTGAGTTTGGATTCACTCACACCGAATGTTTGATCTTGTGTTTCAGGTGAAAGCAATGGGCAGGCATCAAGGAGACCTAAACAGCGAAGTGGATCAGCGGATTGGAGCTCTTGCTTGTGTTAAGTTACCTTTTAGGTTGAGATTTTAGGCTGTGTAATATGAGAAAGCATGTAATATCCCGAGTTCTTTATTATCTTCTATTGTCGAGGTTAGAGAGAGAGAGTCCCTTTTTTTTCTCTGGTGACAACAGATTTAACGGTTTTTAGGTGAAGTGATTTTGGAGCAGTGTATTAGTAGACTTGGGTGAAATGATTGGACCAAGTCAAATTTATGTTCAGCATTTGGTTTACTTGTTTATATGTTCATTGATTATTCTAGGGCGATGCTAAGCTAATGCCCACAAGCACCAGAAACCACATTTTATTTGGACGGATCATTATTTACGGTCGATTAAATGAATCATAGACTTGCATCTCTGAAATCGTGAACAGATTTTAAGTAGATTTTTTTTTTATTAACTACACGAATCAATATTTCTCGAAGAGGAAACTATATATCCAGTTTGGTGTTCATGACTGATGATAAAATGATAACACGCTCGACTGAAGAATTCGGTGTGCCCTTCACTTTACCAGTTATCTCATCTCTCTCTCTCTCTCTCTCTCTCCTCTGCACTCGTCTCTGTTACTGAGACCCAAAAAGCCCTCTTCTTGTTTTTTTCTCTGGTAATTTTCCGTCGATTTCAGCTCTCTCGTTGTTTTCATTTCAATCCTGGGTCTGTGAAATCTGCAATTTTTTCATGCTTGTTGTGAATACCCTTTTCCTTGATTTCGGTTTCCCAAGTTTCGCCTTTCTTTATACAAGATTCATCGATGTATTGAGTAATCTTGAGCTTCAACCAGATAATTCCAGTGGAGGAACAAAGAGAGGAAAAGTGAGTTTGTTGGTGATTGCATGGAGGAAGCTGGAAAGGGACTAGCTTTATCTTCTTCTGTTACTGAAACCCTAGGTGTTGGTGAGGATGCCACTACGGTAGAGGTTTCGGATTCAGGTGTTTGCGATGTTAGTGGAACTGATCGAAACCCAGATGATGGAGGTTCAGCTGCTGATGATGGCAAGACGGGTAATTCGGTTTCTGATGTGAATCATGTGAAAGCTGATGTTACGAGTCTTGAAGATTTGGTTGCGAGTAAGGATAACGTTGAGGAGACAGTTAGCTCTGGCGATGTTGAAAGAACTGATGCGCACACAGAGACTGAAGTTGAGAGAAATCAAATGGAGTCTGAAGGAGATGCTGGAGCTGTTGAGGTGAAGCCGGTCAATGGTGAGAGTCAAGAAAGTGCAGGAGGAGAGGAGACTGTAATCTCTTGTGGGAATGAGGTGACTGATGAGAAGGATAAATGTGAAGTTGAAGAAACTAATGAAGAGGATGGTGAGATGCTTTCTGTTGCAGAGGATGAAGCGGACCAAGAGGAGGAAACAGCAAAGAAAAGTGAGGAGGATGATAACAAAATGGATGTTGATAGCAAACAGGCGAATGAAGAGGATGTTGTTCCCCATGATCCGGGATCTGAGAACAAAGATGCTACGCATTCAGAATCTGCACGAGATGTCCCAATAGATGAAGCTGCCAGGAATGATTCCAGTTTAGTCATGGAAATGGAAATCGATGAACGGGAAGATGATGCTAATATGGCAACTGGTCTTACCGGAGCAGTTGAATCTGCTGCTTTAGCAAATCCAAACAGTTCCACTGAAGATGCTGCTACAGGTGAAGTTGAACCCTTGGATCATAATGCTCTATTTGATCAAAGTTCTGATATTACCAACTTTATTGATTTCAGTGGTGTATCATCTTGGTCAGGAAATATACAAGACCTTAAAACTGAAACCGCGAACGTATCTTTGAAAGATGACAAGAAAGCTACAGAGTGTCCAACAGAGGCTTCTGATGCAGTTATGGGATCTGACGAAAACCAGGAAGAGAAGGGCCATGAATGCATAGGTGAGAAAGCTGTAGATCAACAAGATGCAATGGGAGAGGAAGATGAAAGTACGCATGAACCTCCAGGTACTGAACCAACCCAAAAGGGAGATACAGAAATGGAAGAAAATCCAAACAATTTTGATTTCGCTGACGATGGAACCGATTCTGACATGAAAACCAATGGTGTGAAACGAAAGGCTGATGCCCTGAGTGAGGATTCACCAGGAGAAGGTAGGAAGACTGTTTCGTTTGCGAAGGTGTCTTTTGCCCAAAGGCCGTCCTTTAAGATCGGTGCATGCATAGCCAGAGCTGCTAGTCAGATGGCAGGATCTCCTTCAGTTTTGAAGGGTAGTAACTTTGGTGATGAAACTCTTTCTGTTGAGAGTTTTGTATCCCAGCTTCACTGTGTAGCAACAGACCCTGTCAAAGAGAACGTTGTATCTGAGATTGCTGCTGGCTTTTTCTTAGATTTCCGAAACTCATTGGTGTCGGAGCAAGACACCACAGAAAAGGTAAGCAAAAAAAGAGGTAGGCCATCCAATTCTAGTGAAGGAGGAGACGAAACATTTGAGTTTGAGGAAATGGGCGACACGTACTGGACTGACAGGGTGATCCATAATGGCGGTGAAGAGCAAACGCCACCTACTGATAAAGTTGAGCCGGTTGAGTTGAAACCTGCTCAGGTTAAAAGGGCTCGCCGACCATACAGGAGACGGCAGTCTCAGATCAGTATTCCTCTTCCGTCAGCCTCAGACAAACCGGCCGGCTTTGATGAGAATGCGCCAGCTGAGATTATAATGAAGTTTTCTGAAACGGATACAATACCTCCGGAGAAGAGTCTGAGTAAAATGTTCAGGCATTTTGGACCAATAAGGGAGTCACAGACTGAGGTGGACAGGGAGAAGAACCGGGCTAGAGTAGTTTTTAGGAAAGGTGCTGACGCCGAAGTAGCTTACAACAGCGCAGGAAAGTTCAATATCTTTGGGACGAAGGCTGTCAATTACGAGCTCAGCTTTACAATTACCGAAACATTCACAGTTCAGCCTTATGTTGTGTCTTTAGGCGAGGAGGAACCAGCGCTATCTCTTCCCTCTTAGATGTAGTTCTGATTCAGGCATCGCTCAGGTAGTTCTGAATTTCTTCTTAAGGATTATATGAATTGATATTTGATTCAAACAGAGTGGTTGATTTTGTGGTGTGTTCAGGTGAAAACAATTGGCAGGGATCAAGAGAAGTAGACGATGAAGCGGCTCTTGCTTGTGTTTTGTTTAACATTTAGGTAGAGAGATTTAGGCTGTGTGATAGTTTGAGAGAACATATATTTTCTAGAGACGAGAGTTCTTGGTTATGTCCTGTGTAATTGTCAGAGGCTAGAGAGGCAATCTTCTTCGTTTCAGTGACAGAAACATTTGATATCTGCTGTTGTTATCAAACCAAGTGTTGATGAACTGATTTGAACGGTTAGGTGAGATGATTCGACCAAGTTTGGAATATTGAATTTGGTTTTAATTACAGACTTTAGATTTACCAAAATTAAATATCTCAAATCTGAACCAAAATAAAAACCGTACTAAACCAAACCGAATGTTTCTGATTCAATTCGGTTTTCATACTTTTGAAACCGAAATACGAACTTATTCGACGGTGATGAGTGAGTGATAACAGTAGAGTACGTCTTCGTCTTCCACCTTGAGAAAGGAGAATCGATTGTAGCGGAAAAATATACGAGATCCAGGTTTCTCGTAATGCTATTATGGTGGCATGAGACTGTTTTTGATCTATGGAATCAGTAGAAAATGCGAGAAGAAACCGTCGCAGGCGAGAGATTTTTTCAGTAAATGGTATTAAACTAACGGCGTTAGATTGACTGTTACAAATTCATTACAGGAGGGAACTCCAAAATATTTTGACTAAATTTTTCAAAATAGGTTCCGATTTCACGCTCTTTCATCTTCCCTCCCACTTCACTTCCCCCAAATTTAACAAAAGAAAGAGAGAGAGAATAAAGAAAACCTAGCCCCTGCCTCGCCGTGGAGATTCACTCACACCACGACGAGCTCATTTAATCGCGGCTTCGATTTCGCTATCGCTACGCCGCTGGGTTTTGATGATTACTACATCGCGAAGACATTAACCATCGAGCGTGGTGAGTATGCTCCTTATCCTATCTCTGATTTATGTTTGCAATCGAATTCTTCGCTTGATAAGTCCTTCAACCGGTGCTACTCACCAGATTCTAGGGTTTCATTGGGTCTAATTTTGGGGTCGCGAGGCTAACTTTATGGATTTAGGATTGGATGAAGAAAAAATACCAAATTGTGTTTCAGAAGTTGATATAGGTAAATTCGAGGATCAAGCGAACAGCATCTTTCGGAAATGGCGAAAGTAGTTGCTCCTGCTGCTTTCAGTAGCTCTCTTCAGATGGGTGGAGGGTCCAAAGCTGCGCCAAAGGGTAAGAGGAAGACGCCCACTGAACTGAGGGTACGTTCGTTTGTTTTCCTCTCTTCATTGTGCAGTGTTTTTCTCTTTGTGTTGTTATCTTTAAATGTTGTTAATTTAAATACTAATCCCTTCTCGCAACACAGGGAGAACAATTGCAGCGGACTAGTTTTGTGGACCAAGCTAAAGAATCGTTTGATGCATTGCGCCCTTGCAAAAGGTAAAAAAAATCATCACTTCTTCAAGTTGTTGAGCTTGTATTGTTCTTACTAGATTATATTGGCAGTACTACTGAGAGAGAAAATGGCCCCAAGAAACAAGAACTTTTGAAGAATCCGAAATACATAGAGATGCGTATGGACGAACTATATCCTGTCAAAAAGGCTCGGCCTTGGATGCTCTCTGGCAAAGAAAACTCTAAGGTTTCACAACCTCTCTGATTCTAAGTCTTGATTCCTTTAGTTTTGTGAAAAACTTATGTAAAAGACGCTTTTATAGTTTATATAGTACACATCTTTTTGGTTTATTAATTTTTATTTGTCTTTACCACAGGAAAATGGTGCGAAAGAGCAATCCAGCAGTCTGGTCAATGTTTCTTTCCTCTCAAATGTCGTTGCCATGAAAAGACAGCAACTTATACGGTAAAACGCCTCGGGCAATTTCTGTCTGGAGTAAGGTGGCGTTCTGTGCTTTAACTTATGCTAATGCTTTAATGTCTTAGCAGTGAGGACAATAATGATTCTACTGAAGTTTCCAATGGTACTAACGCCGAAGCAAGTCAAACAATTGAGAGATGTAGCAAGAGCATCATGTATCGCAGTGTCACGGAACTTTCAACCAGGGGTGAAGAGTTCTCCTGCTTGCCAGATATTGATATGGTATGCTTCCCTTAGCAGTCTCTGATAATCTCAGATGGCTTTGTATATGGTCTAAAACTGATGTTGTCTTTCAACAGAACAAAGCACTGAAAGGACTTGCCACTTGTACACCATTGCCGCTTCATCCTGGTGACATAACTGGGAAAACTGATACTGCGTCATTACGTGGAAATTTCATTTCTGAGTTCCATGTTCCTGGGCAAAATATTCCTCTAGACCTTTCCTTGAAGACTTGTGCTCGACTTGTTTCCTCGTCTCCATTAAATTGGTGAGCTGAGCTATTTCTGATATTCCTGTTACAATATGTAGTAAGAACAGAATCATATATTGGTTGATTTCTAGTTAAATCTGAGTGTTTCCTCCTTGACATCTTATATTCGTTATCACATACCACACTTGATGATATTTTGTTTTGTTATCAGACAGAAGTATTCCTTTTATTCACTTCTTTTTCGTATTAAATTATGTTGAAATAGTATTTTTTTATTGCCTCTAAAGTTTGGTTCAGTCTAAAATTTTCCATTCTAATGTTGTTCTAGGTTACATAGGTCAATCATGGGTAGTACCTATAATGGTATGCCACAGCTAAAGCCGCTGTCATGTGATGTGGTAAATCAAAATAACAGTAGTGGTTCTGGATCAGCTGTGGTTTCCCAGGTGTTAAATTCCATGTCGCTACACTCATGGATTTATCCCCAATCCACCTTGCCTCCTTTTATCATTTCAGCATTGGTAGCATCTGGAACAGACAGAGGTTTGTTAATGATGTTCAAGAGCTATGCCTTCTTATCAGTCCATATTCCTTCTAAGTTTTATAAAGAGGTCTTCCTTTTGCTGTTTCAGGTGAAGTTGATTTCCTTCAAAAGCGACAATCGGCATGGGAAGATGCTTTTCGAAGTCTATATTTTATGTTTCGGAAGAATCTCTGCAAAATATTTTATGGTACGTATATCTGCCTGATTTGGATGTGATTTTTAGGGGGTATATGCACAGCTTCTTTCTCATGTTCCATCTCTTACTGTAAATGATATGTATGCTGTACTCTTGCAATGAAACTAAATTTTAGTTACCCATTATTCGGATTGTAGTTTGTACTTCACAGTTTGTGGCAATGTTCACTGAAAGCTGTGAGTCAGGGGGTGTCAAACGCTCATGCAATGCCTATATCACTCAGTCAACTAGAAGATTGAGAGCCATACTAAAAGACCTTGTAAGATGTCGTTCGTCTTTCTCAAGTATTGAGAAACCATGTGTTCTTTTTTGGGTCAGTGTGGCACTGATGCTTAGTGCTGTCATCAGTAATTTACTAATAAGATATGAATATGTTTTTCACAGGACATATGCTACACTATGCCTCTTTGTAAAACTAAAATTGATGAGACCACTGTTGAAGATCTTGCTGAACTCTCAGAGATAGAGAATCATAATCTTGGCCAGGTTTGTGCACCTTCATTTACCTGTTGAGGAACTTTATTTCTGTGTAGGTGAATATTCCACTATTCTGAACAATGTGAAGCATCTGCAATTGTAAATGGGAGTGTACTTAGTATTGGCTTATTTTTCTGACTCCTGGTAATAGATGCAGACTCGTCGTGTGCGGTCCGACTCAAACATAGATAATACTCCAGAATCTTTCTTGGCTTTTGATGGAAATGAGAGCGTTCATGGATTGTATGATCTGCTGTTAAATTATAGGTGCGTATGAACATTTATCGAGCACATCTATATCCTATTAAGCAATTTCCATGATTTATAATATTAACCTTTATTTCTGAATCATGCGTAGATCTTCTTTGGGATTTCTTCTCACCGCAGACGTTCCTGTATTATATTCACCTGTACCATTTCAGAATGCTGCAGTGTCTTCTCCTGAGGTATATTTCCTTACATTTGTGCTTTGCTCTGTAATCTGTGAATTCTTCTTGACATTTTCAGAATACGTGTTCTTTGATCTTCAGATCAAGTGCACGGAGATGGTAAGAACAGAGCATACAAGTTGCTGCATGGTCGAGATCAAGGGTGAACATCTTCCGCCGTGGATTATTAGCAATATATGTGCAAATGTGGGTGCTAATGGACAAAACTTCGAAGCCAGGTTCGTTGATTCAAAATCAATTCTCTCTTCTCTTCCGAACCAAAAACTGAAGTCTTTTGCTAACACTCTATGAATTGAATTCAGCTTTGTGACCGAGCCAACCTCTGTTTGCTTAAACATGGGTCTACCACAAATCCCTGAGAAAACGGAGCCTGAGTCTCTAGTCATGGAAGGCACAGGAGAAACAAACGATGATGCGTCTGGCATTCCCGGTGCGGTGATCTGTCCTCAGCTTCGATCAGGCCATCTAAAGAGCTTGAAGTATTGCAACAAGTCTTACACTGTTTCACTTTCTCCCTCGTGATCTGTATTTGCTTTGAATCCTCTCATTTTCTATGTTTTCGTCGTTGTATGCATGACCCCAACCAAAATCAAATTATCAACCCAATGTTAAATTTTTATTTTTGCAATTTGGCTGGACATATTCGTAAACATATTTGATGGCAATGTATAAGAAAACCGTTGGTTTGATTGTTGATTTTATTTATCCGTATTCCAACATAAGAGAAGTGACTTTGATATTGCCTTGAGGAGATGTCAGATCAAAAAAACGAACAAAGTCATATTGTTTAATCTTGTGTTGATATCAAAGTGGATTGTTTCTTGTGTTTACATAAAACACACGGGATTAGCAAAATTCAAAATTACTTATGTTGTTTTCACTAAGAACTTTGCAGCTAAACAAATGATTACTACATATCATATGATAACTACGAGTAATGGTCAACCTGGAGACCAAACTTGGGGAGGAAGCTTGGTCTCCAAGTTTGATGCTCGATTATATATATTCTTGGCTGAACACACACTGAATCAAGCTCGTACGCACAGGAGACCTTCTTCTCTTTGCAAGAGCATCTTCTCACTTTGAAATACAGATTGATTGCCTTGAGGAGATGTAAGATCACAAAAAACAAGAGGAGAAGAATTGAACTTTGGATTGATATATTCAACCAGAATCTGAACCAACCATCCGTACATGTTTGAATGGAGGTCTTGCAATAAAGCGAAAATGTACATTCATTTTTGTACTAAACTAAGGCAAGAGAAGAAAGAATGCATATCTAGACATGTGAACCTGTTAAACAACTCCATCTCCTAGTTCGAGATCCCTCGCCTAGAATCATAAGCATCCCCATGTTATTTGCTGACAAATCATAGACATACCTGCATTGCAATTTCGCAATGAGAATTCATCACAGTAATACCAGTGAAACGAAAAATGCAATTCGTAAATTTTGACTTACTTGTTTCGCTTGGCTTTCCTTTTCCAATATACGAAAGACACAATCCACTGAAACACAATAGTCAAGTGAGACCAAAACTCAGGCTTACCGCACGGTTACAGCAAACAATGTAAACACCATGTGAGAGTTAGATTTATGATTATTTTACCTTGAAGACCGTTCCTACAGAGAATGCTTTCAAAGATGGCATTTTGCTAATCTGGTTTCGTCCCTTTGTTGCAACAGTTTCCTTTGATAAATGCTGTGCAATCTCTTTCAGCAGCACCAACTGAGCTTTGTCTGTCCGCATCGATACAATGATCTGCCTCAACGATTCCCTGTCAGCTTCAAGTGCTTGAAGCCTCGTGTAAAGCTTCTCGATATCTGGCTCGTTAACTCCTTGCTGCGTCGTGAACGGTTCTTGGTACCTCGGAGAATTCCAGTGATCACCGTTCAGCTTTCCTTTACTCATCTTGCTAGTAGGCTCCTCCTCAATCTTAACTTCAGAAACACCCACATGGATTGAGTCTATAGTATAAACTCTATCGCTACTATTGGACATAGGAGAGTCTGTGAAAACTGTCCCTTTTATCTCTTTTGCAGTTCCTAAAGGCGAATTTGGATCATAATATGGCCATCTTGGAGACTGACCAACTATCACCTTCTCCACAACCTCAACATTACCATCTTCTCCGCTCTGGTTCTCGTCCACAGTACATTTCAAAGAAGTATATTCGCAGGGGTAAACATCAATACCGACAGAGCTAACAGAGTCTCTGCCAAAGCCAAGTATCTGATCATTTATCTCTGCTTCGGTTACTCCACAGCTCAACAATGTATGCTTGTACGCTTCGACCTCATAAGTCAAGGCCTCGATAGCACGCTCTTTCTCATACAACAGCTCCTCCAAAGCCGAGAGCTGTTCTTGGTCATGGGTCATTTTCTCCTCAGCAAACGCTTTGAACTGCCGAGCTTCCATCTGTATCTCAGCCTTTTCTCTCTGCAGCCTAAGTATCATCGACATCGTCTCGTTCGCTGCTGATGCAGCCGCGTTTCTCTCCTCTTCAAGCTCCAAGTGAAGATCTTTCACTGTTTGCCTTTGGCTAGAGAGAGCCTCGAGCAAAGCGGCACATTCCTTCTCAACTAGTAACTTGGCGTTCGAAGATGATTCAGAGGAGCCTCGAAGCAACATCATGTGCCCTTCTTTGAATTCGCTGAGCTTTCTTTTCACCGTTCTAGTCCAAGGATCTGAAGAAGACGCCCCAAGAGAATAATCAACACCAATATCATAGCATTTCACAACGTCCCTTGAAGGAAAACTTAATTCAGAATCCATAGGGTACCCAAAACCCCAATCTCGAACTCGAAGGCTAAGAAACAGACAGATTAAGTACGTTCCCAAAAACCCCTAACTTTTGAATCTGATAAAAAGCTGAAACCTTTGTTTCATCATCCAATTGAATTGCAGAAACAAGTACAACAATGAGCCACACCGGACCTGAACAAAGACCCCCAAAAAACAATATTTCCGTTAACAAATCGCAAGAAAGTTTCCATATAATCCAAAACAGAGAAGACAAGTTGTGGTTCTCAAAAACCCAAAGAAGGTATTTTTTTCAAGAATAATATATTATCTGTTTTACCTCGACACGAAACTTAAGATGGGTGCAGCTACCTATTCACAAAGATCTCTCCTTCCGGGAAAAAGAAAAAAGAAAATGAAATTTTCCTTCTGTTTCCCGGGGAAAAAAACAGAGAGGAAAAGGTTAGAAACGGCGGGATTTTCCGGAGGGAGAGAAGATGGAAAACCCAATAAGAGAAAAAAGAGAGAATTTTGGATTTTGGTTTTGTGTTTTGTCTTTGATTGTCCATCTTCCTCATCTCTCCCTTCTTTATCGGAGCGCGTTTCATAGTTCTCGGGCTACGTGCCCACCGAGATAGACAGAGAAGGTAATATCATGAATAAATTTTGCCTTCTTTTGTGGGAAAAAGAGCCAAAATTAAATTAAAATGCTCGTAACGAACAAAAAAAAATCAGTTAATGAAATACTTGTGAGCTGTATAATTAGAGGAGAAATAAATCCAGAAAGAGCAAAATGGATTCGTATGAGCAAATCATACCTTAAGAAGTTTCGATTTCCGATCAGATTTGCTTACCAATGATTCATGCGATCTATAAAAACTATGCAGTATCATAAACTGACGATTCAGTCAAATTAAGTTCGACCAGCTTGATAATATGTTTTTCGTAATATAGATTTCTTATCAAACCTCAGTAAATTTGGGATAAATCACTCTGTTTCTTTTCTTTTAGTATCCAAAATATGGTTGGTTGCTACTTGCTACAAAAAGAAAAAGGAAAGAAGAACCATAAAATACTTTACATTAAATATGGTTGGGTACTAATATGAAAGAGAATTAAATTTCATTGGTTTGTGTTTGGTTCACAAGGATTTTGTGTCTGTAATTAATAGATGTAGTTGCACCACGTGGTTTACTTATAAACAATAAAAGGTAATAGAATTGAATAAATATGAAATATTGGAAACAAAAAGAAGAGGAAATGGAAATTAATGATGTACTTTGATTATTTTTCAGTCCTTATTACTAAACAAGATTGAAAGTCCATTAATTTTTTTAATGAGGACATATATTATAGGAATAAACTGGCCAATGAGGTGTTTATTAGAAATTATTTTGATGAGGACATAAACATTATGAGATGTGTTTATGAGATATGTAGGGTTGTTTTCATTTTATTAAGTTTTAAATAAGGTTGGTCCGTTAGGTTTTTTTGTTGCAAATGTGTATAAAACACTCTTTGATATGGATTTTGTTTTCTCTTGGGCTTAAGAAAAAGCATAGCCCGTTAATACATATAAGTAAAGGTGGGGGAAAAATTAGTCTATTCTCAATTGTTTACGGATCACAACAGATTTCACAAAATCCGCTCGAGTGGTTCAGATTAGGACACTAGACTTTATAAACTTTGCTCAAGTGTTTATAATTTTTTTTTTAACATAATTAAAGTAATGTTTTTTGTTGTTGTGCACCATACATATATATACTTTTTTTTATACGAATGGTAAATATAAATTATGTCTACCAATTTAAGGTAGTCTATTGTCTAAAGTCTGAACCCAACAACACTCTTGCAGTGTCCTAGACTGTTTTGTCCGAATGATGATGACTTGGAAGAGCATTTACGAAGGTGTACTACAAAGATACGTTCAAGGACCCACTAAGATTTGTCCTCCATATATTCGCGATAGTGCTGTAACGCATCAATCATTCGATCGAGTCCCACTTTTTTTAGTAGAACTTAAAAGTTTTTGGGGATCTTATTTTTTATAGTAAAATATCTAGAAACACACTGATCTAACTCGTTGTTAGAAAACTTATGGATGAGGTGATGTGTAGATATTCTTGTGTAAGAGTATAATTGATCTATAAAACATGTGAAGGAAGAAAAGATAACAAACCAAAATATTCTTTTGGATCATTTCAACAAGTTATTCATAATCTGTTAGAGACTGAAACTATAAAACATCATGTCTATGTTGAATTAAAAAAAAGTTAGAGATAATTCAATTTTCCCACGTGTAGTCTAAAATAATGCATAAATACAATAGGTCCAGCAAATAAAATTTTATGCATAAAAGACAAAAAACAAATGGCTTTTGGTGATTAATTGATTATTATGATTAAGTGATCATCATTTGTTGAGTTGGTTACTTAGTTTGTAAATTTGTGTACTGTGTTTTTTAGTTATACTTAACATTCAGACTAATGTTTGAGTTTTATATATGACACTAACACAAACAAACCAGTAAAACCTAGTTTTACTGGTCAAATAACATAAAGTGTCAAGAATAGAATGCATAAAATAATTATTATAAACGAAAAACTAAGACAAAGATATTGCTCTGCTGAATTTGAGAACGATCATATTGCAGGAAGGTTCTCACACTAGTTTTATTCACATCTCTTCATGCTAACAATCTTCTTCTTCATGCAATTTTTTTTGCTTCCAATTTCACCAATATTTCTCTTATTGAGCTCTTATGTCTTCTCTCTTTTTTTTTTTTTTTTTTTTTCACTTTCGGGACCTGAACATGTCAAAATATGTGTATCTTAGCCTAGTTATATATGACTTACAATGCTTATGAAGTTATGATTATGAATTCATACAATTTTAGCTAACGAAAGTATACATCGAGGCACTCCAGATTCGCCTATGGGTCGAGTAACACATGTGGGAGTGATTTTCAACTACCAGGTGAGTACAGTTCTAGATAAATGCCATTGAATAGATGAAAGCGATACCAATGGCCAAAACGGTGGGCAAATGATAATTTCAGAGCCACATTGGATGCAATCATTGGCAAAGAAAGTAGCCATTAGAGGGCAGGCCACATAAATGTGATAACACACAATATTATGGTTGAAGCTATGCAGTGTGTTAATATGGGGGTTTACAATCAGTGCGATGTTGCGGCCATCCACAGTTCGAATTCGGAGGTGGTTGGAGAAGTCTGGAGAAGTTGTGTCAAATTTCCTGTTTAGTGTTTACTTACCTATTGGTTTATCATTTATGTAATGCTTCACACTGTGACTGTGTCTCCCACGTACGTTAATGAAATAATGATAAAGATATATTGAAGAAAAAAATATTAAAATGAGAATATCACGCGTAATATGCTTATGTTTTAAAATGATAATCAAAATGGAATAAGCCACCCAAATAAACATATTTATGAGTATATAAATAAAAACGAAAGGAAAAATATAAAAGAATTTTGGCCACCCACTACTACTAAACAATCAATCACAATTGTTCTTCTAATAATATGCACTTTTTATTCGACTGACCGACACTGGTGATGTATGGGTCGTTTACATGTTCCCAAGTGATATTAAAAAGTACTACAACTCATTTTTTATAATCCGATTTCAAGAGCTTGAATCTTTCAAACAGTTATAAATCATTTTCTCGTAATTATTACAAAACGAATTAGTCTTTTACAGAATTGAGAAAACCAGAAAATTATAGTAATAGCTTAATGTTTTCGATCCAAATAAAAAAAAAACTCCTGAGTAGACGAAGGAGAGACGAAGATGATTAATAAAAAAGACACTTGACGACCAAAGAAATAGAAAGAGTAACTTACTTTGGCTAAGCCACTACTGCTAAAACAATTACTCACTTCTCTCTCTCTCTCTCTAATGTCGCAGCCTCTCACAACTAGACCGACCGTCGCCGGAATCTCTATATTCCCTTTCCGACAGCCGCCGCCGCTCTGTGCTTTCCTATTTGTCATCGTCCTTTTCGTCGCCACTTTCTACACCCTCCATCACCCAGACGCTACTCCTCATCTCTTTTCTCGAAATTCCCATAATTCCCTCAGTCTCCGCCGCCTCTTCCTCTCCTCCGCCTCTAACGCCACCATCTCCTCCTACCTCCGCGCTTTGACCCGTCGTCCCCACCTCGCTGGAACAAAACCCTCTTTAGACACTCTCAACTACGTGCTAAATCATTTCCAAAGCCTCGGACTTGAGACCCATGTCGCCGAATACGAGGCTCTCCTCTCTTATCCTGCGCACATCTCCGTCACCGCGCGTTTTAGCAACGCGACGACGGTGGAGTTTGACTTAAACGAGCCCGTTGTCTACGACGCTCCCGGAGGTGACGATCCCTCTTCCTCTCCTGTCGTTAGGCCTTACCACTCTTATTCGCCGTCTGGGTCGGCGCAGGGTAACGTGGTTTTCGTGAATCACGGCGAGGAGAGAGACTATCGTGCGCTTGAGTCGATTGGTGTGAGCGTTAGAAACTGCGTGGTTTTAGCGAGGAAGGGAGATTCGTTGGGCAGGGGAGGTATTGTGAAGATAGCAGAGACTAAAGGTGCGCTGGGAGTGCTAATATACGCCGAGAACGACGGTGGTGGGACCGGCGGCATTGAGAGAGGCACGGTCATGAGAGGAATCGGAGATCCGGTTAGTCCGGGTTGGCCCGGAGTCGTCGGGGGTGAGAAATTGAGCTCGGAAGATGACCGGGTCACTCGGAGATTTCCCAAAATTCCATCTTTGCCTTTGTCTCGCCACAATGCCGAGATCGTATTGGCTTCCCTGGGCGGTGCTAGGGCTCCGGTGGGGTGGCGGAATTCGGGTCGGGTCGGGTCTGGACAACGGGTTGGCCCAGGACGGACGGTTGTAAACATGACATACCAGGTAACTGAAAGTTCGCATTTCCGTTATGTTTCTTGCTTTGACTTTGGCTATTATGTGATTATTTTTCCGTTAAAAAATCTTTTGAAAATTAGATTTTGAACAGTTCCAGTTTGACCTTTAGTATGGTTTTTGGAAATTACAATTTTAGCTGTAAAGTGGCAATTAAGCTCAATCAAGTTTGAACTATACAATTGAAAATGGTTTCTACTTTTGGTTTTGTTTAAAGTTTGGAGTCTTGAGTTCAGTTTGAAATTCTCACTTACGGTTTACCATCGTTTTAAAAAAAACTACAGGGGGAGATGAAGATGAAGAAAATTCACAATGTGTTGGCGACGATAAGAGGGACCGAAGAACCGGACCGGTACGTGATTCTTGGAAATCATAGAGACGCGTGGACATACGGAGCTGTTGATCCAAACAGTGGAACTTCTGCCTTACTTGACATTAGCCGAAGATTCGCTCTGTTGCTTAAATCTGGTTGGAGGCCACGTAGGACCATTCTTCTTTGCAGCTGGGATGCAGAAGAATTCGGAATGGTTAGTAAAACCAGTTAACTACAAAACCTGAACCTGCCTGGTCTCTGGCTTTGACTAAACCACCTTTGAGTTTTGATATGTACTGTGTTTTTTCTTCGTTTTATAGATTGGATCAACTGAATGGGTTGAAGAAAATGTTGTGAACTTAGGTGCAAGTGCTGTGGCTTATCTTAACGTAGATTGTGCGGTCCAAGGCTCTGGATTTTTCGCTGGCGCAACTCCTCAATTAGACCGTCTTCTTGTAGATGCCTTGAAGCTGGTAATAGCATTAAACTAGCAATGGGGGCAATCTCAAGCAATTTTGGATCTTTCTTGGTTTATTTGACTCTGAAATTCTTAGTCTCATTTTGTGTGGTCAGGTCCAGGATCCTGATGCAGTTGGTTTGACAGTGGAAGATACATTCAAGTCTCAGAATAACATTGTGAGTATTTTTTGTTTTGTTGCTGAAATTTTGTTAACCTCCAAAAGAGAATGTCTTTGTAAACGATGTATATGGTTTAATAATGGGATGCAGATAGAGAGGCTAAGTAGAGTAGATTCTGATTTTTCCGGTTTTCTTCATCATGCCGGGATACCTTCTATAGACATGTACTATGGAGCAGGTAAAATGACAAGTTGATTGATTCCTTAAAAGCATGCTCCTGGATGTGATGTGTTAATGCTAATAATAATAATGTAAACTGTTAAAAAAAATTCAGATTATCCTGTCTACCACACCGCTTTTGACTCCTATGATTGGATGATCCGCAATGCAGATCCATTGTTTCACCGTCATGTTGCTAGTAAACCTTTTTGTCTCTCTCTCTTTGGATCTACTACTATTCGTTTTTAGTTTCTTTTTTCTGTGATGAGAGTTAACTCTAAACTCTGCTTTCTATGTTTCTCAGTGGCTGGAATCTGGGGACTTTTGGGAATCCTCTTGGCTGATGAACCTGTCTTACCGTTCGATTACATCTCTTATGCAGAACAGTTACAAGTATATATATATATTTTTGATTACTTACTCTCTTTATATACATAAGGTAGAAGGAAAACTGAGTTTATGTTCTGCTTTACGGTTCAGGCACATAGAGATGCATTGAGCAAGCTCTTAGAAGGGAAAGTTTCTGTTAATCCCTTAAGCGTGGCGATACAAGAGTTCTCTTTTGTTGCTAAAGAAGCCGCAGATGAAGCAAAGGTTGTAGAAAAAAACCTGCAATCTTTCTCTCTTCTTTGTCTTTACCTGTACACACATATAGATATCTTTTGTGATTGATTTGCAGAGATTAAAGGAACAAGCATATAGCAAAGAGAATGTTGCAGCAGCGGCCAAGAGAAGAGAGCTAAATGACAGAATGATGCTTTCAGAAAGAGGGTTTTTGGATGCAGAAGGGATCAAAGGGAAGGAATGGTTCAAGCATCTTGTGAGCAAACTGAAACTTTGATTTCTGGTTCCAATCAGATTCACCATTTTTGTTTCCAAAAAGTCATGTGACCTTGTAACATGTTTAGGTGTATGGACCCGCGGCTGAACCGGAGAGCAAGCTAGGTTTCTTCCCGGGGATAGCAGATGCATTAGCGATGAACTCATCAGAGGGAGTTATCGAGCACGAGATATGGAGAGTCGCGAGAGCGATTCAGAGAGCAAGCAAAGCTCTTAAAGGAGGCTTCACATGAGTCAAAAAATCTCAATGTACATCTCTTTTGTATATATATTGTGTTGCGACTGTTGATTGTAGAAGAATAGCCTCTTATCTTGTGATGAAAACAGATTTAACTGTTGTCATATACAACACTTTATGACTACTAATAGAATCTTGATTTTTTTTTGTTAAATTCAAACATTTTGTTACCAATACGGTTTGTTCAAAGACTTGTATCTTTATGAAAGACAACAGATTGTAATATAAAACGACCAAATTCTGAATCTTTTCACTCAAGTTGGATGCGACTCGTCTCTGGAGTACACGAACATGATGATCCCCTACAACTTTTAGCAATCCAATGATTATTTCTACGAAAAATGTGTAGCTCCTTTTCCCGTCTCATGATTGTTTATGTATAACAAGAACTGATACGAGGAATTCTCATAATCGAATATAAGTTGTTTATATAGGTTCGATCAGATCATATACTGTTTACTAGACGGTGGAAATGCCCTGTGAAGTTACTTCCTCAAGTCTTGCACGTACCGTTTCGGCAGTCGAAGTTTTATTGATGCTGCAGAAACCAAAAGATGTACAACAAATGTCAATGCCTGAAGAAGCAACCAGAGCAAGAGTGTTTTGTTAGGTGCAAAAATCAAGAAAATCATTAATCATTTTACTCACCGAACATGAAAATCCCCAGAAGATGCTTTTGTTTCGGAGATCCAATCCGGAACCAACTCCAGCATCAACCTTAACTGTTCCTCCACTTCCTCTGAGAAGACAAACAAGAAACAAACCGTGAGCCTGTGGAGGAAGAAGAGCCAGGGAAGTTGTAAAACATTCAATATAACTGTCCTTACTTCTATCGGTTATATTGATTTGGCATGCAATAAGCTTGTGAAGAAGCTCCTCCTTCGTGATGGTCGTTCGCTTCGTCGAGTGAAACAGTTTATAAATCAAACTAACAAGCTTAGTTAAATTTTGCTTCTCGGTTTCATCCTTTGGTTCCTCTTTCATCTGCAAGAAGCACACGCACACAATGTGGTAAGCAATATAATTCCCGGAAACAATGTGAAATGTTGCAACGAAAAAGTGCTTACTGAGTAGAGAAGGCTATCTTCATCAGAAGCATCATGGGCTTCATCAACCAGTTTGTTACTCATGTGGTCATCTTTCGCAACTCCATCTTCATCGAGAGTGTCGAAATTCAGACACCTAGTGCGAGATGGTCGCCTTTCCAGACAAATTGTTGATCTAACAGAGTCATTATCGTCGTCCGGAGTCATCGTAATACACCTTCTAGATGGCTGTAATGTCGGTGTAGCACTCATGAGCCGAATCGGTGTTGATAGATTCTTGGAGGGAGTGGATAAATCCTTCACTGGGGTTCCAACTATTCTTGGCTCTGTGTGTGATAACAAGCATTCCTCAGTACCATCCGATAAACTCGAGTCTGGAATCACTTTCTCCACTATATCTTGTTCTTTCTCCATATCATCCATTTGAATATCAAACCCTTCATTTTCAAGTTTAGATTCTACCAACTCCACGCTTTTTGAGTCTGAATTGAACGGTTCAGGAAGCAGTTCTTTGGGAATGTCGTCCTGTAGATAACAAAAGAATGAAGAATCAATCAGATATATATATATATAAGCAATTCTTGAAAGCTACAAAAAACAAAAAACAGATTAACAATATGTACCTCAGGATGAGCTTTGTAAAAATCTACAAGCTTTGAGTGGAACACCTTCCTTAGCCCCATGTGTTTGCTTCCGCAACTTGCATCGTCAAGTACAACCTCGTCGGTGTTTAAGTTAATGTGAAGACTGGGTTTCATACAAGCAGTGCCTTCAACACAGTTCAACACTCTCTTTACTTCAATGGCTTCCGGATAAATATGCTTCATCTGAGCCAAATGATCATACGAGAACATCCTGCAGACCCCAAAACAAACATTTACATACACAAACATAAATCAAGCGATATGGTTTGCAATATGGAGTCTTTACCCTTTCAACAGTTAAGATTAATCAGATGCATCAATAGTCAATCCTCAAAGACCAACAAAACGAAGTAGAAGCTGGTAAGTGAATAGCTTTACCGATTAGTAAGAGACTCGATCTTGGGACATATATTGGCAAACGACGTCAAAGACCCCTTTAATTTGAGCAATCTAATTGCAGTATCCAACCCATTGAAGAAATTCTCCAGAATCTGGAACCTGCAATGTCACCAGAAATTGAAAAACCAGAGTATAAATTTGAGAAGAGTGTGAGAGAGCAATCAATTAATCCAAAAAAAAATGTAACCTTTCGGGCAGTTTAACAGTGGTTTCAGGCTTTTGAGGCGAAGACAAGAGCTGTCTCTTGACGGGTTTAATTGGATCTCGAGAGCCTTGTCGGGGCTTAATCTGCCGGAATGCGATCGTGATATCGCTGTTACGGGATCTGGTGGGAAGAATCGCCGTTTTGACAGGAGTCTTGGTGGAAAATAGAGAGTCGGGGTTCGAAGACTCAGAAGCCATGTCGGGCTTCTTTGAATCGATTCGGGAAGAGCTCATTGCAGAGAGATGGATAGGGGTATGGAAGTGAGGATTGAGATAGAACAAGTGGCGTTTGAGGGAGGGAGGGAGTGAGAGAGCGCAACGGCTAGTATATATTAGGGTTTAGGCCATTACGGTGAAGAGGTGAGAGGAGAAGAAAGGCAGATTTTCGCCGATGGAAATCCAATTATGTGGGCCCCATATTTGCCACGTCATTCGAGTCAATTCTAAACGTTGGTTCCCGCTATTTTCTTATACCGTAGTTATAAACTACGTCGTTTATTTTTTTTTGTTATATCATTTTTTATTGGTGATACACATCATTCGCTATAAAATATGCCACTGCATATATATTTTTTTTTTAATTTTAAAAACGATATATAGTACCACTGCATATGTTGAAAATTATAAGTACGAACTGCGAATGGTTTTATCCGTACTCGATCAGTTATTAATTACTATACAATCAGTCATTAAAACTGTCACTAATATCTGCAAATCATGAAATTGGTTACGAAAACCATCTCACTTAAGTGGCGGATGACCATTAATAATAATAATAATAAATTATTTGTTCTCTATGATAATTAATAATATATAGCAATGGACACTACATTATTTTGTCATCAATCAATTTTAAATATCTACTTATTTTGTTTATCTATCGTTATAATCTATATCGTGATGAATTTTATACTTTTAAAATTCAATCGGTCATTTGAACACACACACACAAATTTTACATCGGTCTTTATATATATATATATTTATATATATATCCTATAACACTGATTCGTAGACATTTGAGGTTTTACTGTAATGGATATTCTCTCAAATTTACTTTTAAATGGATATATATCTCTCACATTTACTTTTAAATGGATAAAAATCTCACATTTTTGGACTTAAGAAATTAATTAGAAAGTATATGTATGTAATTAATTTCGATATTCGTTTCTATATATAGTCAAAGTAGTATCTTGCGACAGTTAAGTACGTAAGCTGGTCTCTTACAATAATTTGGGGGTCAATTCCCAAAAAAGGAAAGTAACAGCTCAGGTGACCGATTTTTTTTTTTTTTTTCATCCTACGAATATACGAAAATTTCGGTTAAATTAAGTTACCGTAACAGACAGTAAAAAGAATTTCTAAACAAACTTTTGTAACTAAAAACAGAAACCAATACTGTTTTCTTCCAAAAGAGTAGATGTGAAAAGAATAAGTCAAAAGAGAAATTGCCGACGTCGTTGTCAGAAGAATATACCACATAAAAAGAAAAGAATATGTCAAAGCAAAAACAGAAAGTCATCATGTATAAGTAGCCATTCGCGACGCTGCCTCTATTTCATTTCTCACAACCCATTCTTCTTTATATCTCTCTCGATACAGTTTCTTAAGGAAACAACAAATACTCTTCTCCTTTTCTTTCTCTTAAGACAATCCCCACAAGAGTTTGTCTGTGAGAAAGTAAGCACAAAGTATACTCTTTCTGTAAGTTTCTTCTTTGTTTCTTTTGTCTTTTTTATGAATCTGTTTTATAATTTTGATATGTCGTAGTTTTGAATGGGAAATGAGGATAACCAGGACATTGGTTATTGTTTTCTGTTTTTTGTTCCATTCTGTCTCCACAATCTCTGTTTTGTCTTTTTAACAAAATCACTAATCATCTGCAGTCAAAGTCTCTCAACGAGTCTTTCATTATTAGAAAAAATTAAAAAATTAAAAAGAAAAGAGAAAGGATGAGATGAGTCTCTCATCATGAAAGATTCTCAAATTATGTGTTTTCTCTATAATTAGTTTATTCTTTTTTATAAATTAAATTTTATTATTAAACTAAATTTTACTTAAAATAATAAAATTATATTACATGAGAGACTCATCTCACCAATACAATTACATATATAGTTAATAAAATATTAAGACATCATATATTTTAAAATAATTATCATCTAATGTACCAATCAAACCTGTGTGAAATCAGCTATACTGAATGTGTTTTCCTTATACACAGAGCAAAAGAAAAATAGAGTAATGGCAGGAGATCAACTAAACGTGCTAAACGCACTCGACGTAGCGAAAACACAATGGTACCATTTCACAGCGATTATCATCGCCGGAATGGGATTCTTCACCGACGCTTACGACCTTTTTTGTATCTCCCTCGTCACTAAGCTCCTTGGTCGCATTTACTACCACGTGGACGGCGCAGAGAAGCCTGGAACGCTGCCTCCAAACGTCGCAGCAGCGGTCAACGGAGTGGCGTTTTGCGGTACACTCGCGGGCCAGCTCTTCTTCGGCTGGCTCGGTGACAAACTCGGCAGGAAAAAAGTTTACGGAATGACTCTCATGGTCATGGTCCTTTGCTCAATCGCTTCGGGACTCTCCTTTGGGCGCGACCCCAAAACGGTGATGACCACGCTCTGTTTCTTCCGGTTCTGGCTCGGTTTTGGCATCGGTGGTGATTATCCGTTATCTGCCACGATTATGTCTGAATACGCCAATAAAAAGACCCGTGGTGCGTTTATAGCAGCGGTTTTCGCGATGCAAGGGTTCGGAATCTTGACCGGAGGGGTTTTTGCGATCATTGTGGCGGCGATATTCGAGGCCAAGTTTCCAGCTCCAGCCTATAAAGTAGATGCCTTGGCGTCCACGATTCCTCAGGCGGATTACGTGTGGCGGATTATTCTGATGGCCGGCGCTGTGCCTGCCGCGATGACGTATTACTCAAGGTCGAAGATGCCCGAGACAGCGCGGTACACTGCTCTTGTGGCCAAGGATGCGAAGCTAGCGGCTTCGAACATGTCTAAGGTTTTGCAAGTGGAGATCGAAGCAGAGCATCAAAGAGTAGAAGAGATCTCGAGAGATACGAGAAATTCATTTGGCTTGTTCTCAAAGGAATTCATGAAACGCCATGGCCTTCACTTGCTCGGAACCACAAGCACATGGTTCTTACTCGACATCGCCTTCTACAGTCAGAATCTTTTCCAGAAAGATATTTTCAGCGCGATCGGGTGGATACCTCCGGCTCAGACCATGAACGCAATTCAAGAGGTTTTCAAGATCGCACGTGCACAAACCCTAATCGCCTTGTGCAGCACGGTACCCGGTTACTGGTTCACAGTCGCATTCATCGACGTCATTGGTAGATTTGCGATACAGATGATGGGTTTCTTCTTCATGACCGTATTCATGTTCGCTCTCGCTATTCCTTACGACCACTGGACACACAAGGAGAACAGAATCGGGTTCGTGGTCATGTACTCTTTAACATTCTTCTTCGCAAACTTCGGTCCCAACGCAACGACTTTCGTGGTGCCCGCTGAGATCTTTCCGGCAAGGTTTAGATCAACCTGCCATGGAATCTCCGCGGCGTCTGGAAAACTAGGAGCAATGGTTGGTGCGTTTGGGTTCTTGTACTTGGCACAAAGTCCAGACAAGACCAAGACAGAACATGGATATCCTCCAGGGATTGGTGTCAAGAACTCGCTCATAGTTTTGGGCGTGGTTAATCTTTTGGGGATGGTTTTTACATTGTTGGTTCCTGAATCTAAAGGCAAGTCTCTCGAGGAAATGTCCGGTGAGAACGAGAACAATGATGAAGGCACCAGTAGCAGCAACAACAACCAAAACAGCGCAGTATCAACTGCATAGAGATTCTAAAACACTTGTGTTATTATTTTTTGTTCTTGTATCTTTGTTCACTCTCTCTCTCTCCCTCTCCAGATTTCTTCTCACTAGAAACTCAATTTGTTCTTTATGTCTACATTTTACTTAACGTTAAATGCAATAGGATCTGATACTTTTACATATCTGTTTTGGCTAGGTTTTCAGAATTAGTGTTAAAAGAATGGAAAGCTAATATTATGAAACTGTGTGTTTTGGTTTCTGTTTCTGGTTTTCGTTTTCTGTTTTACTTTCTGCCTCCCTCTCCGTTGGTTTTAGATTAATTAATGATTACGGTAAGGAGAAGGGAAAAGAGAGACGCAAGTGATGTCATTCAGATTAGGCACATGACACGTATCCATCATTCTTAAGAGTGTTTATGCGATTGTCTCTATTAGGGTTTACAATACTTACCTAAACCCTAAACCCCAGGTGGGGTTGAGGAAACCAACCACTATTCTTGGTAGTCCCTAAGGTCAAATGTCATCGTCCTCGAGCAACTGCAGCAAATGGATCATGCGTGAGTTTTCAGATGATGAGCCAAAATTTTGGTAGTACACATGGAAAAGATACGATGCAAGTAGTGAAAAAAGTTTGATGATGGAATCATTACCTCCTCTCCACGTCTCTGAAAACTCCAATCACAGCTTCGGCCTTGTCATAGAAGCTGTCCTTGAGTGATATTACAATGCTTTGGAATCCATTCCCGTCCTCCGCATCTTGATTGTCACGTGCGGCTTGGCACGATTTGCTACGAATGAATTGAGCAACTTTTGCAACATTTAAATTATCCAGCGCAGCATCCACTTCATCCAGTATGAAAAACGGCGAAGGCCTAAAGCTGAAAGTTGCAACTTCATCAAAACCTAAAGACTAAAAAACAAAATCACTTTTATAACATTGAAAACGTATGTGATACCTATGGATGGAGAAAAGCAACGCCAAGGCCGCAACTGTTTTCTCTCCTCCAGAGAGCTGTTCCATGTCACGAAATCGCTTTGTAGGGGGCATCGTAGTATACTTTATACCATGTAGAAACGGATCATCCTCGTTCTCCAAGTTTAGATAAGCAGTCCCACCCAGTGGATGCGTATTACTCTTGGTTAGTTGCTTGTAGATCTTGTCAATGTTGCTAGAAATGTGGTTGAAAGCTTCCATAAATAGCTCATACCTGCACAAACAGTTTGTAATCAGCAGCAAAATATACTCTAATGGAAAATATGTTTCCACCATAAGAGTCGTTGCTATTTCGTTACCTCTTCTGCTTAACAATATTGTATGCATCCGCTACTTGTTTCTCCTCCTTCCTGGCCGCTTCAAACTCTTGGCTAACTTGTTTTTCTTTCTCTTGTATAGCCTCATACTGGTCAAGTGCTCTCATGTTTGGGGCTGTTCTTTCAATTTCTGATGTTTTAGATTCTATCTTCTGCCTAAATTCTGCATCCATTTTGTCACGAGCAGATGGTCTCCGTTCTTGCAGATATGCTCTATCCAACTCACTAAAGTCAAACTGTGGCCCATCTGAGTCGTCTTCTGATAAAACAGGAAGTGTAATATGTTCGAGCTCACACTTATCGGTTATATCCTGTTTCTGCGACATCAGCTGCTCAATTTGCGTTTCCTGATACATATATATATATAGCATATGGAAGCAATTAGTGCACCTAAAACTCAGACATCACAAATCTTTGCTAAAGAATTTGATGAATTCTCCATTGTACGTACCTTGGAATGTATCTGACGATTGTGTTTGGTTATGCTTGTTGTCGCTTGTGAAGCCTGCTTTTTCCAATCGAGGATCTCCTTTTCATACTCTTCCGATTTTTGTTTGCACTCTGCAAGCACGAGCATTTAGATATTCACATCTCTATGAAAGAAAAATACCACTGCAGATTTTGTGCTAGGCAAAGAACATTAGAGAGGTATGGTGATAAACAAAGTATATGGATGTATAACTTATGCTGAGTAATATAATCAAAATATATATACCTCCTATTTCCTTCTTTCAATTGTTGATTTCATTAGTAGCTTCTTCTGTTAACTCCTTAAGTTCAGTCTTCCTCTTCTTTACTATTTCCAAATCAGTTTCCAAAGAGCTGATAAAAGGTTCTAGCTCTCGAATTCGTGACCCCACATCATGGGTTTGGTCATATTCCAGCCTAAAATAATTCAATAGAAATATTTTCATTGACCAAGAAAAAAAACCTTTTTAATACTCTGATTGTGAGCTCCATTCAATAGAGGATAAGAGAGACATACTGGTATTTTAACTTAGCAAGCTGGTCACTCAGACTCAGCCTTTCTTCAGCCACGTCTTGAGCATCCTTGAGCTGATTTTCTTCATACTCACGTATGTTTGCAACACCAACAGATTGGCTAAAGTCCTTATAGATACGGTCCACAATCTCATTGATTCTTTTCTCCAACTTCCTGATTTCTTTATTCCTCTTATCAACCTCATCTTTTGACTATAATACAAACGGCGTTCAGTCATATTATTGTCATCATGTTTTAACATTTACCATATGTTAGAAAAAAAAGATAATTCAATTACCTTAGAGAGTTCAAGAGTTATGCGTCTACTTTCTTCAGCAATATTCCGCTTCTCTTGCTCAAGATGTGGAAGTTTGTCATTAATTAATATTTCCTGCTTAGTGCACAGTGAAGTAAAGATCAAAGGTTCTCTTAGACCATATATTCATCTTGAAAAAGAATAAAAAAGGTTGTGTTACCTTCTCCATTTCAGCATACTGAATCTTTTTTTCAAGTCCACTTAATTTACCCGATATTTCGGACTCCTTTATCTGCATTTCTCGAATAGATCCAACCTTTTCCAATTCTAGTTCATATTCCTCTTTCTTCGTCATCAGACCTACACAACCCGAAATGTTGACTTTAAGACGACAATACACTGAAACTGAAGACACTTTAAACCAGCTGATGAGAAAGCCAACCTTCGATTTTCTTATCATCCCATTTATTAGACTTTGCTTCCATTCCACCACTGGTACCACCAGTCATTGTTCCCGCCTTTGTGAGTACTATACCATCAACAGTAACAACTGCAAAATAATAGAAACCAAAGCCAACTTTAGTGCAAGTATATGAGTAAATTACACCAGAAAAAAGGAATCAGGAACATGCCTTTGAATCTCTCTCCAGTCCAGCTAAGAACCTTGGCTTCTTCAAGTTCGTCACAGACAAGAGTATTTCCAACAGCAAAGAGGACCGCCTTCTCCAATTCAGGATCGAACGTGAAGTTGTTAAGGACCAAAAACATAAATTGATAACACAATGAAGCTAAAGGATGATAGATTATTAATGTATGCAACCTTGAGTATGCCAAAATCAAACCACTTATTTATATGCAAAGGATATTGGATAACATCGAACACCAGCTTTGCTGTGCCGCCCAAATTTCTGAATCTCTCAAGCATTGGCTTGACACGTACTGACTGAAGAGGAATAAATGTCATAGGAGGAAGCCTCTGCTCTTTCAAGTACTGCAAATTACAAATAAACTAGTTTCATCTCAAACCCTATAAGTAGTAGTTCAAATTACTCCTAAACATGTAATTTATATTGTTTATGAGCAAGGTAGAAAAGCTCTGAAAAGTTAAGTTGAAACCAAATAACACAGAGTGAGGCTCATGTCTTAATTGTGTATTTATATGGAATAACTCTGCATGGAGATGGTCGCATCATATTTGTTACGTACCCATCAAGGAAGCTGTAATTTTCAGCAGAGAAGAGATAGATACTATGAAAGAAAGAAAAAACCTCACAGCTTGCATGCGATTATAAGAATACCACATGCGTAATATAAGTACCTTGATGCAGTCCTTTCCTGTGTTTTCATCCTCTACGACTACTGCATCCATAAACCTCCCCATAACAACAGTAACAGCAAGGTTGTACTTCTTCCGATTTGGTCGACAAAGATCAGTCATCCGACCATGAACTCCTTCAAATAGACGCTTGAGAGACTCAACAGCCTGCGTTAGCCTACTATCTCTCTCGTTTTCGTATCTTTCAGCAGTTAGATCACTTAACTGTTCTTCTACTTGTGCAATTCTAGTCTTCAATTTCTCAGAGGCAATCCTGTGCATCATAAAAGCAGGCTGGAAACTATCAGATTAATATAACTAAGACGCAGAATGCATTCCACCTAACTCAAGAAGGGGTTTTATACAAATAAATTCTTGATAAATCAATTACCAATTATTCTAAAGTCATATTTCTTGATGCAGCAATGTGTAGCATGGAAATGATATCATAACATAGCAAGTAAACTATCCAACAGTAAACAATATAGGGATTAGAACAAACATACTAACCTGGCATCTCGATGCTTTCCTTGCAGTTCAAGCAACTGGTTTTTCAGATTAGTTGTTTCTTTCTTATTTTCCAAAGTAGAATCTTCAATCTCTTTTTTCCTTGATTTCAACCGCTCAATTTGTTCATCAAGATCATTCTCCCTATTTATTAGTTGCTGGTAATTTTCTTCCAGATTTCTCAATACTTGGAGATGAGCATGCTGTTGCCTATCTAGAGCCTCTTTCTCATCCCTTAGCTTAATGGTTTTCATCCCAGCTTCTTCTTTTCTGAGATTGATAAACATGAAGGAAAGTTGATGAGAAAACAAGAATTTCATGGAAAAAATCCTTCTTTTAAAAAAAAAAAACTTACATTCTAAAATAGTCTTGCAGTTGAGTGTCAAGCATTGGGAGTTTTCTGCTGCTATCTTGTCTTTTCTCATTTAATATATCCATTTTCTTATTCAGCTCCTTGATGCTTTTCTGCATCTGTTCAATCTCTTTGGAATGCTTCCCTTTCTCTTTTTTCATCTTATCCAACTCCTTCCGATTGCTCTCAATTTTTGAGTTTATGCGAGCAATCTCCTCCTTCAATCTCAGAAGCTCAGGTTGCTGCCGACAGGAAAAAGTTACAGACATAAGTTACTCAAGTGAGAAAGTCATAGACAGAGACCTTCCAAGGTATATATACTCACGTATCTTCCAAGCAGCTTTGAGCTTCTCTCAGCAATCTTCTTTTCACGTTGAGCAATTCCTCTAAGATACTCTGCTTGTTCTACCTTTCTCTTCTTTGCCTCACTTTCAAACTTCTCCAGCTTTCCCATGGCTTCTTTACGATTGGTTTTTTCAGCACCAACATCCTCATTTGCCTTGTAGATATCGTTTTCGATGTTATATAATTGCCATAGGTAATGTTCTCTCTTCAGAGCTTTCTGCACAAGAAAGCAGAGATGAGATAGTTCACAAACTAAACACTGCTCCACTAGAGGATAACAGAAAATGCACGTAATAATTACCAGTTCGTCTTGCAGCTTCAGATGCTTCTCAGCCTCTTCCTTGTGTGCTTTCTTCTGCTTCTTCTCTGCCCCTACCGTCTTCTTCTTCTGATATATAAGGGCTGCTTTTTCTTCAGCGCTGGCCTTTTTTTCTTCTAATTCCTCATACTCTTTCTTAAGCTCCTCGGACCCAGAAACCTGCTCGAGAAGTCCAGTGAGCTCTTTAGAGTTCATGGAAGCAATCGATTCAACATCACCCTGCAAATTTGGGAAGAGAAAAGGTCTTCTAAGGAAAAGGAAAACGAATCAAAGTGTTAAAAACAAAAGCTCAAAGATCGGGAAGAAGCAACCACCTGAAAGACGAGGAAATTACGAGCCTTAACCAGTATGCCTAGAGATCGAAGCTTTCCATTGTACTCGTCCCAATTCACAACCCTGTCATCGATGCGGTACTCACTCCCGCCGGCGCTAGTGATAGTGCGGGTGAAACGGAGCTCCAACCCGTCGTCGAGCAGATATACGAGGCGGACGAACGCTCTCTGCTCCTTCTCTCGGTCATCGAAGGCGTAGATTAGATCCTTAAGCTGAGAGCCACGAAGTTGACCGGTGCGAACTCCGAGGACGAAGCTTATAGCGTCCATTAGGTTGGATTTGCCGGAGCCGTTGGGGCCAATGATAGCGGTGAAATCCTTGAACGGACCTATCAACTGGTAACCCTTGTACGACTTGAAATTCTCCAACTCAAGCCGCAGGATCTTCCCCGGCGGGGTTTGTATGGATCCAGGCATGATTTGAGGTCTCGTTTGTTCGGGGGAGAAAAGTTAGGCAATTTCAGAGATTAGGGTTTGTGGAAGGTTGGGGATATTCTCTGGGGAAAAAATAAAGGAATGGAAAATGGCGGGAACTGACAAATTTATAAGAATATATACTCAACTATGCCAATGTGATCATTGTGGCGGCGGCATTCGAGGGTAAGTTTCCAGCTCCAGCCTATAAAGTAGGTGCCTTGGCACTCACGATTCCTCGGGCGGATTATTCTGATGGTCGGCGCTTTGCCTGCCGCGATGACGTATTACTCAAGGTCGAAGATGCCCGAGACTGCACGGTACACGGCTCTTGTGGCCAAGGATGGATACCTCCGGCTCAGACCATGGACGCAAATCAAGAGGTTTTCAAGATCACACGTGCGCAAACCCTAATCGCCTTGTGCAGCACGGTACCCGGTTACTGGTTCACAGTGGCATACATTGTTTTTTGTTCCTCTCTCTCTCTCTCTCTCTCTCCAGATTTCTTCTCACTAGAAACTCAATTTGTTCTTTATGTTCACAATTTACTGAACGTTAAATGCAATAGGATCGGATTCATTTACATATCTGTTTAGGTTTAGTTTTCGGAATTTTCTAAACCGGTGTTTAGTGTTCACTGTAGCAAATGAAAGAATGGAAAGATAATTGATATGATGAAACTGTGTTTTTGGGTGTTCATCGTCAGCCACTGAACCAAAGAAGAAATGATTGAATCAAATATCAAACAGCAACACTAAGCAAAATGGCAGTGGTTGTGTCATTGGTTAGAAATTATTTAATAGAAAGATAGCCAGTACGGATAAATGCCATTATCTTGAAGATTACGAAAGTAAGAGAGGAAAAAGATGCAAGAATCTTCTTAAACTCTATACATATCTTTTGAGTTAATGATAAAGAGAGTACAATACATGGAATACAACTAGATAGACACAATACAATTCACTGGCTGTGAATATCGCAATACATCAATATTCTGGATCTGTGTTTTATATATAAAAAGAATCAACTTATGTGTATAGCTCTGAGATAAAGAGGCAGCTTCGTGTGTCTTTCAGAGACCAGCAGAAACTAAACCATGCAATGTTACAATTCCGATCAACGTGTTGTCTTCATCGACCACGGGAAGAAATTGTACAGGCGATGGCGGGGACTCCATCTTCTTCATAGCTTCAACTGCCATTGTTTCCGGTCCAATTGTCCTCGGCTTCCTGTTTCAACAACAATAGCTTAAAAATGAATACTTTCCAACATACACTCAGGTTTATAGGATCCAAAGCAGAGGTCTCTTTTGTTGTTGTTGTTTTGCCATTTTCTCACCTGTTGCACATTTCTCCAACGCTGAGTTTGAAGATTGCTTCACCACTTGCTTTAAGAGTCCGGCGAAGATCTCCATCAGTGAATGTACCGATCAAGCGATGATGTTCATCAACCACAAGTAAACATCCGCATCCTTTGCTTGTCAGCTCCACTAATTGATCCATAATCAAGTCTCCTTCTTTGCAAATCGGAAGCTCATCTTTCTTTTTCATAACATCTTTTACCTGCAAAACAGTTCATAGATTCAATCCTACTGGCTCTTGAGCTAATGATGTAGTGGAATCAGTCTAATAGGATGATTTATTGAAATCCAAAAGAAGCAATTTCGAGACCAGACCTTGAAAATTAAGCTCTTGCCGATCCTACCGGCGGGATGATTGGCTGCATACTCTTCCTTGGAGAGATTTCTAGCAGCCATGAGCGCGACGGCGATGGTATCACCGAACACCATCTGGATCGCCGTGGAAGTAACCGGAGCAAGATTGAACGGACATAACTCCCTCTGGAGCGGCAAATGCACATTCATATCACAGACTCCGGCGAGTGGATTACCGGGAACAGACGTAAGAGAGACCAGGTAGGCACCTTTAGCCCTGGCGCAGGGGACGAGACGGAGAAGCTCCTCGGTGGCGCCGGATTTGCTGAAGAGAACGAGGATGTCGCGGGACGAGAGCGCGCCAATGTCGCCGTGAAGCGCGTCGAGAGGGGAGAGGAAGGAGGAGCGGAAGCTGAGGGAGACGAGCGTCTGGGAAACCTTGTTGGCGACGAAGGCGGATTTACCGACACCGGTGAAGAAAACGGTGCCGGCAGAGGAAAGGAGAATGCGGGCGAAATCTAGGGTTTGGGAGAGGTCGAGATGCTTGAAAAAGTGATTGAGAAGATCTTGCTGAGATGTGAAGAGATTGAGGAGATTATCTCGGGAGATCTCCTGATGCTGCGCATGGCCGGATCCGCCATTTTTAAGGGATTCGTGATCCACAGATGCGAAATCGAGGTGTGGCGGTGGCAGAGATCCCATCGCTGATCTGTGAGAGAGAGAGAGAGAGACGGAGCTCTTCTTTTTTTGGTGGATTGGATCTAAAATGAAATTCAGAGAGAGTGCATTATTAATGGAGACGGAGGGGTAAATCGGTAAATTAAAGATTCATTGCGTTTCCGTGGTGCTTGTTTGAGGGGAGCGAGAGCGGTCGGTGGTGATTGTATGATTAGCGTGATGCTTAATAATCTTAAACTGTCTCAATATGTTTAGGGTTTAAGATTATACAATAATCTTATACAATTGGACTGATATGTACAATCTAAAGTTTGGTTAAGATTCATTTCCGATCCGGTTTATATTTTTTTTTCTTTCTAAATTTGTTTTGTTTCTTTTTTTTCTAGTTGATAACACATAAAATTCTTTACTCAGTGACTATTGTATGATGAGGTAAAGCTAATAGTGAACAATCTGAAATCAGGTGCTGAAAACTTGAAATGAGCCAATGCCAAAAGTAGTTGTTCATATATAAAGAAATGTTGTCCTCCCAGGTAATCTGTTGTAATAAAAACCAAAAAGATGTTTTGATCTTTGATGATTCTACAGATTAAAATCTAATAGACAACATGTGGTAGATAGAATTATAGGTACATAAACATAGTTTTGAAACATAGTGGTATTAAGTGAGAGACCTAAAAGAAGTGTTATTGTGTCAGGTTACTCTTCAATAATACCATCCTCCCAAACTAAACAACATCTTGTACAAATCTACTGAATCTTGGGTGAACTTTGATAATCTCCGGTTTGATCTAAAGAAGTGAGAAACTAGAAGTCATTGTTTTAAATCTTCCTTTAAAGCCGATATAAACACGGAAACTGATGTAGGTTCTATCTCCATCATCAACTTCATCTGCACAAACATCATCAACTATAGTCAGAGCTTTCCAAAAACAAAAAAGACAGAAGAGAGATGAGATGAGCAATAGACAGATAGATTCCAAAATATCTATGGCCTAAGTACACACCCTTAGACCAACTCACATATCCAAAGAAAACTCGTTAAGGACAAGCATTGAATTTTTCGTTTATATAACTTTCTCATCTCTAAACTGAGTCCTTATGATTGACATAGGTCAAACAAACTGAAGATACGAATCCTCATTGTTCCGATACAGGGTGGGTTCCGGTTCACTCAAGACATTCCATGAAAAATTCTTGAGCAGAAAGATAAGGTAAAAAAGGCAAACCATGAGAAGAATCTATTGTCTCCAACTAAGCATTATATATGGTTCCGAGAATTAGTTAGCTAAAAGTGAGCGGAGAGCTATCAACATACCATCCGGAGGTGCCGGGTCGGTTTCCGCTCGATCTTGGTCGACCAAAGTGATCCGGATCGGATCGGATCCTCTCATACCCGCCCGATTTGGGCCGCCCGGTCTGCCCATACCCATAATACCCCTGCCGCGGTTGTTGCTGATGTTGATGTTCCTGATGAGACAACCTCTGACTCGGACTCGGATCTCTTAGCCGAGAAGAGTCGAGTACAGGTTTCTCGTCCTTACGGACAAAGCCTGGCCTAAGATGGGGCGGCACGAACCGGTCAGGTTTCGGGGAAATGGACATTGGAGCAGGAGCAGCCACCTCCTCGGATTCCTTAGACCGAACTGGGAACGAAAGCGAGGAACCAGGTCCGGTATGACCTAGAGGACGGAGAGAGATCTGATTCGGATCTGGATCAGAGATGGCTTGATCCGGGGTCTTGGGAGCTGCAGAGAGCGGAGGAGGAGGCGTAGTGGCGGCAGTAGATTTCAGGGGCTTCGGGGAAGGTTTGGTGAGGACGAGCATACGGCCATTGGAACGAGCGACGGAGGAATAAGAAGGGGAGGAAGAAGAAGAAGAAAGAGGCTCTTTTTGGAGGATGTGGTTGTAGTTAATGGAGGTGTATTTGTTATTTGCTCTCGCCATTCCTTGTGCCTCTTTTTCTCTGTAGCTCTTAAGTTTATTTTGTCAGATTTTGGGATCAAAGGAGGAAGATGATGAAACAAATGAATGAATCTGTTTCTGGTTTTCGTTTTCTGTTTTTCTTTTTGCCTCCCTCTCCGTTGCTTTTTCTTTTAATTTTAAATATTTTAGATTAATGATTACGGTATGGAGAAGGGAAAAGAAAGACGCAAGTGATGTCATTCAGATTAGGCACATGACACGTAAGAACATTTGATGGGATTATCTATTTCCAATCTGAATATTGATTGATGGCAAGAAAACCGATGTGATTTTTGAGAAAACTTTGAAAAGACAAGTTGAATCATTAAAAACAGATAATAGATAGTAGTAAATTATAAAGTAATTATGCCAATTTAAATCAATTTTTTCTCCGAGTTCAGAAGTGACAAAACTAGAAACATACAATAGGGATCTTAAAACATGTATTCAAAAACTATCAACGAACTTTCCATGACATCAACCTGTTTAAACTAAGATCCACATTAAAAAAACAGTTTCACAGGTTCTACATTGTCAGATCTTAAAAGGTCCTATGCTGCATGAAACCGCAAATAAATTCACCATACCACTCTTAAATACCTTCTAACATTGCGAGACGTAGAAATTAAAAACACCATTCAGTACTTACTACATATACAAAGTTAAGGTTTATAATACTTACCTAAACCCTAAACCCCAGGTCGGGTTGTAGAAACCATTCACTATTCTTGGTAATTGTTAAGGTCAAATGTCATCGTGCCCGAGCAACTGCAGCAAATGAATCATGCATGAGTTTTCAGATATCAACCAAAAAAAATTCTATGGAAAAATAGATACAAGTCAAAAAGATTGATGATGGAATCATTACCTCCTCTCCACATCTCTGAAAACTCCAACCAGAGCTTCGGCCTTGTCATAGAAGCTGTCCTTGAGAGATATTACAATGCTTTGGAATCCATTCCCATCATCTGCATCCTGATTGTCACGTGCGGCTTGACACGATTTGCTACGAATGAATTGAGCAACTTTTGCAACATTTAAATTATCCAGCGCAGCATCCACTTCATCCAGTATGAAAAACGGCGAAGGCCTAAAGCTGAAAGTTGGAAAGGAAAGAAAAACACCAGGAACTTCATCAAACTTAAAAACAACTACCATGTTTACACGGGCGTTGGTCAAATCTCAGATCACAAAGAGAAGAAAAGCAACTTTGAAGATGGGCTTTCTACTAGGAACAGATGACATCTATGTCAGCCTGGTCAAAAGAACAAACATACCAGAATTTGTTCCTAAGGATCAAAACCTGATGGAAACATTCGAGAAACCATGACCATAATTACTTTTTGGGCAAATAACAAACTTCAAGTGGCAAGATAACAGCCTGCTACTCTAATACCAATAGCTAACTAAATTAGTTAATATTAGAGACAAACCAAGACTAAACTACATAATCACTTTTAACATTGAAACGTATGGGATATCTAGGTCGTTCAGGATACCTATGGATGGAGAAAAGCAACGCCAAGGCCGCAACTGTTTTCTCTCCTCCAGAGAGCTGTTCCATGTCACGAAATCGCTTTGTAGGGGGCATCGTAGTATACTTTATACCATGTAGAAACGGATCATCCTCGTTCTCCAAGTTTAGATAAGCAGTCCCACCCAGTGGATGCGTATTACTCTTGGTTAGTTGCTTGTAGATCTTGTCAATGTTGCTAGAAATGTGGTTGAAAGCTTCCATAAATAGCTCATACCTGCAGAAGAGTTTTTAATCAGCAGCAAATACTCTAATGGCAAATATGAATCTCGTTTTAAAAAAACAGATCTGCACTTGGGTGCGCATTCTATCCAAACAGTAACTCTATCAGGTAATTTCCACAGAACAAGAACCTTCAGACTTTTACTTGTCTAGTTTTAGTTCCACCATAAAGTTGTTGCTATTTGGTAGCAATGTTCTTCAAAACTGTAAACACCATTTAACAAGAGAAATTTAGAGTTACCTCTTCTGCTTAACAATATTGTATGCATCCGCTACTTGTTTCTCCTCCTTCCTGGCCGCTTCAAACTCTTGGCTAACTTGTTTTTCCTTCTCTTGTATAGCCTCATACTGGTCAAGTGCTCTCAGGTTTGGGGCTGTTCTTTCAATTTCTGATGTTTTAGATTCTATTTTCTGCCTAAATTCTGCATCTATTTTGTCACGAGCAGATGGTCTCCGTTCTTGCAGATATGCTCTATCCAACTCACTAAAGTCAAACTGTGGCCCATCTGAGTCGTCTTCCTCCGCGGCATCTGATAAAACAGGAAGGGTAATATGTTCGAGTTCACACTTATCGGTTATTTCCTGTTTTTGCGACATCAGCTGCTCAATTTGCGTTTCCTGATAGCATATGGAAGCGATTAGTGCACCTAAAGCTCAGACATCACAAATCTTTGCTAAAGGATTTGATAAATCTCCATTGTACCTTGGAATGTATCTGACGATTGTGTTTGGTTATGGTTGTTGTCGCTTGCGAAGCCTGCTTTTTCCAATCCAGGATTTCCTTTTCATACTCTTCCGATTTTTGTTTGCACTCTGCAAGCATGAGTATTAGATATTTACATCTCTATGAAAGAAAAATACCACTGCAGATTTGTGCTAGGAAAAGAACATTAGAACAGGTATGGTGATAAACAAAGTATATGGTTGTATGTCTTATGCTTACACCAGCAAAGGCAAAGGAAGAGGATAACAGGGGAAGTGAGTCTATCATACTGAATGTTCACGTCAATCAATTTGTCAGACACTAGCAATTTTATCTTAAAATGATAGCTTTTTCTTAACATGTCGTGTAACCATACAATTTATTCAGGAGGTCGAGCAGATTATGTACATCCCAAAATTTGTTCAAACCCAAGTCAGAGCGATCTACAAACATTAAGGATCATGTAATGAAACTTTCAATTAGTTTAAGGGTGACTAAAGATCTATACAAATAAATAACCCCCAAGAAAGAATAAGAAATTTCCATATTTCAATACACTACTCTCAGTAACACGGCTCCAACATAAGGTCATCAATATTGACGAAGTAAGCTCATATACGGACAATGTACTTTTACTGGATCATGTTGATCTCTGCTATGAATGTAATCATCAAATTGACAACTCATAATGGCACTATGATTGAAAAAGAAAGCATATCACTGAAAAAACCGTCAAAAATTTATGTAGAGATATAATCAAAATACCTCCCATTTCCTTCTTCCAATTGTTGATTTCATTAGTAGCTTTTTCTGTTAACTCCTTGAGTTCAGACTTCCTCTTCTTTACTTTTTCCAAATCAGATTCCAAAGAGCTGATTGAAGATTCTAGCTTCCGAATTCGTGACCCCACATCTCGGTTTTGCTCATATTCCAGCCTGAAATTCAATAAAATATATTTTTATTGACTAAGAAAAGAATCCTTCTTTTTACTCTGATTGTACAACTTGAGTTCCATTCAACTGAAAGCAGTATGTCAACTCAGCCAACCAGTTAGAATATTGCGAAGTTTGTTGACCCTTACATTTTTACAGGCTACTTATACGGACCCTTTCACACTTTGTAATACAAGATAACGTAGACCATAGCTGCCTACTAATCACATAAATCTCGCAGAGCTTAGTGCCTTCTCTTAATGAGGCACGTGAAAGTCAAAATGACACAACAGTATGGGATTCACAACAAAATGTTTATTTTTAACCAGAAACGAAAAATCAGAAATGAAAAGATGACTCCAGAGCTATATGTTCAACAGAAATCGATAGAGACTAAAACTGTACATGAGAAGATAGACGAAATCTTATATGCTACCAGAGAAACAGAGGATAAGAGACATACTGGTATTTTAACTTAGCAAGCTGGTTACTCAGACTCAGCCTTTCTTCAGCCACATCTTGAGCATCCTTGAGCTGATTTTCTTCATACTCACGTATGTTTGCAACACCAACAGATTGGCTAAAATCCTTATAGATACGGTCCACAATCTCATTGATTCTTTTCTCCAACTTCCTGATTTCTGTATTCCTCTTATCAACCTCATCTTTTGACTATAATACAAACGGCATTCAGTCATATTATTGTCATCATGTTTTAACTTTACCATATATCAGAAAAAGATATGCAATTACCTTAGAGAGGTCAAGAGCTATGTGTCTACTTCGTTCAGCAATATTCCGCTTCTCTTGCTCAAGATGTGGAAGTTTGTCTATGATGCTTTTCTGCAAAACAAACTCACTAATTGGTATTTCCTGAATAAAAGGTGTGCTACTGTATGGCATACATATTCCAATTAGGGTTCGCGTGACAACAGTAAGTAAGATATATTAGATCATTCATCTTGAAAAAAAAAGAAGGTTGTGTTACCTTCTCAATTTCAGCATACTGAATCTTTTTTTCAAGTCCACTTAATTTACCCGATATTTCGGACTCCTTTATCTGCATTTCTCGAATAGAACCAACCTTTTCCAATTCTAGTTCATATTCCTCTTTCTTTTTCATCAATCCTGCACAACCCGGAATGTTGACTTTAAGACAATACACTGAAACTGAAGACACTTTAAACCAACTGATGATATATAAGCCAACCTTCAATTTTCTTATCATCCCATTTATTAGACTTTGCTTCCATTCCACCACTGGTACCACCAGTCATTGTTCCCGCCTTTGTGAGTACTATACCATCAACAGTAACAACTGGAAATAATAGAAATCAGGATACGTAGAAATCAAAGCCAACTTTAGTGCAAATATATGAGTAAAGTACACCTAAAAAAGGAAACAGGAACATGCCTTTAAATCTCTCTCCAGTCCAGCTAAGAACCTTGGCTTCTTCAAGTTCGTCACAGACAAGAGTATTTCCAACAGCAAAGAGGACCGCCTTCTCCAATTCAGGATCGAACGTGAAGTTGTTAAGGACAAAAAACATAAATTGGAAACCTGCCCACATTAACTTTCCTACATTTGTCGATCCTTAGCTTACCCACAACTATGCACACAATGAAGCTAAAGGATGATAAACTATTAATGTATGCAACCTTGAGTATGCCAAAATTAAATCACTTCTTTATTTGCAAAGGATATTGGATAACATCGAACACCAGCTTTGCTGTGCCGCCCAAATTTCTCAATCTTTCAAGCACTGGCTTGACACGTACTGACTGAAGAGGAATAAATGTCATAGGAGGAAGCCTTTGCTCTTTCAAGTACTGCAAATTACAAATAAACTGGTTTCATCCCAAACCCTAGAGTAGTATAGTACAAATTACTCTTAGACATGTAATTTATATTTGCTTATGAATACCACAGGCATAATATAAGTACCTTGATGCAGTCCTTTCCGGTGTTTTCATCCTCTACGACTACTGCATCCATAAATCTCCCCATAGCAACAGTGACAGCAAGGTTGTACTTCTTCCGATTTGGTCGACAAAGATCAGTCATCCGACCATGAACTCCTTGAAATAGACGCTTGAGAGACTCAACAGCCTGCGTTAGCCTACTATCTCTCTCATTTTCATATCTTTCAGCAGTAAGATCACTTAATTGTTCTTCTACTTCTGCAATTCTAGTCTTCAATTTCTCAGAGGCAATCCTGTGCATCATAAAAGCAGGTTGGAAACTATCAGATTAATATAAATTAGACGAGTATCAGGAGATGCAGAATGGATTTATAGTCGAATAGGGAAGGGGAAAACAAATAAATTATTGATAAATAAATTACCAATATCTCTCAAGCCATATTTCTAAAGATGAGGCAACTGTAAAAAGAATATCTAAGGAGGTCATAAAACAAACAATGTGTAGCATTTTAAGAATATCATAACATAGCAAGTAAACTATCCAACAGTAAACAATCTAGTGATTAGAACAAACATACTAACCTGGCATCTCGATGCTTCTCTTGCAGTGCTCGCAACTGGTTTACTAGCCGTTCTCGCAACTGCTTATTTTCCAAAGTAGAATCTTCAATCACTTTTTGCCTGGATTTCAACCGCTCAATTTGTTCATCAAGATCATTCTCCCTATTTATTAATTCCTGGTAATTTTCTTCCAGATTTCTCAATGCTTCGAGATCAGCATGCTGTTGCCTATCTAGAACCTCTTTCTCATCCCTTAGCTTAATGGTTTTCATCCCAGCTTCTTCTTTTCTGAGATTGATAAACATGAAGGAAAACTGATAAGAAAATAAGGCGGTTCATAAGGATTTAAAAGGGGGGAATATGCATGTAGATGGTGAATCAAGAAGAATATACATATTACAAAAACCACAAGAACAGCACCAATAATTGTAAACAACCATATATATATCACTTTCAAACAAAACGCTGAAGTATTTTTTTCGCATAGACCATTCTACAAAGCAGAGAAAAACACTTAATTAACTGCGTCCCCAACAATTAATCATTGGACTTAAAACAAAAGATGGTGAAGCAACATGTAAAACCCGAGTATTCATGTCACGACAAAAACTCAAGCGGGAATATCAAATAGGAAAATTAGAGAATGGAAAGTTGGTAGATATTGATAATCTCGGGACAGTTGGAAAATGGCAATGCTTCTGACTAAAAGAGAGGGAAAAATCCTTATTTCTTTCAAACTTACATTCGAAAATAGTCTTGCAGTTGACTGTCAAGCATTGGGAGTTTTCCGCTGCTATCTTGTCTCTTCTCATTTAAAATTTCCATTTTCTTATTCAGCTCCTTGATGCTTTTCTGCATCTGTTCAATTTCCTTGGAATGCTTCCCTTTTTCTTTTTTCCTCTTATCCAACTCCTTCCGATTGATCTCAATTTTTGAATTTATGCGAGCAATCTCCTCTTTCAATCTCAGAAGCTCGGGTTGCTGCCGACAGGAAAAGTACAGATATAAGTTACTCAAGTGAGAAAGTCATTAAATTTCATAGGATAACAACAAAGAACAGTAAAAATTTCAGTAGATACTATATTTAGGAGGGAAAATAGAATCTGTTAAACACAGACTTCCAATGTACACTCACGTATCTTCCAAGCTTTGAGCTTCTCTCAGCAATCTTCTTTTCACGTTGAGCAATATCTTTCAGATACTTTGCTTGTTCCACCTTTCTCTTACCAGCTTCATGTTCAAACTTCTCCAGCTTTCCCATGACTTCTTTACGATTGCTCTTTTCAGCATCAACATCCTCAGTCGCCTTCTCGATATCATTTTCAATGTTATACAATTGCCATAGGAAATGTTCTCTCTTCAGAGCTTTCTGCATTGCGCGAAGACAGATCAACAAGAAAGCAGATACGATAGTTCACAAACTAATTGAATAGACAATGTTCCACTAGAGAATAACAGCAAATGCACATAATTACCAGTTCGTCTTGCAGCTTCAGATGCTTCTCAGCTTCTTCCTTCTGTGCCTTCTTCTGCTTCTTCTCTGCCCCAACCGTCTTCTTCTTCTGATATATAAGGGCTGCTTTTTCTTCAGCGCTGGCCTTCTTTTCTTCTAATTCCTCGTACTCTTTCTTAAGCTCCTCGGACCCAGAAATCTGCTCGAGAAGTCCAGTGAGCTCTTTAGAGTTCTTGGAAGCAATGGATTCAACATCACCCTGCAAATTTGGGTAGAAAAGTCTTCTGTCAGAAGCAAGTTACATATACACGGATTTCAAAATCCAAAACAATCCATAAGACACGAAATTGACAAAATAACCCTAAGGAAAAGAAAAAAACGAATCAAGCGTTGAAAATACTCAAAAATCGGGAAGAAGCAACCACCTGAAAGACGAGGAAATTACGAGCCTTAACCAGTATGCCTAGAGATCGAAGCTTTCCATTGTACTCGTCCCAATTCACAACCCTATCATCGATGCGGTATTCACTCCCGCCGGCGCTAGTAATAGTACGGGTGAAATGGAGTTTCAACCCATCGTCGAGAAGATACACGAGGCGGACGAACGCTCTCCGACCTCTCTGCTCCTTCTCTCGGTCATCGAAGGCGTAGATTAGATCCTTAAGCTGAGAGCCACGAAGTTGACCGGTGCGAACTCCGAGGACGAAGCTTATAGCGTCCATTAGGTTGGATTTGCCGGAGCCGTTGGGACCAATGATAGCGGTGAAATCCTTGAACGGACCTATCAACTGGTGACCCTTGTACGACTTGAAATTCTCCATCTCGATCTGCAGGATCTTCCCCGGCGGGGTTTGTATGGAAGGCATGATTTGAGGTCTCGTTTCTTCAGAGAAAGCAGGAGAGAGTGAAAAATTGGTCAATTTAGGGTTTGTAGAAGGTTGGGGATATTCTCTGGGGAAAAGAAAGGAATGGAAAATGGCGGGAACTGAAAATTTTTAGAGGCGAGATCTCAAGGGATTTCAGAATCCATCTTTCCCCTAATTCCGCAAGTCGAAAGCTCGAGAGAGGAGATCACAGTGTTTTATCAATGGGGCCTAGCGATACGGCGTGGTTTTATATGGCTCGACGCTTTTCTTCTCACACGGTACGGTTATTTCTTCAAACTGGTTTTTTTTAAAGTACTGTGAAAAAAGATTTTAAATAAAAAAATAAAGTATTTATGAAATTTTGTAATTTTTTTTTATATTTACGTGAGTGTTGAGGTTGTAGGAAATATCGTTTCATGGTGTATTCTATACTTTTTAAATACTAGGATGAGACTTGTTAACTAATGTGATGAAACACACAACATTTTTTTGTGTGCGAACATTCCTCCATTAAATTTAAATTTTAAGGATAAATCGATTAGGAAATTTTGAAACGATAAATCAATGTAATTACAGTAAAGTGTAATTCTTCAACAAACATAAAATGACTTCCATGGTCTAATGTTGGTATTCTTTTGCAATCTATAAACTTGGTCATTTCATAAACTCATTTCTGGTATGTGTAATTTGTAGAGAAATCGGAAAAGAAACAAAACAGAGATAAATAAACTGAGTCTCAGTTTGGTAGACACTTGTGACCACACAAAAACATGTTTTTAATTGTTTGTAACAATTAAAATATCATAAATCTAAAAGCTGCCACCAAGTAGAAAATGTAGAATCGTCGAAAAAAGCACAGCGCACAGAAAAACTTGAAAGGAAACAAAAAAAAAAAACAGAGAGAGAGAGAAACAAACGCGAAGATGGCTTCGACTCCGAAGCTCACTACTACGATTTCGTCTTCTCCATCTATTCAAATCCTCTGCAGAAAACTCCCAATCGGTATTCCTCTACCATCTTCTAGCTCTCGCTCGCTCCCTAAAACCTTATCCTCTTTCTCTTCCCTCCGTCCCCGTGTCGCCTTATTGTCAAACCACTCCCGGTATTACCCCTCTCGCCGGTTTTCTGTCCGTGCCCAGAGCGATAACGGAGCAGACTCGGAGCGCCACTACGATTTTGATCTCTTCACTATCGGCGCCGGAAGCGGCGGCGTCCGCGCCTCTCGCTTCGCCACGAGCTTCGGCGCATCCGCCGCCGTCTGCGAGCTCCCTTTTTCCACCATCTCTTCCGAGACAGCCGGAGGCGTCGGAGGAACGTAAGTCTTCTCTCGTCCCTGCCTTATTTTGATACATCTGCAAGTATTTGATCCAAGCAGCTGTAACTTCATATGCCAAAACCAGACAAGAAGATCAATTTGAAACATTTTTCGATTGATGATTATAATTTGATATCAGAGGAAGGGAATTTTTTTTTTTTTTTTTTTTTTTTTTAAGTGTGTTTATGATATGGTCTTACCTGAATAAACTCATCTTTGTCAACTTTCGTGGCAGAGCTACTTAACTGGGTCCCTGGAGGATCTTTACTAATCCTAGTTACATTTTGAAAGCTCACATTTAAGCTGTGTTAGATCTAAAGACTAAAGTCATTATTTTTATTTTTGCAAAACGAATGAGTGAGCTCAATTTGGTTTATTCGACAGGTGTGTACTTAGAGGATGTGTCCCAAAGAAGTTACTTGTGTACGCATCTAAATACTCTCATGAGTTTGAAGACAGTCACGGATTTGGTTGGAAGTATGATACTGAGCCTTCACATGATTGGAGTACATTGATCGCCAACAAGAACGCTGAGTTGCAGCGGCTTACTGGTATTTATAAGAACATACTGAACAATGCTAATGTCAAGTTGATCGAAGGTCGTGGAAAGGTAGCCTCATGCATATTCAGCTATGTTTTTGTAATACATACCGCTATGTAATCTTGGAAGAATAAGGGTTTGAAGCTTGGATTATATATTTATACGTGCAGATTATAGACCCACACACTGTTGATGTAGATGGGAAAATCTATACTTCGAGAAATATTCTGATTGCAGTTGGTGGACGTCCTTTTATACCTGACATTCCAGGGAGAGAGTTTGCCATAGATTCAGATGCAGCACTTGATTTGCCTTCTAAGCCCAAGAGAATTGCAATAGTTGGTGGTGGCTACATAGCCCTCGAGTTTGCTGGCATCTTTAATGGTCTTAACAGTGAAGTTCATGTATTTATAAGGCAAAAGAAGGTGCTGAGGGGATTTGATGAAGACGTGAGTGAACTGAGATTGAATTTGGCCGCTTTCGTTTTTATCCTTCTGGCTATTTCCTAATTTGTAGCTATTTTTGTTCCTAGGTGAGGGATTTTGTTGGAGAGCAGATGTCTTTAAGAGGCATTGAGTTTCACACAGAAGAATCCCCTGAAGCCATCATCAAATCTGGAGATGGCTCGTTGTCTCTGAAGACAAGCAAGGGAACTGTTGAGGGGTTTTCGCATGTTATGTTTGCAACTGGTCGCAAGCCCAACACAAAGGTATAATGTGGTTTTTATTTCTGAAGGATGTTTACAAAATGAAAACTGTTAAGTAAAGTTCATTGCTTTTATAAATCTTCTAAGATTAATTAACCATTGCAGCCCCTGGTTTATGACTTACAATGTAAGCGAATACAATGATCGTAGAATATGGTTTGATGATTGATGTAATGTTGGCTGCTGTAACAGAACTTAGGGTTGGAGAATGCTGGCGTAAAGCTGGCGAAAAATGGAGCAATAGAGGTAGGATCTAATGTTTACCTTTTCTCTTTGTCTCCTAGTATTTCTATTGTTGCATTGTGCGAAGTTCTAATGTCATGCCTGGTTACTTAATGTGTATTTGTGCTTCGTGTTGCAACTTTGTTTGGTAAGGTTGATGAATTTTCACGGACATCCGTACCTTCTATCTGGGCTGTTGGGGATGTCACTGACCGGATCAATTTGACTCCAGTCGCCTTGATGGAGGGAGTTGCATTGGCTAAAACCTTGTTTCAAAAAGAGCCAACAAAGCCTGATTACAGGTAACGTGATACTCTTGACCAGTGTTAATTTTTTTAACCTTCGGAATTTCTGGTGATCAATGTTAATTTTTTCTGTTTAGTCTTACGTGCTCCCTTTAAACTCCGAGAGCATTTTGTAACCATTATCTGTAGTCTGTTGTCTCTGATGGCTTTTTATCCTTTCTGTGTTATCTATATCCAACTAGAGCTGTTCCCTGCGCCGTTTTCTCCCAGCCACCTATCGGAACAGTTGGTCTAACTGAAGAGCAGGCAAGTAGCATCAATTTGTCGAAAATATTGTTGATCATCAATTTGTCACTGCCTATAAATGTTGGAGACGTGTTTGCAGGCCATTGAACAATATGGGGACATCGATGTTTTCACATCAAACTTTAAGCCACTAAAAGCTACGCTCTCAGGGCTTCCAGACCGGGTGTTTATGAAACTCATTGTCTGTGCAAACACAAACAAAGTTCTCGGTGTTCACATGTGTGGAGAGGATTCACCCGAAATCATCCAGGTTTCACTGTCAGCATGATTCATCGTCTCTGTAAAGTAAACACGGAACACATGTATGATAATATGATTCAATAACGATTTCTTTTTCTTTTTTTTTTCCGATTTTTCCAGGGATTTGGGGTTGCAGTAAAAGCTGGCTTAACTAAGGCAGACTTTGATGCTACAGTGGGTGTTCACCCCACAGCGGCTGAGGAGTTTGTCACTATGAGAACTCCAACCAGGAAAATCCGCAAAGACTCCTCTGAGGTTTGTGTGTGTTACAAAAAGTTGCTTAACCCATCTAGTTATTTTTTTATTGTTCTGCAACATGGCTAAAAGGTGGGTATTCTCAATTTTATTTTCAGGGAAAGGCAAGTCCTGAGGCTAAAACAGCTGCAGTATAGAGAAGGTTTCAGTAAGATTGGATTTACGCTATTGGAGCTCCCTGACAAGGTATTCTCCAGTTTCCTCAGTGTTCTTCTAAACCTATTAAAAGATAAATTCAATGCATTAGCTCATACAATACGTAGGGTGTCAATTAAGCTCTGATTCTACACACCTCGAAGAAAACAGGGTTAGAGACGGTGTCTTTGTACCGGGCTCGAGCCAGCTATTAACTACTTTAGTCCAAGCTCGAGCCAAAATTCCAAAATTTTCGGGCAGGGCCTAGTAGTTTTCGGACTTGCTTGAGCCATGCCGGTCTAGTTGATACTCTTCCATGCTATACTACTAGACGAAGAAAGCACAGCTCGCACTAGAGCTATATGTATTTGTGTGTGAATATTTATTCGAGTTGCATGCTTGCAGGAGAACAATATCCGTGAAGAAGAAGAAGAAGCTTTTTTTGGATCGAGAGTGATTGAGTTTTTAGGCAACGTTTTTATTTATGTCGCGTGGAGATTGTCATAAGTCATAACCGTCGTGCAATACTGTTGATCGTTCAACCTACACGACCAGATTCTCAGGAGAGGTTATAACTATTCGGAAAGTGATTTTGGCAAGAGCTCTAAAAACTGAAGATTTTCAATTCTTGTGCCATCGTAATGATGGCTTGGTTGTATAGATACAAGGCTCTCCCAGTCTCTCATTATCCTGGCTGAATAAAAATTAGACAATTTCGTTCGTATGTCGAGAGTGATTGAGTTTTAGCCAACGTTTTTGTTTTTCAAATTTCGCTAAACTCAGACGACTGAGTTTGAAAGAGCCCCTAAAACTGAGATTTCGGTTCTTGTGGCATTGGCTGTAATACTAGTACAAGGCTGAAATCTCATTATCCTAGTTGAGTAAAAATAAACGATTTCAAGCATTTTCTGGTCTTCTTGTTATATATTTTTAGCCTCATTTCATCATCTTTTGAAAATATTTATAATTATTTCTTTTGTTATTTAATATAATTAATTTATTTTTTTATTCAAATTTGAATCTTTTAGACAAAATATTTACAATATTAATACTCCATGTAATTACACCTATACAGATTCGTGACTAAAAATCGCTATAAAAAGTAGTAAAATCAACCCGAAATGTCTAGTAAAATATTTTTTTTTTTGTAATTTCTTACCATGATAAAATATATATGTCTTATTCTGTTGAAATAATGCCATCTAAATATATTTATTGGCTTATTGCGACACGACTGAAGATTATTTCTGTTTTTGCTTTAATTTAATGGTTTTTAGGGAGAATCTTTTCCTTACAAAATAGTACTAGTAATATTAGTCAACTAATAGTAATACACTGGATCCAATCCAACGTCTCCAAAAGGACATCGCGTCACGTGCCGTGTACCAAACCTAAGGGCAAATCAGTACTTTAACTACCTAGACCTCCCGCTCCCTTTTAGCTGAGCGGCTACGTCTTTTTTTTTTTTTAATTTTTACATTTTGGTTCTGTGTGTGCTTCGAAAACACTCGCGCGAAAACGCCATTTTATCTCCCGCCGCACCTTCCCTCCTTCATTTTCCTTTTATTTTTCATCTCTCCCTCCAAATCTCATCTAATCACACTCCAACTCCAACCAAATCTCCATTTCCTTTTTTGTTTTCCTCTCTCTCTCAATCTCACGATGCAGCCTCAGCCGCATATTCCTCCGGCCACCGCGAACGCCGCGATCTCAGCCGCGCTTAAATCCCAGCGAATCAGGAAAAATCGCGGAAGTTACAGTTGCGGTCGATGTGGTCAACCTAAGAAAGGCCATGTCTGCCATTTGCCTCCCCTTGATGTACCCAGCACTCCGATTGCTTCGGAGCCGGTGAGCTACGTCTCCACCGCGGCTTCTTCTTCCCGTTCTACTGTCATCTCCTTATCGGCTGCGCCGTCGCGTCAGTCTTTCACTCAACTACGCCGCGCCTTATCTTTCGATGACGTCGATGCGCGTAATTCTCTCGATGAGCCCGATCTGGATGCCGCATCGACGGATCTGGATCTGCATTTGGATACGGATATCGTTCAGCCGGGGAGGTTTCATGCCGTGGGTCTATGGGAGGTGCTTAAGCGGCTGCCGCCGTCGGGTCTACTGATGGCGGCTAGGGTTTGCAAAGGATGGAGAGAGACCGCGAGGAAGATGTGGAAATCGGCTGAGGAGCTTCGGATTAAGGTTCCGGAGCGAGCTCAGATTGGATACATCGGATCCTTATTGCAAAAGTGTCCTCGACTTATTAGACTGTCACTTAAAATCGAGAGGTGATTCTTCTTTCGTGTGATCTATTAGATCTGAGATGATTATTGATCTCATCGTTCTAATTTGAAATTGGAGTTTATTAACTTCCCAAAGATGATGATGAAAGTGCTCTTCTTAGTAATTATCGATAATCGAGGAAACAAAGGATTCAATTGTCTTCTGTGTTGTTGGACAAATTGCAATTTAGTGTAAAACTGCGTCTCTTTCTGACTGGATCTTCGCTTGATATATGCAGTGATTTGGACGCGACAACTCTGGCCTGCATTGCTTTTTCTTGCCCTAACCTGGAGGTTCTGGAGATTTCTACTTCCGGTGCAGCTGTCAATAGGATTTCTGGGTAAATAATCTTGATATCTAATGATGACATAAAGTGATAAACCTGAGCAAATTTCAATAAGAAACAGTGACAATCGAGTCTTTAACTGCTTTTCTATGCGAGACTGGGATAAGGCTACTTGATCATAATGCTGAAACTGTCATGCCGTGAATGTTTGCTCTGTTTGCTATGAATTCATATGAACTAAGCAGTCATTTCGCATGTGATTCATTATAGATAGATCAGCTTAACACAGTTGTTTGCTCTTTCCTGGATTTGTGTTTAATAGTCTTATGGTTTATTGTATATATAGGGATGAGCTGAGTCGCTTTGTTTCTAATAAACGTGGACTTACAAGCCTTAAGATGGAAGGATGTTCCAACTTGGGAGGATTTTCCCTCTCTTCATCAAGCCTCAAAACTCTCTGGCTCGCGGACCTTCATTCTCTCTCGAAGATGGTAAATTGAATATGCAATCTTTTCCCCTTTTCCAAAATTTTACGAAGAGAATTCGTTTATCTAATACTTTGTTCTTTTCTACAGATCATCAACTGTCCAAATCTTATAGAAATATCACTTGAATTTTCTCGCCAAGAAGATGATTCAACTGATCTTGTAACAATGGTTGATGGTTTGGGAAGGACTTGTACTAGATTGCAGAATATCCACATAGCCTCTCTTAAGCTTTCCCATACTGTTGTACTCGCTCTTACTGCTGTGGAATTCAGGTTTGTTCAGTTCCTCTGTTTCAAAAATCCTTCTCATGCACATTTAGTCGTGAGTACTTTCATTGGAGATAACGGTTGTTATTAAGGATTGATGTCAGTTTCCTTATCATCCAGGGATTTAAGAATGCTCTCGCTAGTTCTTGGAATAGATATCACCGATGCATCTGTAGCTGCCATTTCCTCATGTTACACAAACCTTGAACTCCTTGATCTGAGTGGGTATGTTCTGTTCTTGCTCAGTATATCCTATATATATCTCTGGTGGCTCAGTGAGTTATTCACATGAAGAGCGTATGTTGAGGCATGTTTTTTTTTTTGCTTGTTGGTTTTAGTTCCAGCATTACTGATACTGGCCTCGGGATGCTATGCGATGTCTTAGCTGATACACTCTCAAAATTACTTGTTGCTCTTTGTCCCAACATTACATCAAGTAAACTCTTGATCTTTGGTTTTGCATATGCAATATATAATTCTTTATTCATGTGTTTATTCCCTGGTGTCTCATTTCGTCTATAATGAATATTCTTGCAGGTGGCATCCAGTTTGCTACTGCTCAACTGCCTCTTCTTGAGCTGATGGATTGTGGCATGACTGTGTCTGATCCCAATATAGATAATCCGACCTTAGAAGAGAAGAGTTCGACTCCACAGAAAACATCAGGTTTCAATCAGAAGATGTTTATTAAACATAAACGACTGAAGAAACTCAGTTTGTGGGGATGCTCCAGTTTAGACGTGAGATCCCTCATCAATGCTCTCGAAACGAGTTCTCCCTAAATCCCATCTTCTCATGGTTTCGATCTTTTTGATGCAGGCTTTGTTCCTAAACTGCCCAGAGCTCAAGGACTTGAATTTGAACTTATGCAGCAATTTGCAACCTGAGAGTTTGGTGATCCAGTGTCCAAAGTTACAGCTTGTGTACGCATCAGGATGTCAAGACCTACTAACCGGAGCTATCCGGAAACAGGTAATCCTTTGGACAAAGTTACAATTAGTATACGTTTTGGTTTTATACAAACTAAGATCAAATAAAACCATTTGCAGTTCAGTCTGATTGGGTTCAGTTTGGTTTTAGATAACCTTAACAGTATACAGATAATTAGTTAATTGATATTATATGATTACATATATGATTAAAATATAAAAATGGATGAATATTAGTTTGGTTTGGTTACACTAGTTAGTTTTGGTTTGCTTTGGAATTTAAAATCATAAAACTAGTAGATTTATGACGCATTTTGGTTTAAACATTTTGCTTTGGATTTGGTTTGGTTCGATATAGTTTAAATGTTGAACCCTAGACATGTGTTCAGTTCTAAAAAATCCTTTGAGTGACATCCAACCCGAAGTCTTAATAGACCTCATCTTATTATAACTTGTTTGATAGGTTTCCGAGAATTCCGCAGCTGGTGAAAACCATATGTCACGGAAACGCTTGGCCGATGCCTCGAAGAGGATTCAGGCTCCACATTTGTTGTACCAAGAGGTAAGTATTATTTTACTATTTTATTGTTTGTGAGAAAGGACGCAAGAAATATATTAGACGAAAACCAAAAGTAAGGAATATAACATGTGTAACTGAGACTCTGAGAGTTTGTTGTTTGCAGACAAGAGAAGATGATAACTATGCGGTTAAGAGAAGGAAAGTGGAGAGAGAAGTGTGTTCCATTATACATTGATAATCTTCTCTTAGACTCAAATCACATTTTCTTCTTACCATCTCTATGTTACTGTACATCTGATTATGTCGTCGGATCACGTATGTTGTTTCTCTCACTTATCAACTTTACATGTTTATGTTTGTTTTCCAGAATAAATTGTATAATTAACATTTTGTATTGGATTTTGATAAGTACAATATAGTAAAAGATGTCTTATTTGTTTTTCAAGTTATAGAATACTAGTATTTGTTATATCTGGTAAGAAATCTGTACATACTATATGTCGTACATTGAAAACAATTCAAAGCTTTTGCTATATACTTTGATGAGGTGTTATGAAATTAATTTTTAAAAAACTTTGACCCACTCACATTATTACGCATTTTTTCAAAATCATAAATTAACTTTGACGGGAAAAAAGTGTTTATTGTTACTTAATACTATCGTATATAAAAAAAGGGAAAATAAATTTTATTCTTTAACGAACCAAAAATGGAAGAGCAAAGTCACCAAGTCAAAATAGCTCCAAAATGTTGTAATGCGACGGCGCTTAGACACTCGTGGCTGGTAGATTTCACCTACCAATTTTCTTCCATATCCCAAACGTGGAATCGCTGCGACTCCGTTTATATAATACTCTCCTTCTTCAACGAAGCCCATTTGCAGAATACTGAACTTTCCCCAATGGCAATTGCTTTCAAATCCGCCGTCTGCTTCCTCCAATCCTCAAAACCCCAAATCGGATTCCGCCATTCTTCTTCTTCTTCTACTGATTCATCGTTTTCCTTCAAGAGATTGACGCCCATTGCTGCTCTCTCCACCTCTTCTCCCACCCTCGGTCTCGCTGATACTTTCACGGAGCTCAAAAAACAAGGCAAAGTAAGAGATTCTGCTTCTTTGAATTGTTTCAACTATCGGGCTATTACGTTGCATTCTTCATTCTTTTTGGCGAGAAAAATTTACTATTAGTTCTGGTGGGAACTTGGATTTGAAGATCAATCCCTTTTGTGTATCAGCTCGTTGGGAAATTTGCTAATTAATCTACCATTTGTATAAACTTGTATATGTGTGTGAAGGTAGCATTCATACCGTATATCACAGCTGGTGATCCAGATCTCTCTACTACTGCAGAAGCATTGAAAGTTCTTGACGCTTGTGGCTCTGACATTATCGAATTGGGTGTTCCTTACTCTGACCCTTTAGCTGATGGACCTGTTATTCAGGTTTGAAAAGCCAACTATCAAAATCCAACCTTTATGTTATATTGTCCTACAGTTTTCGGTTTGTTTGACAAAAAAACAAAAAAAAGTTTTGATCATCTTGCTCTTCGTCATCTATTCAACTAGGCTGCGGCGACAAGGTCTTTGGCGAAGGGAACCAACCTCGATAACATCCTTGACATGTTAGATAAGGTGAGTTTGGTTTCTAAAGTGATTCTGTAGTGTCCCCTGTCTAAATATCATCCAAACTTCCTTGTAATGTATTTTTATTGTTGGACTTTGGTGCAGGTTGTTCCACAGCTATCTTGTCCAGTTTCACTGTTCACGTATTACAACCCGATTCTTAAACGTGGGTTGGGGAAGTTCATGTCCAGCATCAGAGATGTCGGTGTACAGGGACTTGTCGTTCCCGATGTTCCTCTCGAGGAAACTGAGATGCTGCGAAAAGAAGCCCTCAACAACAGCATTGAACTGGTAAGCATATGATTCGAAGGACTCATATTTCTTATCCCCATTCTCAGTCTTGCCAATAACAGCATATCACAAGATAATCAGTTAAACTCATTCGTGTCTATATACTCTAGATTATATCTTATTTCTTACTCTCCTCGAATTGGTTATTCTTAGCTGAACTCCTTGTCATTAGTCTGTGTGAAGATTCTTGTTGATAGGAATAGTATAAGTACTGTTTGGTGTAGGCACTGAAACTGGATCTGCCTCTTTCTATTTTGACATTATTTTCGCATTTTTGTATTATAATTACGCTCCATGTTTGTAATCAAGGTCCTACTCACTACACCAACCACACCAACAGAGCGAATGAAGCGAATTGTTGAAGCATCAGAAGGATTTATTTACCTCGTAAGATCCCTCTTTAGTGTATCTTTCTCTTTACAGATGTTCACATGTTTTTATTTTGTATCTGAGAGAATGTAATGGCCCTTGACAGGTGAGCTCAATCGGAGTGACGGGTGCACGAGCATCTGTAAGCGGAAAAGTTCAGTCGCTCTTGAAGGATATCAAAGAGGTCTACTAAATAACACATCTGTTATTGTTTCTTCATTATCTTGAAATCACCTACAAATGCTGAAATTGTTTGGCCGTTTGTAATTTAATGCAGGCAACAGACAAGCCAGTGGCTGTTGGTTTTGGAATATCAAAGCCTGAGCATGTGAAACAGGTGCTAAACCTTAAAAAGCTTCCATCGGCGTCTTATGTTGTCTTCATGTTGCTTCTTTGATGACTGTTTTTATTTTTTTGTTTATTGTGTTAAAACAGATAGCTGGATGGGGAGCTGATGGAGTGATCGTAGGCAGTGCAATGGTGAGGCTTTTGGGAGAGGCTAAGTCGCCAACGGAAGGGCTTAGGGAGCTTGAGAGTCTCACCAAGTCTCTCAAATCTGCTCTTCTTTGAAAAAGTCAACAAAAATGAATTTGCAAGACAGCATCATAGCTTCTGTTTTTGTTTTCTCTAATTATAATCATTGTGTGACAATGATGTTCGAAACTTTTGATACATTTCAAGTATGAGCAAAAAGTTACAGTGCTACACAATCTAGTTGGTGGGTTTCACTGTTACCTCTATGATTCAACTTTAATTGAAGTTACAGTGGCTCAAGGCTACAATCCAGTTGATTGCCTGCAAAAGTACTCAAAGCAATTGTCATACACTAGGAATCTAAGCAAGCTAATTTCTATACTAGACAAGCTACGTTGCGGTTTCTTCTTGATTGTTTTCATATCTGGACCAATCCAGTCTTCAGACCGGGTAACTCTGTGAAAGCCCACTTTGATATGTCGATTTTTCGGTCCACATATACCTTAAAACTCCGGAGTTTTGTAACCGTTTAAACCCACTTTGATTTGGAAACTCAGCCGAAAATAACTCTTTTTATTTCCATTTTGCCCCTCTTTTTTTTATTCAGTTAAATTTACAATTTTAATTATTCAAATGCAGTCTAGTGTTTTCTTGAAATTTATTTAATTCTTTTAATGAAAAACAGTTTGATGTTAGTTGATTTTTAAAATATCTTGTATATGAATCGAAAATTCAGAATTTTTGACGAGGCTATTTTAAACTGGATCATGTATACAAAAGAAAGAAAAAGTAACTATCGATTTGATTTTAGAATCATGTCTAAATCGAGGGTCCCATATGATCAATGAGAAAATAAAGTTTGATAATAAATAAAAGGGAAAATCGCATTTTAAACCTCCAAAGTTGGATTCACTTACACTTTAAACCTTCGGACTTCGACACTCTCACTTTAAATCTTCAAATTACAAAAGTTACACATTAAACCGTGAAAGTACCTCTCTTGTTTTCGCCGCCGAATCATTAGACGGAAAAATTAGCTCCGTTGACGGAACATTAAACACTGTTAAATCTTTTACAAAACGTAGAGAAGAGAAATTAAATAATAAAAACTTAAAAAGAGAGAAACACGAAATAAAAACAAACCTTGAAACCAAACACTCTCAAATCGATTTAGGGGTTTAGGGTTCATAATAGACAAAATCCAAAAATTCCAATTCCAAAGAGATAGAAGGGCAAAAATAGTGAATCACAAAGAAGAGACGACGGCGTTGGAATCAAAATGGGGTAAGTGTTTTCTTCTGATTGAGTTCGATATCTTGGCTGATTGTGTTTCGGCGGACAAATTTCTTCTGATTGAGTTCAATATTCATTTTCTTCTGATATGACGATGTTATGCTAACTTTCTATTGCTTCAATGCAGCGACGATGTGATGCTAAAACTCAAAATTCATTTTGGTGGTGCTATGAAGAAAGAGAATGAGAGTTACAACTATATAGGGAAATTGGGTACTCTGAGCGTCAATTGGAAAGAGTCAGAGACTACATGGGAGAGGTTTGGAGACTTCCTCAAGAACGAAGCTCATATAAGTACACCGATTATAATTATCTGGTACAAAGAAGTAGGGAAAGAAATGAATAGCGTAGACTATGCTTTAGATGAAACAGACATGCTTTGTTTGGCTGGGAAATCATCAGGTGAGCTTGATGTGTTTATCGAACACGACTGCTCAGAACATATACCTGGATATACGAGCACTTTTCTCGTCGCAAGCAGTCAAGTTGAAGAAAAAAATTGGCATGAAGATAATGCAGATGGATATGAGGCTGGTCAAGAAGATGAAGAGGACATGGGTGAGAATAAAGATAGTGATGATGATGATATTGACAGGCCAAAAGAAGATGAAGAACCTGAAGAATCGGAGGATGAAAACAATAAAAAAACGAATGTTGCTGAAAATCGATGCGATGGTGTGACTGAGAATCAAGGAAACATGGCTGAGAATCAGGGAAACGTGGCTGAGAATCAGGGAAACGTGGCTGAGAATCAAGGTGTTAGGTCTGTTAAAAGAGATGAGGCTTGCAAAGAAGGAGCTCCTGTGTTGAATACAGTGGATGAAGGGGATGAGGTTGTAGTAGATGTAGGAGATGGACGCAGTGATGATAGGTTAACATTCGGCTTCACCAGGTTAATCCCAATCCGAAGCCTCCACCAAAGCCAAGGAAAAAACGCTCAGCTGAAACAAACTCCCAACCTGCTCCTGCAACAAGCTCCCAAGCTGAGCAAACAGGCGACTCAAGTTCACAGCCTCAAGTTATTTCAAGTGCTCCGCAGCCATCATCAAATCAACCACCAAAGCCACATGCAAAAAAGGCTCCACGAGGAAAGCCATTGAAGATCAGAAAAACAGGTAACATCCCACATGGTGTTGGATCGCTTTGGAGTCCATTCACGGACAGACCTTTTGAGGTGTTTGGAAACCGTTTTTATGATAGGTCTACTTCAAACCCACAATCTCCAGAAGAGTGATTTTAAGCTTATTGCAGCTTTGTAATTTGTTATTCTGTTTCAGAACTTATGTTTCGGAACTTATGTTTCAGAAGATGATGTTCTTTTGGCTTTTGGATTTGGTTTTTGTTTGCAGCTTTGTAATTTGTTATTTTGGTTTCAGAACATAATGACAATGTCTTTTGGTTTTAAAATTTGTTGTTTTTTGTCATTTTGTTGTTTATTTCAGTTTAACCTCTCAAAACAACAATGTCAACAAAATAACAATGTTAACAATACAACATTCACTCGTACATAATAATCATAATGTCAACAAAACCCACTCATACAAAGAAAAAGACAGTAACAATCCAACAAAGACAATATGATAATTCACCGAACAGAGTAGACACAATGTCACAAGCTTAACGTCACTTACACATCGTCACCACCACTCCAAGTATAATTATAAACCCAACGGAAGAAGTGATAAGAACATTACGGAATACCCTACTCCTTTCATTCAGAATCAAAACTTCTCGCTTCAGTGCTTCGCATTCCTCACTAGTCTGCTTCACATCATTCGAATTTTCCCGCTTCAGTTCTTGTACTTGTACCGCTTCCCTCAAGTTCTTAATCTCTTCTCTTTGCTCACGAATGACATCTCTTGCCTCAATCAATGCTTCATGTTGCCACCCGTGTGGTTTCTCCACATCAAACCAACGGAAAAAGTTACAAGACTCATACCCGTGAGCAACCTTACGTCCTACACAGCCATAGAATCTGTGCCCAGTGTTCGCATCAGTCCAAGCCCTTACAATCTTCGCAAGCTGGTTACAATTACACAAAACAGCTTTCTCATTCTTGTACTGAACAGTTGATGAACTTGCACTGTCACTGCATTAAGAACATAGATAGCTATTAATGTTTAGAAACTGAAACTATAACGAGAGTATAAGAAGCTATAACAACAGAATCCAACCAATACATCTGTTCATACTACTCGATCTCGAAAACAAACTATATTTGGAACTGGGACTACAATCGCTCTAAACGAATCCGAACAGAACAGAAATCACAAATTTAATAACTCTTCATCAAAAGCTATCAAACGAATCCGAACAGAAATCACGAATTTAACAACTGGGACTACAATTGCAAACGCCGAAAAAATAACTCTTCATCAAAAGCTATCAAACGAATCCGAACAGAAATCACGAATTTAACTCAAATTAAATGTTTAGAACTACACTTACCCCATTTCAAACACCGTCATCTTTTGATTTACTCTCGATTTACTTTTTCTCACTCTTAACTTTTGGGGTTTTCGTTCTCAAGAACCCTAAATTCCTAAATTGATTTGAGAGTGTTTGGTTTGAAGGTTTGTTTTTATTTCGTGTTTCTCTCTTTTTAAGTTTTTATTGTTTAATTTTTCTTTTCTACGTTTTGTAAAAGATTTAACAGTGTTTAATGTTCCGTCAACGGAGCTAATTTTTCCGTTTAATGATTCGGCGGCGAAAACAGGAGAGGTACTTTCACAGTTTAATGTGTAACTTTTGTAATATAAAGATTTAAAGTGAAAGTGTCGAAATGCGAAGGTTTAAAGTGTAAGTGAATCCAACTTTTGACGTTTAAAATGCGATTTTCCCATAAATAAAATGCAAAAGAAAAAATAATCCCAAGAGTTCTTTTTTAGGTTTCCCTTTCCTAAATTCAAAATACAAATCACAAGTGTTGCATCCCGCGATAGATTATTGAAATTCCCTTTCAGTGTCGGTTTTCTGAAATAGCATAGAAGATGAGAGGCGGAGCCACCGGTAAGAGAAAAGCGACGGAGGGTTTCGGCGGAGCGCCGCCACCACCTCCACCTTCGGTGGAGCACCAGCGCCATCTCGTTAACTCAAGAGACTCCGACGCCAGTTTCGCCAGCAGCCGTCCATCGTCGATCGGTCTAGGCCGAGCCTCCGATGTCTACAACGACAGATCTCACCAGTCCTCGACTATTCGATCCATCAACGCCTTCCTCTCTTCTCATAACTATCACACCACACTTCGCACGCACCCTGTTCCTCCTGTCAAGGAGATCTCCGAAACCCTAAGATTCTTGCTCTCCACCGTCGATTTCCCCTGCGATCCCCAGAAGTGGGACGAGGATGTCGTCTTCTTCCTCAAATCGCTCAATTGTCCATTCAAGCTCACCAAATCTAGCCTCCGCGCTCCCAATACGCCTCACAATTGGCCCAATGTCCTCGCCGTGATTCACTGGTTAGTTCAGAGCGCTAGTTACCGCCAACATTTATCGACCAATCCCGCCTCCGTGCCCGACGCTAACTCCATGAGTTCCTTCGGGATCCAAAGCTATCGCCACTTCATTCGCGGCGAGGACGATTTGGTTAACGAACTAGATTCCGAGTTCTTGGGTAAACTGGAAACGGAGAGGACTAACGTCGCCGAAACGATTTCTGGCTGTGAGAAAACCTCCGGTGAACTGGAGGCTAAACTCGAGGCGTTGAGGAAAGGTCCGTCGAAGAAAGAGTCTCTGGAGAAAGTGAAAGCCCATCTGGAGAAAGACGTTAACAAGTATTGCACAATGGTTGTGGGATACACTGATAAGACTCGAGGGATGGAGAAGGTCGTGGAGGAGAAAGAGAAGGAGCTAATAGCTAAGGAAGAAGAGAGACAGCGAATCTCTGAAGAGAATAAGGAGCTGAAGAAGAGTGTGGAGGTTCAGAGTTTCAACGTGAGAGATGTAGAGAGGATGAAAAGAGAGTTACAAGCCGTGGAAAGAGACGTCTCAGAAGCTGAAGGTGCTAGAGATGGTTGGGAGCAGAGAGCTTGGGAACTCAATTCCCAAATTAGGAATCAGTTTCATCAGATTCAGACGCTTGCCATTGATTGTAACCAAGCTCTAAGGAGACTGAAGCTCGATATTCAGTTTGCTGTGAACGAGAATGGGGAATCGCCTGCAGAGGTGATGGGCGTGGACTATAAGTCTGTGGTGAAGCCAGCTCTGTGTTCGTTATACGATGGGATCAAGGGAAGCTCGCTGGAGAAGGCGGAGACGCTGACCACGTCTCAACACCAGGCGTCTGAAATGGCTTCGAAGATGGAATCGAGAAAGAGTCTTCTCGGGTCGATTCAGTCGCAGATCAATGAACTGGAAGAAAAGATGGAGCTAGTGAAGAAGGAAACTCAGGACTTGGCTACGAAATGCGACTTGGAGGCGAAAACAATGGCAGAGAGTGTGAAAACTGAGGCTCTTAATCTAGAGGCCGTGGAGAAAGAAGCTGCCGAGTTTTTGAAAGCTTCAGAGCTCAGATTGCAAGAAGCAGTGAAGCAGAGTGAAGAGAAAGTTCAAGCTTTTGCCGCACAACTCTTTGCACTCATTGATTCGATATCGAAGCATAAAGAGTATATGGATTCGAAGATGCTTGAGGTGAAAAATGGTGTTACTGATACTGCCAATGCTGTTTCAGAGATATATAAAGCGAACCTCAAGAAGCAACTTGGTTGCTAGGGATTTGGATGGCATTTGAATTAAGAGATTGTATTAAGTATGAGTTGTTCGTATCTTTATGGTGAACAACGTTGTTGGCTTGTTGCTTTCGTTTAAATAGTCTGTTTTAGCATTTAGATGGTTTGTACTATGATGTATCTTTTGTTCTTAATCTTCGTCGGTTTGAATGAAACGACGCGTTTTAAATTAAAGAGCCGAATCATCATTGTACACATGAAGCATCCTGATTAGTAAGTATATTTGAGGAATTTATAAGATAAAGAAAAAGTTAAAGCGTCCAATTCAACGCAGTAACGTGTTTAAGCGTCCTAATTGATAATGGCGGCGGCTCCACGTAAGACAACAGAGATAGAGATAGAGAGAGAGAAAGACAAATCAGATTAAGGAGAGAGAGAGAGAGAGAGAGAAAGGAATCTGAGGCGATTGGGTAAGCGATGCACATCGTCTTCTCTGTCGATGATTTGACCGAGACATTCTGGCCTGCTTCCGCTCCGGTACCGTCACCGGGATCGGTACCGACACCGACGCAGAACATGGCGGAAGGGATGGCTCGAAGTCAATCGGAGTGGGCGTTCCACAGGCTTCTCAAGGAGATGTCCGGTTCCGATGAGAGCCCTACGACCAACGCAATCGACCGGTCGCCTCCACCGGTTCAGTCTGAGCTCTCGCTTTCGAGAGTGGAGGAAACCGTTGACGAAACCGCCGATGTCGTCGAAATACAGAAGCCGCCGCAGAATCGCCGCCTTCCCGCGGATGATCAAGGGAAGCGGAATCGTGCACGGTCGTCTGATCCGTTGGATTCAGCTGGAGTCGATCCTAATCAGTATCACGCGATTCTTAAGAGCAAGCTCGATCTTGCTTGCGCTGCTGTTGCTCGTCGTGTACGTCTTTTACGCCATCTCTTGATGTTGTTGAGACGAAGGAAATGATGAAAACATTTTGATCTTAGATAGAAATTCAATTGTACGGAAGGTATAGTTGTGGTGTTGATTGATTTGATTCTTCCGCAGGTGGGAACTGTGAAGCCGGAAGATTCGAATGCCTCAGCTGGCAATCAAAAGCAATCTCTTCCGATGGGATCTCAATCTCAAGGTTATCATTATAGTCGCTTGGATTTTGACCTTCTCTGGCTCTGTCTCTTCCATTGTTCATGTTTAGAGTACCAAACATTTCATGAGATTTATTTGTCACTTTGGCTAGAAACTTATGACGTCGTTGATTAACTGCTAACCTTTCCAAATTCCTATTATATAATTCATACTGGAGGGAATATGAAGATCTGAGCATTTAGGGTACACTTGTTTTGGCCATTTCAGCTTCTGAGTGTTCTGTCAAATATTGGAATTAGTTTTCAGGACCGTTGTATCATCTTCATATATGTTGTTTTTCTTAGAAGAAAGAAACAAGGCACATTTTGTACGAGTTTAGACGAGAATCATTCTTTTGACTCTGCATACTTAAAAAAAATGCATTCTTAATGTTGTTTGGTTGGTGGATAATGGGGATTATGTTGATTGTTGTAGGCTCCAGTGTGGCACAAACGTCACCCGGGGCTTCATCTGGTAGAGTCGTATCCTCAACAAGCACACAGAAGAAACCAGATGTTCCAGCCAGGCAAACTACCAGTGTTTCATCTCGAGATGATTCTGATGACGACGATCTTGACGGAGACACAGAAACAGCAGATAATGGAGATCCTACTGATGTGAAGCGTGCTAGGAGGTACAAATCTTGATTTTTTTGTAAATTAGAATCTTTCTGACCATCATTCTGATTCTCAAGGTTGATATATAATATAGAGATACTTTTGACTTTGAGTTTCTACTCTCTTTAAGGAGAAAGAAACAACTGAAGTCTAGAAGGGGAATGTTTTAGTTAGTTTTAACGCTTATATTGTTCTAAGGAATTTATTTTTGTAAATCTGAAAGTGTAAAAACGGTTACTAAGACCAAAGCAGAGCCTATATATACGTTTCTTCTTAAGGTTTTCCTGAATCAGTACTTGGTAATTACTCAGGATGCTCTCAAACCGAGAATCCGCTAGGCGCTCCAGGAGAAGAAAGCAAGAACAAATGAATGAATTTGATTCACAGGTTCTTTTTTTGTCTTGTAACTGTTGCTCATATACTTTTACATTCTTCAATTTCATTCTTGCTATTCAGCAGTTTTCCATTGATTTATAGGAAAAAAATGTTGTACGTTTCGTATTCGTAGGTAGGCCAATTAAGAGTTGAGCATTCAACTTTACTTACTCGTCTTAGTGACATGAATCATAAGTATGATGCAGCTGCTGTCGACAACAGAATTCTAAGAGCTGATATCGAAACTTTGAGAACAAAGGTATGTATTGTCGCGACTCATGAGTGTATTAAGATTTTACAGCACCCGAGATTATGATCCTATCTTATTTATCAACTATGTTTATTGCACTGATAACAAAACTGATGTAGGTTAAGATGGCAGAAGAAACGGTGAAAAGAGTGACAGGAGTGAACCCTTTGCACTGGACAAGGTCAAACATGGGCATACCATTGAACAACACACCGAGCGATTCCTCTAGAATTCCGCCAAACTCTTTGAAACCAGCAATCCCAAGCACTACTGGTGCCGGTTTAGCACCAAACCAGAGAGCAGGGAGAGCGAATTTCTTGCCCGAACAGGTGAACCGAGAAGGCATGCAGAATCAGTTTGCTCCTAATTCGGATCTGTTTGAAACCTTGCCCCATTGGAATCACAAGCATTAACCACAAGATTGAGTCATTGGTTTTGTGATTTTTGAGGTAACTCTACTTATTATGGTCTTTTAAAAATATTTACTGCGACTCTGCGACGGTGCTATTGTAAGGTTTAATGTAACCATTTATATATATGCTTGGAAATGATTGGAAGAATCTTAATTTCAACAACCTGTTTTTGGTAGTCAAAGCAACGTTTGGCGTTAAAAATGTCAACGCAAAAAACAGAGTTGTACTGTACAACTTGTACACATGGGCACTTGTGCGTAAACACAAACTCAAGCTTAGCTAAATGTGGAGGCAAACGCAAGCGTTTAACAGAAGTTAGCAAAATCCCCGATGGTTGGTTTCAAGTACAACTTTCACACTAAACCTGTAAAACGCTCAATATCTTTTACATGCCAAAACCTACAGAGAAATTGTCAAATGTTCAGATATCCCAACAATGGCACTAACCCAACAAATCCAGTTTTTAATTTGTGATGTACATGTATTTGGACTAGTGTCTAGATTCAGTGTGAGCCAATTAATATAAACTCGCATGGGAACGTTGTTTTTGGTTTAAGCTCAGGTTTGTATTGGTCATTCTTTCTTGCCCATAACCTGAAATATAAGGTTAAAGAGTGGCCGAGAGCAACAAATTACCTAACCAGGACAAATGAGCGACAAAGTGACATTTAGGAAATAAAAGAAAAAAACAAATGATATGATGCACCGAATATATAATATGAGAGAAACTAGGCGTGCGTGTTCTAAGACTTGTTCAACAATACTCAAAAGGGTCTATCTATATTTAATATTTTCCTAATATATTTGTATTCAAATATACATCATACACGATCAAGTGGACCTAATAATATACTCGTGGTTGAGGCGATATTCCAGTCCCAACGAGAGTATCTTAATTCCAGTCCCAATGAGAATATCTTAAAACTGAAACATTAATAAAATTAGCATTATATCAATTTACCATATTTCTATTGAGATTTAGCACCAGACTGGAGAGCTGCTTGTACTTTGCTATGGAAGTGTGTTTCCAACCTTTCACGAGAGAAAAAGACAAATTAAATTCACATTTTCATTATCAGAATAAGAAGAGAAGAAACGAAACAAGTAGTTTACCTGGTTGCACATTTGTAATAAATGGTATCCGGGGAGTTGTAAGTTCTACAATTGTTAAACATCCGTCTCGCATCAGCGACAAACATATCAAGCGTCACGTAGTACTGTTCTGACTCTACTCTCTTTGCAATTGTCTTCAGATCTGTGTTCATACCATATTGGTTTACCAAGGTCAACACATTGTACTTGTAACATATTTTAATCAAAACATATTACAACAGAACAAACGATAGGTCTTTCTCCTACTCTACAAATTTGTTCGTACTAGATAAAGAAGCATCTCCTGATTAGGATGCATTTATTCCTAAGCAAATAATTTTATTTGTAGACTATAATGCTTCAATGGATAGTAAAAGGATAACAAAACGATTTAAGCGACATGATAATTCAGTGTTAAACCTGGAAGGCAATTTTGCAAGGAAAGTCAATTACCGAAACTCATATAGTAACTATTTATTCTTACCAATGGGATCTTTAATGATGTCATAGTAATCAGGGACATCGAGAGAATCAACTGGCTCTTTGAAAGGCCAAGCATCAGCATGGTCTTGCATTGTCTGTTGCAATTACTTCAGCTTGTCAAACTAAAGGACACGTAACTGCAATAACTTATTATGCAATATGATATAATGACAAAGCACTGAAAGGAAGAAAAATTATCACAACCTTCAAAAGCACGCGCATAAGTGCGCTCAACTGCTTTTGCTTTGACACACTGTCTGTAGAAGTATTGAATAATTTGTAACGTGTGTGCCCCCACTGATCTGGGGTCCAACCCGCGTCCCCTGAAATAGATTAACATTATTCCTGTATTAGCAGTTTTTTAACGCCAATTTAGGAAATGTTCTTACTCTATTAACACTGAGAAGCAAATTCAAGCGAGATAAATCTATTTTCTTAAAGCCAGATATTAAGTATTACATATTAACCATAATTTCATAGCTAACCAATGCAGGAAGCTTAACAAATGCATATCAACTTGATCACATGGAACTTTGAGATAACTAGACCATGTTAATGGAAAAAAAATATATTTTTCAGTAATAAACTGCAGTAACACCATGGAGTAGAATCATGACTTACTTAAGCCAGGTATATCCTCAACTTTGATCTTTTTAGGACTTCCAGCTTCTCTCTGCAGAAATTATCACATTTATTATACTACTGGAATAATGGTTTTTTTGCTGTGACATGCACAATAATGACAAAAGACACGCAACCAATGATGTTTACCTTTTGAAATTCAAGTACTCGATACACATTCTGACAGTTCGATAACTCTCTTATCCTTTCATCAATTGCCTGACATTATAAAAGTACAACGGTGATCAGAAACTGATGGTCTTGAGGGTCGAATCACCAAAGCTCTTTATAATTTTAACAAGATAGTAACGTATGTAACCAATGTTTAGTGGTTTTTAAGCTGTGTGGGGTTTTTTAAGTTGTGTGTAACCTTCGATACTCTCTTAGTCTATAAAGAAGAGGGCAGCTTGGCTCTTGCGCTCTCAGGGGAAAACATGGATTTCTCAATATAACATAAACTAAATCGAGCCCTCAGGTTTTATTTATATTGTTCTTAAATCTCCCTAGAATCATCCGTAAAATCAGAGCTAAATAGTGATAGTACTATAGAATCTAATTCATAAACCGTACAATTTGCAAGGCTCAAAAAACATTTCATCAGATTTAGAGTATTCAATGGCTTACCTTTCTTTGCTGGCGAATCATGCTTGACAAATCTGTATATGGAAGCTTTGGATCAATTTTGCATTCCATAAGGAGGCCGCCATCATAGTCTTTAATGAACCTAGGAAAATTCCAAACTATTTATTTGTGGAGTAGGCCTAAAGATGTAGAAGAGAATGCTAAGCCAAATTTTGGGAAGCTTTTTGGGACGTAGCACAGAATCTCTCTGATAGCATGAACAGCTAGGAAATCAAATGTTTTTATTCTAAATGTTTGTAAGCTTAACTGAAACCGCAATATTCCAGTCAGGCATTAATTTTCTAAAGCACAGAAGCTGAGTATGGTAATGAGCAGTTTGAACATTAAGAGATACATCATTTACATACCCATGCCATACATCTTTCTCCAAGTAAATCTCTTTCGTAAAACCCTACAAGCAGATAGACGTAACAGATCAACTTAGTGACCAATTATAAGAAAAGACAAGATTACAGAAAGTAGACATGACCACAGACTGTGAAATTTCTTGGAGAGAAACATTGACTTATATTCAGACGAGAAACAAATGAGCAATAATGTCTATCTAGAGCAGACGTTAACAGAGCCAAACTAAGACAAAATATTTAGACTTTATTCTAACAAAAGGAACATATTCAAAAGCATCATGTAAAGGATTATGCACACAAAAATAAAGCATGATAAGATTTCTTGGAGGTTCTTGCGTTTCAATCAACAACTCAATGCGATGAGTATACAGAGCCGCGCACAACTCCGGATGAGCTAACAATTACAACTAAACAATCAAAGATATAATAAAAAAAATTAATAAAATTGGATGGGAGCAAAGCAATAAAAAAAATCCCCATAGGCTTTTAAACTGATTGGTGCGCACCTAATGCCTAAAATATGATACGATTTGGATCATGTTAGCTGAGTTTGAGAACTATATCAAATAGCAGCGTTCTGACTAGGTCCGGTAGACTTCAAGAGAACGCCTTTTAAAGTTAATTATTTTTGACGACATCGACTCATCTTTCTCAAGACTACATCGCCTTTTATCCTGTTGGTCTCAAATTTTGAGAAACATTGTGGCAGCATGAAACTGACAACCATGTTAATCATATTATTACTCTTTAACAGGGGGAACAAGGATAGATATGGCATCTCTTTCCCATAGACCAGGCTCAACTCAGGTAAGTTATCCTTTATTTCTACGATAACATATAGCACAAGTTGAATGCAAAGTACAGTTTCATTCGCTGGCCAAGATATGTAGAGCGAAATATATAGTAGAGAATATGAAATACACCAACCTGCTTGACAAAATAACCAACAGCATTGTTGTCAGCATAAGTAAGAAAATGCGTCAATCCATCAACATCACGCGCATGCTGTTTCAAGTGGTTCATCAATCTGGTACCGTAACCTTTTACTTGTTCATCTGCAGTGATTGCACAAAATGCTATTTCCCCAAACCTCTGACTGAATCCCAGGAAAACAGTGGAGTTAATAAGCATGTCAAGACTGTAATCGCGCTCATTATGACATTAGAAATTTTATAGAAAGATTTTATTGGAAAAGCAAACTATGCCTGATAATAATATAAGATACTAAGTAAATAGTACTTGCTAAGAGGCTTAAAGTAAGGAGCGTATTAATACATATAGTTTGATGAAAAATTAAAAGTAATAGAATATCATTGTGCTAAAAGATCTGGGAATAGTTATGCGAAGTTGAGCTTACCTGTGATATGGACGATACGTGATACCACCTACAACTAGATTTCTTCTTAGGACCATAACAGACTTATGTTTCCTGGGTATACAACATAAGTTGCAGATATCAGAATGCTTAACGTCGAAAGCTTATTCAGTCGATAATCAAAGAACTAGATTTTTATTACATTAAGAAAATGAACGACTTTGGATGTAAAATAAGTAGAGAAGCAGGTTCATCATGTGTTTCGATAGTGATATGCATTACTTAACGTTATATAGTAAACAATCGGAAATGGTCACTCACTATTTCGTAAGAACTCCATCTATTCTCGAGAATGGTTTCTACCTAATTACTTTTTTGCAAGCAGATAGTTGCTACAATTGCTAACAAAATTACAAACGAGGAGAGATGTGAAACTATTGTAGTTGTTAAAGAGTTTTCCTGGAATCGCATAGCCCTTATTTAAAGATGAAGAACAAAAATCTCAGAGGAATGGCAAATCGTCAGAGAATTGTTTTTCTCTTGACTTTCTCTCCGTTTGCATGGTTGTCGAGCCAGTATAACTCTGTATCACCTAGCCAAGTTAACCGACCTCGAATACATTATGTGGAGACACAATCGTGCGATTGCTTGAGATCGTCAGAACTTGTCCAGCTGATAAACCGTTATGCTAGACGACAATGCAAACTGAAAGAGAGTCAAGAGAAAAACAATGGTCTGACGATTTCCCATTCCTCTGAGAATATATATATATTTTTTTGTCTTCGTGTTTAAACAAGGGCGATGCTATTGAAGGAAAACTCTTTTAACAACTCTGCGGATTGCGTTTCGTTCTATACATGTTACTTGTTTCACTATATTTATATAATTGATAGATCTCTACATTTGCTAACTAAAACTAACACATGAGGAGTGATGTGAAACTATATTGTACATGTATTCAATGCAAATCGAAAAGTCATGTTTCAGATAGGTTTACCTATCCATGAGAAGGCGAACAATGTACTCCTTGGGCATATTAGGCAACTGTCTTGCAAATATGTTCTTCAGCCCAACCAAGCTACAAAACATTCAACCAATCTTTTTACACAATTGCTCTCTAGCACAGAGGTTAGGATGAAGCTGAAACTCTCTGAGAGAGAAGGAAGGAGATACCACATCATATGCTCATCAACGCAATCATTTGAGTAACAGACAAATTTGAGCCGACCAGCTTGCTCCTGAAGAAAGATAGATTTGGCCAAATTTTTTTAATGGCAGAAGAAAACATAATTCATATCTGAAACTATATACAGGTTCCAGCGATAAGCTACCTCTCTCTTCAGAGCCTCTTCTCTCGCAATGTATGCCCCGCTAGTCTGCAGATTCTCCGTCAGTATCTTTGCAGACTCATCTTTGGGCACCAGCCCCGCGATCGCGCTTCCACTCACACCCGCAGATGGTCTACCATCCTTTCCGCCGTCAGAGCTCTCAAGCTTCACCGTTGAGATCTCCGTCTTAAGCTTCGTGACGCGACTCGAACCGTTGACTCCTGAGCTGGAATCGAGTCGAGCGGCGGTGAATGTGCGGATGGAAGAGTCCTGGTCCGGTTCAGGAGCAAATTCATCCTCGTCATCGTCCACGACGGCATCCTCTGATTCCTCGGGGTCTGAGTCGGTATCGGCGCCGCGCGCGGAGATGCTCTCGAGGTCATCGTTGGAGGTTAAGGCGCCGTCGCGAGTATCGGCAGAGAAGGAGGAGGGAGGGAAGGAAGTAGAAGGAGGGGCATGATCCTCAGACGCGGCCGCGTTCGCTGCAGTGGTGGCGGCGAGCTTTCGTTTGTGGAGAGAAGAAGTGACGGAGGCGGAGGCGGAATGAGAAGGAGAAGGAGTCTGAGAGCTGCGCGAACGATTGGCCGCGTTGAGGTGGGAAGAGTGAGAGTCCATTGAAGCGATCCAGCAGAATAGTGAAGATGATTGAGCAAATCGTGGTTAGTAGCAGACGAAATCGAGAGGCTAGGGTTTTTTGCTCGTAATTTTTTTGGGGGCGGGAGCGAGAATGATGGTGGTGAAAGACGACGCCGGCGAAGGGAATAATTCAGGCTTCACTCTTCACTATTTTTTAGTTTTTTTTAATGTTCAAATTTTTTTGAGTAAATTCTTAACCGAAATCATACTAAAGTCTGTAAAAATGTGATTTATATCGTTTAACGATAAGTAGATAAGTAGGTTTAAACCGTTGCAATCCCTATAACAATTTGGGTTACTCGTTACTATAAAGAAATCCATCTTATTTTCGTTGTACATATTGCTATGCGACTTTATTATTGATGAATTTTCTGTTTTTAATCCATCGATAAATCTACTTAACAAATGGACCAACATATTTTGGCTACGAATATATGAAAAATACAAAAAAAAAAATGTGACGGATTTGCTATGGCTAATCATTATCAACTGTATATATTCTCGGAGAAATTAAAAAAAAAAAAAACTGACACTGATCATACAATATAATTGTCAATCTCCTTTGCATGCCAAAAATATACAAATAGAAGTATAGAACGCATTGCAACTACTTTTAACATCACCAAGATGTTAAAATGAGATTTTAGGCATTATGGGTTTAAAACACCATTTGACATTAGAATACAACAGAGAGACCAAGTGCGGTCGATAATGCGTATAAAAAGGCAGGGAGATCAGAAGTTGCTGCCGCTGTGACCAGCTTGTCGTCGGTCACACACCTCTCTGATTCCACGATCTGACCACCAGCAACCTTCACGGCCACCTTTGTCCCATAACCACTTGCACATCTCTTTTTCTGCAAAATAATAGTTTGGCATAATCATGAAATTATATAATGAATTATGACCATTATGCAATTGGCCAATTGGAATCTCTGCTATATAAGTAAGAGGTGCCATATGTACGATTATACAAAGAAGTAGATCAATTATATCTCAATAATTAGTCAATTATGATCAAATGAGATACAAGGTTAAATATATTTCTAATATTTTATCAAAATGGTGTTTATTATATTACCTTGAGAGCGCCGGTAGCGGCAAGTAGCCAATTTCCCATTCCAATGGCAGCAACAAACTTTTCTTTCTCAACAAACTTCTTGACTAATCCGACGGCATTGTCGTTCATCACCAAGAGCTCCGGCGATCTTCCTCCGGGAACCACAATGCAGTCGTAATCATCCACAGAGACATCTTCCCACGCAATGGTCACATAGAAGTTGTGACCGATCTTCTCAGTAGGAAGTCGCCGTCCGTTCTCTAGGTCGTGAACGATAGTACCGCATTTATCACCTTTCTTCTTGTTTGGTGTCACTGCGTCCACTTTACATCCCAATGCTTGAAACGCCTTAAATGGTACGTTGATACTATAATCTTCAACACAGTCCTAATTAAACATGTCCAAAGCAAATATGAATTAGATCGAATATTTAATGCCACTCTTCCAATAAGAAAAAGCTTACCCCAATCAAGAAAAGCAAAGAAGGCTGAGTCTCCTTGGAGCAAGAGATCTTAGAGCCGAGTGCTTCTAACAAAACTCTCAGAGTGTGGCCAAGCGTTGGCCACCCCATGGTGGAAACGAAATTCCCGTCCGTGACACAATCGGTGATGTCTAACAGGGTCTGGACTCCGGCCTGTTGCCACCACGCGCCACCAGAGAGCTCGATCAACGGTTTCATGCTTTCGAACGCCGTGCACTTCATTCCACCGGTGAGTAGACCCGCCGCCGCGAGCAACAGCTGGCTGTGGCAGCTCGTTAGGACAAGCTTCTTAAGCTCGGCGAATCGAGCCACGAGGCTCACGCATTTCTCGTCGGTGCTCAAAAGTTCCGTGAAACGTCCACCGGGAACGATGATGGCGTCGTATTGCTCGGGGATGACTTCATCGAAGTTTGCGTTTAGTGTTAGATGATCGACCACCAACTCGGAGTATAACTGTAAAAAGGTAGAAAATTGGTTTTTGTTTTTTTTTTTTTTTTGAATTTCTATTTTAAATATGAATTAGGCCTGCACATTTAGGGTAAAATCACCTAATCCAACGCAATTTGTCGAAACTTTTTTTTATAAGAATAACATAAATTATCCATTTGGATTAACATGTAAGAGAAAGAAACTTGATAAATTTGTGAATAATGATTTTTAAATACGTGAATTACTACCATTACCGTATTTGATATATATGTATATCTAGCGCAAAAGTTAACAGTACCTTAAAAAGATACAGTAAATGCAACTTTGAATGGGGTATTATTTGGATCAATTAATCTTTTTGCTATCCGTAATTTTACTAATCAATTAAAGAACGCATTCGAATGGCAAAACACAAATGAAGAAAAAAGTGAAAGATTAGAGAAACTATATGCCTCGAGGCCGAGAAGATCGTGAGCCGCCATGACGCACTTGTCGCCAGTTTTGTAGCCAGGAGAAACGCAGTGGACGCTAACGCCAAACGCTTGGAGGACGTAGAGAGGTACGATGGTCTCGTAAGCTTCCATGAACTCTCCGCATAACATCAAAACCGACTTCTGAGCCATTGATCCCATAACGATCTCTTACAACAAGCACACGTACAATGGATACACTATGAGTTCGAATAATCACAATGTACTCCTACTCTTTTTTCATTCAAGAAAGAAGATATAAAGATATGTAAGTCGACACGTGGCTCCATTTGGAGCACTTATTATATATTTATCTATCACATGATGGCCCATATAACTGATTATGAAGTAAATTTTGGTTACGGATTATTTTCAGGACATAATATAATTAAAAAATGTAACTATATAATTAATAGATAGATAATGAATATGCCTAACACATTACTGAAAGTCTGAAACACATTGGTGAGCAAAAAACAAATAAATAAAGATTTATGTCCAACCAATATATTTTACGAAGAAGAAAATATATCAAACTGCAACATATATTGTTTTCTTGAGAAATAATTAAATTTTTCTCAGTCCTTTATTGCAATCATCTTCAACTCGAGAGTTTCGAAAAGAAACATGTGATAATTGCAACTTTCCACTCACCTACCTGGATTCCTCACCTACTTGCCATCTACAGTATTTTCCTTTGCATAGCTTGATAAATAAATAGAAAACGAAAATGCTAATTGCCAAATTAAAAGGCACTTGAGAAAGAAACTACTTTCTGTTGCTTGCAGCATCAGCACAAGAAATAAACGATTTTTATTTACTTAAGAAAATATAAAATTAAAATCTTTAACTGTGATATGTCCGCTTAGATGTATTAGAGCATTTCTATTTAGGATTTTTCATACAGATATCTCATCAATAAAAATAAAAAAATTATAAGAAACGAAGAGAAAGAAAAAGGAATAGTTTTCAAATAAGAATGTCCCCTTAAATGTATTAGAGAATTTCTATTTAGGATTTTTCATATAGATATCTTATGAATAAAACAGGAAAAATTATGAAAAAAAAAGAGAAAGAATGAGTAGTTTTCAAATAAGAACTTTTAAAATATCCATGAGAACATTTCTCCTTTATATATTACTTTATTTTTTTAAGTTAAAATTTAATTATAAAATATAATTATAATAAAATAGTGATATATTTTTAAAAAATATTTATAGATATTTCATGGATGAAAATGCTCTTACTCGGTCCACGTTGATATATTAAGGAAAACTAATAAGATTTAGGTCGAGTCACTTTAGTATTCGAAGTTTTCTTAATCATTCTGGTGCATAATGTAAATTTATAGTATTATAAAGATCAACTAATGTGGAATAAATAAATTAAAATATGAAAATGGTGAGAAATCAAATGATTAATATTTCCTCTGTTTCAGAAAGAGTGTCATTTTGATACTTTTCACACAGATTAAGAAACTTAATAAAAAGTCTTTTCTGTCCTTCATAAATATATTAAACATTTTTCTCTTTCTAATTAATACACTAAAATAACAAGGTTAAATTGGATTTTTAATTAAAAATTTGCATTGAAAATACAAAACGACATTTTTTATGAAACAAAAATAAAACTCTAAAACGACATTCTTTATGAAACAGAGAGAGTATTTAGCTTCTTGAATATAGACCATCGTAGCATGATTTACGAAACTAAAGCCTTCTTCACTCTCTTGATGATCACTTGGATTTTCTGATGGCTGAAGAATTACAAAGTTGTCGAGCATCAAACTGTACTAGAGCCTCAAGATGAACACGGAAGCATATGAGCAAAAAAAACGAAAACCCAAGATGAACTCTAGATAGACCAGGCCTGTAACAAAGTATACAAGAAATAAAGATAAATAATTGACATTTCAACATTTATATTCAAGGAGACAAGGAAGTGACTCTCCAAAATGTAAATCAGTAATATCGGACGAGCTAAGTTCTACCTTATTTTCCGACTTTATAAACGGAAACTCTATAGAGTTGTTGCTACCGAAACTGTGATCATATCTCCTTAAATCGTTGATACTCTAGATAAATAAGTTTACTACTTACTAAGGACGTATAATTAATATTTTGTTGTTAATCAATGCTGATTTACCATTTCGTCGTTCCCCCAACAGTAACTTGCAAAAGAAATGTGATAACTGATATACATATGTTTGGGTTTAACAAAATTTAAGATCTAATTTTTTATTAGTATTGTATATGTTGAGCTCATGACTCTCATGACCGAAGATAAGAAACTAGCTTGGAGCATTTTTGTGCGATTGCATAGTTGTCGTTATAGTTGTAGTGGAGTTGATCGTGGTCTTGTACTCTTGGGTGTTTAGCTCATCGACGTTGATTAATAGTATTTTTTGCTTTTCTTAATATAAAGTTATGGTGGATTATTAAGAGAGTACGTAGTGCTTGATGAACAACACTTCTGAGGAATGAGGACAGTAGTTTGGGACTAGAGCCAGGTTATACTGTTTCAATGAAGCGATTCCAAATTCAAAAGATTTCATCAGCTCTAATCTTGGACTTTCTTCATGCGAGTGTGTGTTGCTTGATATTATTGAAGTCATGGAAGTGCCCTTGTGATGAAAACGACATATAATAGCCTGTGATACCTCTAGGACAAGTAGATAAATGATGTTAATTTAGCAAATAAAGTGATGTTTGATTTTGTTTACGTTTACTTTTATCTACCTCATAAGAAACCATCGTTCATGGACTGTTTGATATTCATGATGTTGTGCATTGCCATACAAGTAGAAAGTTCGGTCTTAATTACAAAGTGGAGGCTTTGTATTATAATTTTCTGAAATCTTAACCGGATGCTGTTTCCTTGTGTTTTTTTTTGTGTGTGTTTAATTCCAGTTTCCAGTGGGTCGTATTCATAGGCAGCTCAAGACGAGAGTTTCAGCACATGGGAGAGTTGGTGCAACTGCTGCCGTTTACACGGCTTCAATTCTCGAGTACCTAACTGCAGAAGTTCTTGAGTTAGCAGGAAACGCAAGCAAAGACCTGAAAGTGAAGAGGATAACTCCGAGGCATCTGCAGTTGGCAATCAGAGGAGACGAGGAGCTTGACACGCTCATCAAAGGAACCATTGCAGGAGGAGGTGTGATCCCTCACATCCACAAGTCTCTCATCAACAAAACCATCAAGGAGTGATTTGTTTCTTAGGCACTGAGGTTATGTGATCTGCTTAGCTAGTAGCATTTGGTGTTTGTGTTTTGGACTGCTTTTCTTTTCTCTTCTGGACATCCTCAGGTGTACATTAGTTTATTTGAACTCCTTAGGCTTCTCGTTTGAGCAAGAGCAAATGTTGTCTTTGCTAATTCAGGAAATGTTAACTGGATTGTTTTGGATTTGCAAGCGCTTGTGATTTGTGCTTCTATCAAGTAAACCGATTGTTAAGAGAGTACGTAGTGCTTGATGAACAACACTTTTGAGGACAGTAGTCGCTTTTCATCTCGAGTGCGTTTATTCTCTTATATCAAATAAAAGTCAAGGTGTAGACACGAACACTGAACCTCCAGAATTACCAATGCCTCTCGGTTATTGTCTACGTACATCTTTCTATATAGTTCCACTGAATTTTTCAAAAATCATGGTGTGGGGAGCATGTCGCCAGCTTCACGTTGAAGTTAAGAATCCCATGACGCTACTTACTGAATGGAGAGAGAAAACCAATGTTTGTCGCACAATCATGTTTCCGAATAACACTACAATAAAATTTTAAATGATCCAGGCAATTTAGGTATGCAGTCCATATACAAAACTCATGCTTAAGAGGATTACATAGTTACGTTATCCAAAGCTACCATGTCAAGAATAGGCAATAATAATCGCGATTTGCAAAGGACTACAAATAGACTGCAAGCAATCTTAACACAAATAAAAGACAATACATGAAACCATATGATGGCAGTATACCCAAATTATTAATCGACATTCCCAAGAAAATTGAAATTGATTGGATACATATTGTATCAAGAACAAAACAAAGATGAAATCAAATAAAACTTAGTAGCCTTTCAAGAATTACATTTACTGCTTTCAGTAATATGAAGGTGGTGGTGGAGATTTGTACTCAGTCTTTGGGGAAGGAGAGTAATAAGGTGGTGGTGGTGGAGAGCTGTAAACATATGGTGGTGGAGGAGACTTGTAGTCAACCTTAGGAGATGGAGAGTAGTATGGTGGTGGTGGAGAACTGTAGACATATGGTGGTGGTGGAGATTTGTAATCAACCTTAGGGGATGGAGAATAGTATGGTGGTGGTGGAGAGCTGTAGACATATGGTGGTGGAGGAGATTTGTAGTCAACCTTAGGGGATGGTGAGTAGTATGGTGGTGGTGGTGGAGAGCTGTACACATATGGTGGTGGAGGAGACTTGTAGTGTACCTTAGGAGAAGGTGAGTAGTACGGTGGTGGTGGAGAACTGTAGACATACGGTGGTGGAGGAGACTTGTACTCTACCTTAGGGGTAGGTGCGTAGTATGGTGGTGGTGGTGGAGAACTGTAGACATATGGTGGTGGAGGAGACTTGTAGTGTACCTTAGGGGAAGGCGAGTAGTATGGTGGTGGTGGAGAACTGTAAACATACGGTGGTGGTGGGGGCGACTTGTAGTATACCTTAGGTGATGGAGAGTAGTATGGTGGGGGTGGAGAACTGTAAACATATGGTGGTGGAGGAGATTTGTATACAACCTTAGGCGAAGGAGCATAACATGGAGGAGGTGGTGGACACACGCATACATGTGGGTGTGGTGGCGATTTGTAATGTACTTTAGGGGAAGGTGAATAGTATGGTGGTGGTGGAGAACTGTAAACATACGGTGATGGAGGAGATTTGTAGTGTACCTTAGGAGATGGGGAGTAGTATGGTGGTGGTGGGGAGCTGTAGACATAAGGTGGAGGAGGAGACTTGTATACAACCTTAGGGGATGGGGAGTAATATGGTGGTGGTGGGGAGCTGTAGACATACGGTGGTGGAGGAGATTTGTATACAACCTTAGGAGATGGGGAGTAGTATGGTGGTGGTGGGGAGCTGTAAACATATGGTGGGGGAGGAGATTTGTATACAACCTTAGGAGATGGGGAGTAGTATGGTGGTGGTGGGGAGCTGTAAACATATGGTGGAGGAGGAGATTTGTATACAACTTTAGGGGATGGGGAGTAGTATGGTGGTGGTGGGGAGCTGTAGACATACGGTGGTGGAGGAGACTTGTATACAACCTTAGGGGATGGAGAGTAGTATGGCGGTGGTGGAGAACTGTAGACATACGGTGGTGGGAGGAGACTTGTACTCAACCTTTGGAGATGGTGAATAGTATGGTGGTGGTGGTGGAGAGCTGTAGACATATGGTGGTGGTGGAGATTTGTAGTATACTTTAGGTGATGGAGAATAGTATGGTGGTGGTGGGGAGCTGTAGACATACGGTGGTGGTGGAGACTTGTACTCAACCTTAGGAGAAGGCGAGTAGTATGGTGGTGGTGGAGAACTGTAGACATATGGAGGTGGAGGGGACTTGTAGTCTACCTTAGGTGATGGGGAATAGTATGGAGGTGGTGGTGGGGAGCTGTAGACATACGGTGGTGGTGGAGACTTGTACTCAACCTTAGGAGATGGTGAGTAGTATGGTGGTGGTGGTGGGGAGCTGTAGACATATGGTGGTGGAGGAGATTTGTAGTATACCTTAGGTGATGGAGAGTAGTATGGTGGTGGTGGAGAACTGTAAGCATATGGAGGTGGAGGGGACTTGTAGTCTACCTTAGGTGATGGGGAATAGTATGGAGGTGGTGGTGGGGAGCTGTAAACATAAGGTGGTGGAGGAGATTTGTAATCTACCTTAGGAGATGGTGAGTAATATGGTGGTGGTGGGGAACTGTAAACATACGGTGGTGGAGGAGACTTGTAGTCTACCTTTGGTGATGGTGAATAGTATGGTGGTGGTGGTGGGGAGCTGTAGACATACGGTGGTGGAGGAGATTTGTAGTCGACTTTTGGAGATGGTGAGTAGTATGGTGGTGGTGGTGGAGAACTGTAGACATATGGTGGTGGAGGGGATTTGTACTCAACCTTTGGTGATGGGGAATAGTATGGAGGTGGTGGTGGAGAACTGTAAACATATGGTGGTGGAGGGGACTTGTAATCTACCTTTGGTGATGGAGAGTAGTATGGAGGTGGTGGTGGAGAACTGTAAACATATGGTGGGGGAGGAGACTTGTACTCAACTTTGGGTGATGGTGAGTAGTATGGTGGTGGTGGTGGAGAACTGTAAACATATGGTGGTGGAGGAGATTTGTATTCAACTTTGGGTGATGGTGAGTAGTATGGTGGTGGTGGTGGGGAGCTGTAGACATAGGGTGGTGGAGGAGATGTGTAGTCGACCTTAGGCGATGGAGAATAGGATGGTGGTGGCGGTGGAGAGCTGTAGACATACGGTGGTGGTGGAGAGTTGTATTCTACTTTTGGAGATGGTGAATATGACGGTAGAGGTGGCAAGCTATACGTGAGTGGCTCATAGGCTGCAACCATTGTTGCCATGATGATAACGCCTAGAGCGTAAATGGGATGGGCTGAAGGCCCCATCCTAGAAGAAGATCTCATATTTTTTTTTTGCTTTTTTCTGCCAACGCCTAACTACGTTGGTTAGTTCTTCTTGTTTTGGTGTGTGTTGTAAGAAATGGGTTTATGGGTTTATATAGCTAAGTTTTTCTCTTAATCCAGCTATATTATTCCTTTTTCCCTGTTTTGGACTTCATCCAACTAAATCATGGAGGCATGTCTACACGTTGCTGGTGTAAGACGTGCAGGAACGTTTAGCAACCGTCAACGAGCCACTTTCCATTTTTTAATCACAAGTTCAAGAAGAATTTTGTGTATCATGGGTGCATCATTTTGTTCATCAAACTAGTTTATTTGTTTTCTACTTTTCTAGGCCATATATATAATATGAATTGTCGATATTCGATGAACGTAATTTTAGACCTTCTCAGAAGAGATGTTCTCTTCTTCTCTAAGTGGAGGTTGTGGAAACGTGGTCGTGGATGTATAAAAGGACAGACTGATCGAGATTGTTTTTAAAACTTTTTCAATAGATTAATAAATTAATGGTAAAAAAACTTTATGATCTTAATTATGGTAAAATATATTAAGTTGTGCAATGATCTAACCAAATATTGCAGAACACAAGATTTTGCGAACTGAGAGAATATAAATATTTAAAAAATAAATTTCAATATAATAAATTTCAAATTTTATTTGTTATCCTTAAAAATTAAAAAAAATAATTGTTGGACTAATTATTATTAAAATGACATACATTACATATAAATAGAAAAAAACTTGGTTAACAAAAATAAACTTAATTTCTTATTGTATTAATTTTTAATTTATTTTTCAATATAAAAATTAATTAATGTTGCAAAACTTAATTCAGATACTATATATAAAAACTTATTTATATAATAAGTGTTCGGTATGTGTGATGGCGAGTCATCCTGGGGTGGAAGCTTCTGGTCCCGGGGCGATGAGGTGAATGCTGCACTCCATCCTGTAAACACTCAAATAAAAGTCAGATAAGCCTCCGGAAAAACCGAAAGGATTTCCGAAGGTTCTCCGACGGCTAAGTCAATGAACATCCTACCGGGAATAAGTACTCGGGAGGGGAGTTTACTACGGGTTAGTGTGAGAAGTCTCGTCTAAGGGTCGAGGCTCATATATGTTCTCGAGTGTTTCAAAGGGGTTCCTATACAGCAAAAGGAAAGTGAGGCAAATATGAAGATGGGGTTCCGAGTTAGGGATGATTTAATCTGGACGACATTCTCCTAGGAAGAATCTGATGTTCACCCGTGATCGTGCTGCTTGCCTGGGCTGACTGGCTCAGGCCCGAGCAGGTACCTCCTCTTTTAGAGGGGTTTTGCCCCTCTGATCTGTCTTCCTCTTCTGCGTGGTTATCTTTCCTTATTTATATTCGCGGATTCTTCGTTCTGTCTCATCCATTCGGCATGCCATGAAAGCAGGTGAAGATAATGATTCTAGCGTGTTTGGAGAAGTTCGCCAATTGCTCTGAAACAGTATGCGGGAGTGGATCGGCCGAACTAGCGTGGCGTGTGTCAGCGTCTAGGTCTACGTGTGGATTCTCTTTCGACTCGGTAAAATAGATCCCAACAATACTAGATTATGACTCGTATATATGCGGATTTTTAATAAAATATTTAGAAACTTGTAAAAATAATTCACAAATAAAATTGGATAATTTATGTAAAAAAAAAAAATTCAAAACATTAAAGCAAAATTTCATAATAATAATAATAATAATAGTTATCTATTCATCAAGTAGCAATAAATATAATCATATAAGCTCGAATAAAAAATACTAAAATACGATAATATGAACATTTATTTTATGAAGACATATATGTGTATATATAAATATCAATAATATTATTCTGTTTTTTTTATAGGATTTGTGTTTTAGCTTATTGGTGCAACTGGATGTACACTTTATAGATAAAATTATATAGAATGAGCTTTTCCATAGGAATTCCAAAAAAATGTTACAATTTTAGTGGAATAAATTTTGTTTAATTTCATTCATTCCAATAAAATATGTAAAAAAAGAAAATAAATGAAGTAGAAAATCCTTCCCAAACAAAAACCATTGTGATGGTAAGAAATGAAAATAAACTTATTGTTATCTATTAATTTTAATTTATTTTCCAAACTAGATATATTTTCCATTGTTTTATAAGATTTTTATAGGATTTGTATTTCAGTGTTTTATATATTTTCTAAAATTAAATTTAATTTTATTAATATTTTTTTTCTTTTTTAAGTGAGATATATATATTTTATTTTTATCTTTCGTTTTTTCTTATCTTTTTTTATTTTATTGGTGACTATAAGATCTCAATATGTCGTTTAGAGAAAATAAAGAGATTGTGGGAATAAAATATAAAGTTTTTATTAATTATTAGCCAGAGTTCGAAGAGTACAGAAGATTTAGATCGTCGGAAACGAACGCCAACCTAAAGTCAAAGAGAATGATTTTGAGATCTAAAGCTAAAAACCGAAAGCTATTTTTTACCCTATGTCTCGAGTCGAGGTTGTGAATGACTCTTTTCTTCATGAAGAGGATCTTCTTTTATACTGGACGAAGGCGGTGCCAAGGGCGAATCCTTCATTTTCGGGATATGCACAGTTTCTGTTTTTCTCGGGATCTATTTTTCTTTTCTTCGGGGATTCGAAAAATACTTAGAATATTTCTATTTTGCTAAATCGACTTAATCTCAGAGGTGAAATTAGGATTTAAATGGATCTTTTCTTAATTTATAAAGAACTTTTTAGAGGGGTGCTAAACCCATCTCTAATAATAACACATGTCAAAATTTTATCGATTTAAATCGCCATGTGTCGCGAATTTATGAACTACTAATCTTGATACATTTAACTAGATATTGGTAATATAAAAATATTTATTTAAAGTGTCAAAAATGATTAGTTATATAATTAAATAATAATCTATTAATTGCTTAGATAATCTAACTTGAAATAGACATTCTTATTAATAGTGAATTTTTGTATTTTTATTAAGGACAACTACTCTTGTTTTACAAGGAAACATAATTTACAAAATAAGGTAGACGATTAACACCATTTTAAGTTGGTAAACTTTGGGTAAATATTAATTTTTCCCAATTAATTATCAAAACTATATTTTGCGATTTTTTTGAAATTATTACCAACAAATATATTTTGCAACTTTTTATTAAATCATTCCATAGCTTAATTTGTTCTATCCTACAATTATAAAATATTATCAATCGAATCCTAAAATTAAGATCATACAAATATTACAAAGCTACCTCCAATATGGAACAAAAGAGTAAAGGGTAGGATTTGTTATTTATTAAAAGTTACAAAATTGTTGGATTGATGAGTTTACAATGGAAAATTTTATCGTTTTATTAAGGATCCACAAATGATAGATAATCTAAAGAATTTTTTTTAGGTTAAAAATTAGTTTAAAGTTAATGCTTAACAGGAGTGTAATTAGGTCTGAGAATAAAACCGGACACAAAAAATTGAACCAAATTAAAAGATATTAAACTGAATATGATTTGGTGTAAATATCCAAATGAAGCTTTCACTCCGATATTCGAAGAATTGGTATCATATCCGAACTAAACCGAGAATAGATTGAGTATCCGAACATTCGAGAACCAAATAGGTAAACGTATGAACCCGAGATACCAAAAACATATAGTTTTATGGGTATTTCTATAAGTATTTCAAATATTTTTAAGTTTTTTCGGATACTTCGAATAAATTGAGTATTTTTGGATACATCTTGGGAGATATTTCTGGTATCTTCACATATTTATAAGTGTTTTTAGGCTAATTCGGTTACAAGTACCCGAACATATTAAAAATCAGAACCGATCCATATCTGATCGGAATTCAAGTAAGACCATCTGCAGTGGGGGTTTCTCATCAAATCTCTCATATTTAAAACTTAATTAAACTGGAAAAAAAAGAGAAAAGATAGAATGGAGAGTCTCTCATTTAAGAGATTATGAGAGACTCATCTCATGTGTTCTTTATATATTATTGGTTAAATTTTTATTTTTAATTTAAAACAAGAAAAATAATTAAATAATATTAAAATTAATATTATTAAATTATTTAGAGACTCACATGAGTCCCTCACCAATGCAGATGCTTTAAAAGCTGATTCGTCAACTTTGATATGGTACCAACTTAAATTTGACATAAAATTGTGGTATAGAACCAAAATAACCAACATCTAAATAAATTCGCCGGAACCAAAACGGGCATTCCCAGACCTAAGTGTTATTAACAAAAACCGTACTATTTAAGGAAACAAAAAGATAAGGAAACAGGCAAAACATTTTTACAGTATTCCCGATCAGTCTGTCCTTTTATACATCCACGACCACGTTTCCACAACCTCCACTTAGAGAAGAAGAGAACATCTCTTCTGAGAAGGTATAAAATTACTTTCATCGAATATCGACAATTCATATTATATATATGGCCTAGAAAAGTAGAAAACAAATAAACTAGTTTGATGACCAAGATGATGCACCCATGATACACAAAATTCTTCTTGAACTTGTGATTAAAAAATGGAAAGTGGCTCGTTGACGGTTGCTAAACGTTCCTGCACGTCTTACACCAGCAACGTGTAGACATGCCTCCATGATTTAGTTGGATGAAGTCCAAAACAGGGAAAAAGGAATAATATAGCTGGATTAAGAGAAAAACTTAGCTATATAAACCCATAAACCCATTTCTTACAACACACACCAAAACAAGAAGAACTAACCAACGTAGTTAGGCGTTGGCAGAAAAAAGCAAAAAAAAATATGAGATCTTCTTCTAGGATGGGGCCTTCAGCCCATCCCATTTACGCTCTAGGCGTTATCATCATGGCAACAATGGTTGCAGCCTATGAGCCACTCACGTATAGCTTGCCACCTCTACCGTCATATTCACCATCTCCAAAAGTAGAATACAACTCTCCACCACCACCGTATGTCTACAGCTCTCCACCGCCACCACCATCCTATTCTCCATCGCCTAAGGTCGACTACACATCTCCTCCACCACCCTATGTCTACAGCTCCCCACCACCACCACCATACTACTCACCATCACCCAAAGTTGAATACAAATCTCCTCCACCACCATATGTTTACAGTTCTCCACCACCACCACCATACTACTCACCATCACCCAAAGTTGAGTACAAGTCTCCTCCCCCACCATATGTTTACAGTTCTCCACCACCACCTCCATACTACTCTCCATCACCAAAGGTAGATTACAAGTCCCCTCCACCACCATATGTTTACAGTTCTCCACCACCACCTCCATACTATTCCCCATCACCAAAGGTTGAGTACAAATCCCCTCCACCACCATATGTCTACAGTTCTCCACCACCACCACCATACTACTCACCATCTCCAAAAGTCGACTACAAATCTCCTCCACCACCGTATGTCTACAGCTCCCCACCACCACCACCATACTATTCACCATCACCAAAGGTAGACTACAAGTCTCCTCCACCACCGTATGTTTACAGTTCCCCACCACCACCATATTACTCACCATCTCCTAAGGTAGATTACAAATCTCCTCCACCACCTTATGTTTACAGCTCCCCACCACCACCTCCATACTATTCCCCATCACCTAAGGTAGACTACAAGTCCCCTCCACCTCCATATGCTTACAGTTCTCCACCACCACCATACTACTCTCCATCACCTAAGGTATACTACAAATCTCCTCCACCACCATATGTCTACAGCTCCCCACCACCACCACCATACTACTCACCATCTCCTAAGGTTGAGTACAAGTCTCCACCACCACCGTATGTCTACAGCTCCCCACCACCACCTCCATACTATTCCCCATCACCTAAGGTAGACTACAAGTCCCCTCCACCTCCATATGTCTACAGTTCTCCACCACCACCATACTACTCGCCTTCTCCTAAGGTTGAGTACAAGTCTCCACCACCACCGTATGTCTACAGCTCCCCACCACCACCATACTATTCTCCATCACCTAAAGTATACTACAAATCTCCACCACCACCATATGTCTACAGCTCTCCACCACCACCACCATACTATTCACCATCTCCAAAGGTTGAGTACAAGTCTCCTCCACCACCGTATGTCTACAGTTCTCCACCACCGCCATACTACTCTCCATCCCCTAAGGTTGTATACAAGTCTCCTCCACCACCGTATGTCTACAGCTCCCCACCACCACCATACTACTCCCCATCCCCTAAGGTTGTATACAAATCTCCTCCCCCACCATATGTTTACAGCTCCCCACCACCACCATACTACTCCCCATCTCCTAAGGTTGTATACAAATCTCCTCCACCACCGTATGTCTACAGCTCCCCACCACCACCATATTACTCCCCATCCCCTAAGGTTGTATACAAGTCTCCTCCTCCACCTTATGTCTACAGCTCCCCACCACCACCATACTACTCCCCATCTCCTAAGGTACACTACAAATCTCCTCCATCACCGTATGTTTACAGTTCTCCACCACCACCATACTATTCACCTTCCCCTAAAGTACATTACAAATCGCCACCACACCCACATGTATGCGTGTGTCCACCACCTCCTCCATGTTATGCTCCTTCGCCTAAGGTTGTATACAAATCTCCTCCACCACCATATGTTTACAGTTCTCCACCCCCACCATACTACTCTCCATCACCTAAGGTATACTACAAGTCCCCCCCACCACCGTATGTTTACAGTTCTCCACCACCACCATACTACTCGCCTTCCCCTAAGGTACACTACAAGTCTCCTCCACCACCATATGTCTACAGTTCTCCACCACCACCACCATACTACGCACCTACCCCTAAGGTAGAGTACAAGTCTCCTCCACCACCGTATGTCTACAGTTCTCCACCACCACCGTACTACTCACCTTCTCCTAAGGTACACTACAAGTCTCCTCCACCACCATATGTGTACAGCTCTCCACCACCACCACCATACTACTCACCATCCCCTAAGGTTGACTACAAGTCTCCTCCACCACCATATGTCTACAGCTCTCCACCACCACCATACTATTCTCCATCCCCTAAGGTTGATTACAAATCTCCACCACCACCATATGTCTACAGTTCTCCACCACCACCATACTACTCTCCATCTCCTAAGGTTGACTACAAGTCTCCTCCACCACCATATGTTTACAGCTCTCCACCACCACCACCTTATTACTCTCCTTCCCCAAAGACTGAGTACAAATCTCCACCATCACCTTCATATTACTGAAAACAGTAAATGTAATTCTTGAAAGGCTACTAAGTTCTATTTGATTTCATCTTTGTTTTGTTCTTGATACAATATGTATCCAATCAATTTCAATTTTCTTGGGAATGTCGATTAATAATTTGGGTACACTGCCATCATATGGTTTCATGTATCGTCTTTTATTTGTGTTAAGATTGCTTGCAGTCTATCTGGAGTCCTTTGCAAATTGCGATTATTATTGCCTATTCTGGACATGGTAGCTTTGGATAACGTAACTATGTAATCCTCTTAAGCATTAGTTTTGTTTATGGACTGCATACCTAAATTGCCTGGATCATTTAAAATTCTATTGTGTCTTATTCGGAAACATGATTGTGCACAAACATTGGTTTTCTCTCTCCATTCAGTAAGTAGCGTCATGGGATTCTTAACTTCAACGTGAAGCTGGCGTCAAGCTCCCCAACTTGTAACTCAAAGCCTACACACCATGATTTTTGAAAAATTCAGTGGAACTATATAGAAAGATGTACGTAGACAATAACCGAGAGGCATTTGTAATTATGGAGGTTCAGTGTTCGTATATACACATTGACTTTTATTTGATATCATATTATTAATTGAGAAGCAAGTTGGGCAATATTTGAGAGTTATAATGATTGATTACATTTTGCCTCTTATGTGAATTTATTTTAATTACCCTTAATAAAATTAACAAATTAATATAATCTAATTTTTAATTAATTTTCATTTTTGAAATATAATTTCCAAATTCAAGTTTATATCATTAAAATATATAGTTTACTAAAAAAAGGTAACTAGAATAAATAAATAAAATCCTAATTATTTCATTAAACTAATTTTAATTTGATTGTTTAACCTACTAATATTCTGACTAACTTAGCTGATTTATGCGATCATAAGTAAAATTCTAAATCATTTACATATTTTTTAAACTTTATATATATTAATTAATATTAAGTTGATATGAAATAAGGATTCTTTGATTTTGGTCATTTTGGATTGCTAAGTTTTTTTTTTAATCCAAATTTTGAATTTTATTAATCTTAATCTACCAATTTACATCAAAGGAAGAGAATTATTTAATATGTTTGATAAATGCAACAAAACAATAAAACATATTTATAAGTTTTTATCGGATAATATAAAAATATTAAAAAATAAAATATAAATAATATATTTTACTGACAATGATTATATTTTTTTCAAATATATTAAGTTTGGTTTCGAATCATTCTAAAATCTGATTTTTTATTTATAAATAAACTAATGTTATACTTTTTAAAAAATTTAATCTAACCCCGCACAAAGTGCGGGAAACATCTAGTAAGAGAATAAACGCACTCAAGCTGAAAAGCGACTACTGTCCTCATTCCTCAAAAGTGTTGTTCATCAAGCATTACGTACTCTCTTAGTAATCCACCATAAGTTTATATTAAGAAAAGAGAAAAATACTATTAATCAACATCGATGAGCTAAACACTCAATCCAAGAATACAAGACCACCATCAACTCCACTACAACTACAACGACAACTATGCAATCGCACAAAAATGCTTCAAGCTAGTTTCTTATCTTCGGTCATGAGAGTCATGAGCTCAACATATACAATACTAATAAAAAATTAGATCTTAAATTTCGTTAAACCCAAACATATATATATTAGTTATCACATTTCTTTTGCAGGTTACTAAAGTTACTGTCGTCGACGAAATGGTAAATCAGCATTCATTAACAACAAAATTGTAATTATACGTCCTTAGTAAGTAGTAAACTCATTTATCTAGAGTATCAACGATTTAAGGAGATATGATCACAGTTTCGTTTATCGGTAGCAACAACTCTATAGAGTTTCCGTTTATAAAGTCGGAAGAATAAAGTAGAACTTAGCTCGTCCGATATTACTGATTTAGATTTTGGAGAGTAACTTCTTTGTCTCCTTGAATATAAATGTTGAAATGTCAATTATTTATCTTTATCGTTTTATTACGAAACATGACTCTTCCATAAGAGGGATCCATTAGTTTGCTTTCAATTTGCTATAAATTTACTAATAATTTACAATTAGTCTGTCAGTTATCTATATTCAACTATTTGACCAATGAGTCTATTAGTAATCTCCATTTGGTCTGCCGTTAGTCTATCATTAGTCTATCATTAATCTATAAATAACAGTAGTTAGAAAGGTAGTGCTGGTATTTATAAAAATCGTAAAAATTGTCATTTTCACAATATTTTTACAATGGAGTATCTATTTCATATTATTTTATCATTTTAAATCATTTTAAAATATTTTCTCTTTATTTTTTGTACACTTTGTTGCATGCCCGATCTATCAAGAGTTCATCTTGCTTTTTCGTTTTTTATGGCTCATATGTTTCCGTGTTCATCTTGAGGCTCTAGTACAATTTGATGATCGACAACTTTGTAATTTGTCAGCCATCAGAAAATCCAAGTGATCATCAAGAGAGTGAAGAAGGCTTTAGTTTCGTAAATCGTGTTATGATGGTCTATATTCAAGAAGCTAGATATTAATCATTTTATTTGTCACCATTTTCATATTATAATTTATTTACTAGATTTTGGATCCGCACACTTGCACGAGTTTCTTTTTATAAAATATTTTTGGGTCATATAGTAAATTTTTGTTCAAAAGAAAAATTAGCTTATATTATTAAATCTAAAATTGTGGCCCAAACAGAAATTTTTTATTAGATTATATAAACTATTTTAACATTGTGGTTTTATGTTCTTAAAATTATTTAGGCTTGATTTTATATAAAAAAAAAATATTTTTGATTAGCGGAATTTTTGTTAAGTTTTGCAAAAAGTATTTTAAAATATTATGTTTTATAATGCAAGAGAGATTTTATTTGTTTGTAATTAAGATTCTTAGGCTTTGTTTTTTTTTGCCTTCAGATACTTATTTGGATGCAAATGCTCTTAAATATTATTCTTAAAAATATTTTTAAATCAGTATATGAATATTTTATCTGGATACAAATTCTATAATATCTCAAAATTTAGATATTTAAAATGCTAAAAAATAGAGATTTGATGCAGCATTTGAATCTTAAAAATTAACAGATAAAAATATCATTTAATTTAAACCACACAATCAAGTTTTTTTGTTAAAACTATTTTTTGTATCGAAATAAAAGTCGTATTTTCCTGCAAAATCGTAAAATCACATTGTTGTACCAAAAACCGAAAATTCTGGTAGAAACTGTAAAAACAGCATTTTCCATTAAACCATATTTTCCTGCCAAAACAGTAAATCCACATTTTTTAACAAAACCAAAAATTATGCTTTCTCCCAATATCATAAAATCGTATTCTATGGCTAAATTTCTAAAATTAAGTACTTTTTGCCAAATTTGTAAAATTGCATTTTGTCGTCAAACCCGCAAACCTGCATTATCAATAAAATTCATAAAACTATATTTTCCATCAAAACCTATAAAACCCGCAAAAACATGTAAACCTTGTAAAATCTGCAAAATCACATTTCTCGTCAAATCTACAAAAACTCGTGTTTTTCCATAATTTTATAAAATCCATAAAATTGTGTTTTACAACCAAATTTCCAAACTCATGTGTTTCTGCCAAACTCACAAACCCGCATTTTCTCGTTAAAATCTGTAAAACCCATAAAATCCCCAAAATTGTGTTATTCGCATGGACAAACCCGTATTTTTCCATAAATCCGTAAAATCTGCAAAATCGTGATTTACGACCAAATTTCAAAAATTATGTGTTTCTGCTAATTCTACAAAAGCACATTTGTTGTCAAACCGACATTTTCTCGGAAAACTATATTTTCGGCTAAAATTTATAAAACCCGTAAAATCTACAAAATTGTGTTTATCAAATCCGCAAATCCATAATTTTCTGCAAAAAAAAAATTATTAACAAACCAGAAAAAAACTGAATTATTTACATAAATTGTTTTTCATAGTATGTATATACAGTGCCGGTCTGACGATTTTTGATACCCTATTCAAACTTAAAATATTTTTTTTTCTATATTGTATTTAACATAAAAACTATAGTTAAAAAATTATAAAAAGAAAAAAATATAATTTCAAACAAGCAAAATAAATTTATAAATAGTTTATAAAAATATATATATATATATATATCATTAAAAATAGTCTTTTTTATATTTTTGCTTGTAAAATTATTCATTAAATGCACATAATATAGTTTTTCAACCATAATTGTCTAAGTCTATAATAAAGTCAGTCCATTCAATCTTTTTTTGACATTGTAGATTATAGATAATTCATAATAAATTTTAACTTAAAATTATATACATATTAATAAATAATTCTAATATTGAACATTTTTAAAAATGATGTCCTTAAAATTTTTGATGTCCTAATCCTTGGTTTCTCCTGCTTGGCCCATGGGCCGGCCCTGTGTATATATGTAACCAAAAATAATGATTATATATTTTTTATTGACTATAAATTATCACATTTAGTAAATATCATAATATTTTTTAAAGATTTTAATGTCATGCTTTTTTGTAATACTATAGAGAAAAAATTGATTATAATATAATATATATTTAATTTATCATATAATATGTATAATTATATTAGTTATTCATGCCATATATATGTGGTAGTTATGTTAAGACATTATGAAAGATTTTAAAATAATTTTAAAAGTAAATTAATTTGTATTTTATTAGTATCAGATATGATTTATTGGTATTATATGTTAACAAGCTAATATAATTTAATTTAGTTTAATATATTTATTAACAGTTTAATGATAAGACTAAATTACTCTTAATGAATCTATAGAAATTTAATAACATATATTGTAAATAATACATTAACTAAAGGTTAATTTAAAAATAGGATTCTTTTTTAATATTATAGATTCCACATCATCGCATACACAAATGTGTTCTGCAATATTTGGTTAGATCATTGCACAACTTAATATATTTTACCATAATTAAGATCATAAAGTTTTTTTACCATTAATTT